ATACATTTTCCAGGAGTCTGCCTGTACCTCTGGTTGCACCATCAGGATTTAATGTTAACTACTGTCCTGCGTTCTTACGCATCCAAAAGGTCTCACACACAGTCCGAGTTCATACAGTGAAACGGTTTGGAGTAAAGCAGCTGTCCTCCTGATAAATTCTGAGCTCCACCAGACCGTCTAAACATGTAGGATGTTTCAGAAGCTTAAAGGTTCAGTGTTTAAGTGGCATCTAGCGGTGAGGGTTGCGAATTCCACCCTGCGGCTCATGGTGCACTATGGTCCCATTTTCTGACTTCACTGTGTTTATGTGCTCTTAAGTTGGAATGTGGAATCAACAGGGACGCTACCACAAAGATGTGTTGGATTAGCATCACAGCATGTAAACAACACGCAGACTTAATTCTACATGGATAGCAAACTAACCGTTATAACCATATTACAAATAACATGCTGGGGACATGTCCCCACTACTTTTCAAATGGCTGATTTTGTCCCTTTTTAAAAGCATCATTTGTTAAAAATTTTCTGATAAATAGCTTGCAATGATAAATGTTAACTAACAAATGAAAATACGTGCAATGCAATTTAAATATAGAAGAAAGAAATGTGCATTGTCCAAAAATTGCATTGCATTATATTCCATTTTCTATTTATATTTTGAATTGTCACCAGCCTCCTGTATTGTTTCCCTTTATATAAATAAAGGCATTTCCATAAATTGGTGCAGAAAAAAGTTTCCAGAATGCAAAGTAAATATATTTACTATAACAACTTGAAAAATGAAACTAATAATTACCAACGTAGAGTGTGTTAGTGAAATCAGTGGTGTAAATGTGGATGAGTGACTAGTGTGAAGTTTGGGTGTTGAGGAGTGGTAACAAAACAACTCCTGCCTGCTGCTGCTGGCAGGAGTGGGACCAGATCAGAGAGAGAGAGAGCAAAATGGCTGAAGTATTTATCCTCCCACAGCCTCTAGACCAGGTGCTCCCAATATGGCTGATACCTTCAGGGACAAATGGAAAACAGTAAACTGCCCATCACCACACAATTAAACACCCAACTAGGCAGGGCTGTCACAGTGGGTAGAGAGAATAATGCCAGGGAGTTGTAAGGAGGCTATAAGGAGGCGTATGGTGAATGAGAGGTTAACGTACTTCCTGGAGGAAATAGAAATGGTGGCTTCATATCAAAGCAGTCTCAGGAAGGGAAGGAGTACTATAGATCCGATGCTGGGGCTGGAAGATAAAATAAGGAAAGCCCAAGTAAATAAAGAGACGATGGTTGCAGATTTGGAAGCGGCATATGATATGTTATGCAAGGAAGGATTGCTAATTAAACTGAACTTAATGGGTGTTGGAGCGAAAATGTTTAATTGGATTATGGACTTTTTAGGAAAGAACTATTCAGGTGAATATAGGAGCAGAATTATCTAGCCAATATGTTGTAGAGGAATAAATCCAACTTTATTTTCCAGAATGATAAATAATGTATTTGTAAACATTCCAATGGATATGGGGAGATCATTGTTTGCAGATGATGGGGCATTGTGGAAGAGAGGGAGAAATGTGGAATATATAGTTGTAGTAGAAAATGCAAGATGTAATTAAGTCAAAAAGTGGGGAATAAAATGGACATTTAAGTTTTCAGTGGAAAGTCTTGAATTGACTTTTTTCACAAGAAAGAAAGTTTCCTTCTTCACAAGAAAGAAAGTCAGGGAAGGGTTTTTTGGGAATGTATTTTGATATGAAATTAACATGGAGAGAACATATTAGATATGTAGTAGATAAGTGTCAAAAAGTTATAAATGTCATGAAGTGGTAGTATACGGTTCAGTAATCTGTATTAGCAGACCAATATGTTATACAAGCTCGGGCTTTAAGAGTGTGTTTAGGAGCGGTTAGAACCTCCCCTGTATGGGCTCTCCAAGTAGAAGCAGTTGAAATGCCATTGTGGTTGAGGCGGAAGCAGCTGGGGGCTAATTACTAGATCACTCTAAGAGGGCATGGAGATAGCTATCCAGCAAAAAGGGTGCTGCAGACATGCTGGGAGAAGGAGACGACACAAAAAACAAGTTTTGGGTGGACAAGAGATCAAATGGCAAGGGATACAGGGGTATATGATAAAGAGTTTGGCGCCATATTGATGACATTGGAATGGATAGAACAAATTAGTTATAAGGAAATATTAATATGTAGTGACTCTGTTTTCAGCTCTTATAAGCATGAAGACAGGTACAGCCAGAAGTCACCTGGACCTGCTGTATGAAGTCCCAGGTGAAAAAGAAATATACTTAAGTTGTACTTTTTCTTGATGCACTTATCACATTTTAATTGTACTATACTAAGTGTATATTAAGTGTGTTATTTTGGAACAACTTAAAGTATGTTAAGTGTTCTTTTAGAAATACTTAAACTCAACTTTAAAATAATTGCAATATATTTTAATATACTTAGCTGTGTTAAAATGGAAAAACATTAAATATATTTATTTAATTAAATATATATTTAATTTAGCTTAAAATACCCTTTTATGCTAACAGTTTAAATATGTTTTGAACATTATTATTAGCATTTCAGCTTATTAGTAGTTTCTTACTAGTATACTCCATCAATATACTACAAAGCTGCTTTATGAAACCATTCAGTAAGACAATAATTCATTATTAATGCATTAAAAATACCTCGCTAAATGCCCTTATAGCATAATAAATATCAGTAAAAAATGTATTTTAAAACACACACACATACAGGCAACAAGAAAACTTTAATCTTCTGTACATTACAAAAATAAATTCCTGTACAGCAGACCAAAACGCATTCAAATAAAATAAAATGAAATGACCATTAACAAGTTGCAAACTATTGGTAATGGGCATTCATTATTTACAAAAAGTGACCTGCTCCTGGGTCACAATGCAAGTCAACAGAACAGGCTCGTCATTAATACTTTGAACCTTCCCCTTATTGTCAGGAACACTCCATCCATCCATCCATCGTCAACCGCTTATCCTGCATACAAGGTCCGGGGGGGCTGGAGCCAATCCCAGCTGACATCGGGCGCAAGGCGGGGTACACCCTGGACAGGTCGCCAGTCCATCACAGGGCCAAATATAGACGAACAACTACTCACGCTCACACCTAAGGACAATTTAGGGTCGCCAATTAACCTAGACTGCATGTCTTTGGACGGTGGGAGGAAGCTGGAGTACCCGGAGAGAACATACAAACTCCACACAGAAAGGCCGGGGCAACCGGGGTTTGAACCCACGACCTTCTTGCTGTGAGGCGATAGTGCTAACCACCACACCGCCCCTCAGGAACACTCATCATTTAATAATATAAATTTAATTAAAATGGACACAGACTTGTTTCTACCGAAATCATGAACCACTAAACTCATGTTTACAGTATTTAATCCATTAATGGCTTTGATACTGACCTGACAGCATTGATTGCCTGTTTCATTTTGTACCTTCAACAAAATGATACTGTAACCAATATAACGTTAGGCAGTGCTGGCAGAGGAGAGGCATAATTTATTGACCAAACATGAAAATACCTTAATTCATACTTTATTTATTTTGGCATATGACAATTGGTGATCGAATGAGAACATATTTCGATACAGTATAAGAAACATACAATAATGCAATAAGATATATAAATTGCCATAAGAAGAGGCAGTTGCTAAGTTATTTGCCTGACTGACAGTTGATATTTTTTGCCAACTTCAGAGAAGACAGTCAACAGTATGAGTGAGTTTGAGAGAGGCCAAACATTCTGTGCCCAATTTGCAGGTCCGTCTGTCAGAAAAACTGTCCAGTTGTGTGATGTATAAACTGACTGTCCTCAAGGTCATGAGTGTTTCTAACAAACACAGACATACTGCATCAGCAAAGAAGAACAGAAGGCACAAGCCACAGACGATAAGGAAAAGACCGACAAAAGCTGGATGAAGAGAGCAAAAAGACCTGAATCCCAGACCAAAGACAAGTAGTATTACATGTACACTGGGTAATGTTTGCATAAAGCCACAGGATACCTTCATTCAAACCACAGTTTTGTTTGCTTTAGAATATTTTATTAAGTTTAAATAATTTTTGGGAAGGCTTCGGAATGGGCAGGGAATATGAGCCTATTCTGTCAGCTAAGATGAAAGAAGAGTTTTCACCTGCTATCATTAAGCAGTGTTTTACACTGACATTCGCCTGATGGTTGCAATCCACTAAGGTACATGTACCGGTATTTGTTTATGGATTTCTAAATGATGAGACTTTTTGTTTAGTTGGGAAAGAATAAAGACAAAACCCCTGAAAAGAGATAGAAAGAACTTAGAGAAGTAAAGGTGTTGAAGTGGACCTGTTCATTCAAATAAACAAAAATGTGCTGAATTTATGGAGCGTTATTAACTATACATCTATACTCTGCAATGGTTTCAATAAGGGAAAATACATTTATGGTCTCCTGACAGACTCTGTCTTCCATCCTTTTACTGTGTTGGATTGTTCTTCTATGGTTGGATCACTGTTCTGACTACCAGTTGGTAGTCACATCCACTTTGACCCCCCTGAGAAATACACTCTTTTTGTCATAAGATCTTGACCTTGACTTTGTGTCCTGACCATCACAAGCAGCAGCAGATGAAGAACAAATTGGCTACAAATCAAATTGTGGTTGCAAATCAGTTTATTTATAATTCATGAGTTACCCGTTGGAGATTAATTGATCATTTATAATTTGTTCCAGCCCAAATTCGGTTACCTCAGAATAGTAATTTTTAAATTTCTTGCAATTTCTTGCCAAGTAAATGTAATGTAGAATTTATATCGTCTAACCTTCCCCTGTACCATCAAAATGCTTATTGCAGCTTGTGCTACGGGCAGCATTGAAAATATAATATTGCACTGCTGTTAACTGCTCGATCATTTTCGTTTCATGCAAAGTACGCTTTTAATGTAAAAGCGTGTTTAGTTACAGAATGCTTTGCAGGGTGCTTTTATTCTGAAATGCTCCGATCGGATGTACGAGTTCTCTCCGGTGGTGTTTACAGCTGTGGGTGAAACGCGAAAACAGCTCTGGGCTAACCTTACCGTATGCAATTGTAGATTAAGTACAGCACGCCATAATCGGTGCACACGGTAATGTGTTTGCTTTGTCCTTAAATTCTATTAAAATGGAAACAATATGTTGTGAATATGTATTTTGTTGATGGAAGCTAATGTAGTAGCTTGCCTCCTGGCTAGCCTCATTAACGTTACGATCGAGTTGATTGAACACCTTTGACTGTCCACAGAAAACTAACTAAAGCTAATGAACGTCTTTAAATGTGCGTTAGCTGCTGCTGGGTTTTTGATCTGTACTGTAAAGTCTCCCGTGTATTTCTTGCAGCTCCTGCACCGGTAATCACCTGCATCTAGGTAACGTCAGCTCCCACAGGGTGGTTGTGTGAGCCGTGTTTTATTTATTTTTTTGATTATTCAGATTAATACAGAACAGCTACCTTAGCATACACATTTGCCTTGCTTGTTTTAAAATGAAGTTAAAAAAAAATTGTTATCTCTTTTTTTCATCCGTTTATAGACCAACGATCACACAGTGCACCTCAACAGCTTCGCAGCAGTGGCTCTTTCCCTTCCCTGGATCTCCATTCACCAGTGTACAGAATAATGCAAACACCATTTGAAAGAGGACTTTGGGACACCTAAGTCATTTGGGATTGCAGGCACCAAAAGAGACAGTGTTCAAGGCAATATGAGTGACTTAACAGAGTTTGAAAGATGCCAAATAGTTGCTGCGCGACTATCAGGTGCATCTGTCACAAAAACGGCACAGCTGTTTAATGTAGCCAGAGGAACAGTCTCCAGGGTCATGACGGTATACGTGAAACATGGACGGACAGCATCAGCAAAGAAAAACAGCGGGCGCAAGTCAAAGCTCACCGAAAAGGACAGACAGACACTTCTCAGGATAGTTGATGAACACCCTGAGTTTACAGCCTTAAAAATAACCACAGAATTGAATGGACACCTATCTCATGCCGTCTCAGTAAAAACTATTCGGCGCGAGCTTCACAAAGCCGGTATTTTTAGGGGAGCAGCCACTCGGAAAGCAGAGACCAAGGCTGACGCACACAAGCTAGATGGAAAGAACACTAAACCTGAACCTGGCAAAGAGTGTGACACACAAAAGCCTGTTGAAGAGAGCACAAGACCTGAGATGAAAACAAATGGCACACAAAAACCTACCGAAGACAAAACAATATCTGGACCCCAGGCCAATGTCGAAGAATACAACACAGAAACATCGGAAGAGAGGATACAACCTAAACCTAAAGTCAGTGTAGAAGAGTACAGCACACACAAGCCTGGTGAAGAGAGCACAGGACCTGGATCCCAGACAAGTGAAAAGGACTAACGTCGTCTGATGTGTTGTATTTCAGCCTTCCAACATCCACATTGCTCATATTAAGGGAAAACAACAGAATGTCACTAACTGCCCATGGATCTGTAATAATGTTTCAGTTTTTAGATTTTATTATTTATTTTGCATGAATGCATCGTGGTGCAATATTCAGGCTTTTCCCAAGATTCTTCATTTTTCCTGATTTACAAGCAAACAAAACGTCAATGTAGACTGTTGAGAATTGGCCTAAAAAATTTCCATACTGGGGATGTTTATTATATTGTTCAAAAAAATAAAAACTCTATACGGATAATGACTGGTTTGTTCCTAACATGTAGACCAATGCCATGCAGAGATAATATCTGCTGTTTCCATCGTATCTGATAGTGTTGTACTGTAAAGCCTTTTTGATAAGGTGTGAAACCAAGCAGCAACTTCAATCCTGTAAAATATAGTTCCTCTACTGTCTCAAAAAGTCATACTTTATTGAAGTCACTGTCAAACTCCCCAGTTTTATTTGTTAAATATGAAGTTATTTTTTTTATTCCACAAGATGTTCGGTTCTCAGGAGTTGATGTGTGTGTCTTCTGACATGTCTTGGTTGTGATTTTGGTGTTTAGACAGGTTTTTCAGGCTATCCTGCTTAACTGCAGTGGTTGCTTTTTGCTCATCCCATCTCAGCTTCACTTTGGCTCTACCTAAACTTAAAAGCCAAACTTTCAATATGTCCCTCAAGCAACCTATGGGATGGTGCAGATAAAACACTTTCTTCTACTTTTATAAAATGTTAAATTATACAAGAAAGTGACACGTTCGGGACATTAACCAGTATTATTTAATTTTTGTTGCAAATGTATGGAGTGATCATTGATGACCCCACCATAAGGTATTAAATCTGAATCATCACATCCCTACCATGCTACCTTTTGCTTTTGTATACTAAATTTGTAGCATCTGCTTGTGCATAGCTGATGGCAGGAATGGGAGTGGGACACAAAGCGTAATGTTTGTACTGCATATTAAAACAATACATAGAAAAGTAGAAAAGTCTGTATTTTTTTTAAGGTAAAAAATATATACTCTGCGCTGGTACTGTCTAAAAAGGGTTGAGAGTGATAACCCTGGCAGGTGGGGAGTCCAAGTAAAGCTGCAGTGATGATTTTCTTTGTTTGCACAACTTGCAGTTATAAGCAAGGACATGAAGCCACAATGGCAAACACATGATAAATGAGTGGTTAGTGTTGCCAAGCACAATGTACTTGATCTTGGGTCTTTGCAAGAAGCATCTCTCTTTCAAAGCCTGAATACTAAAAAGACCGGCTTAGTCTTGTTTGAGACTTTGGGAGTCAGGGAATTACTCCAGAATGTATATGAACATTCAATAAATCATTTAAACATGATTTCAACTAATTGCAGTCCTGCGGCAGGTTCAACGCAAACAACCTTTCACCTGTTTAAAAATCCCACACGAGTCTTTGTAGCTCCAGAAGTGATGGTTTTCAAGCCACATAGGTCTATTAACTTTATCAAAATGCAACATAATAGATGTTCTGTAAATTGGTATGCCATGTACTGTGTGGGGGTCATTGGTGTGGTTGTAGTCCTAAAGATGGTTCTTATACTTTATCCATCCCATTTATATCAATGAGGGTAGAACATATATTAGAAACACCTCTCAGTATAACATACTACAATTCAACAGCAGTGTATGTGGAAACCTGCTTGGTAATAAATTGATTCTGGATTTCATAACAGATTAAACATTTATGGCGACTACAAGGTGGTTGAGGCCAAATGGCTGTGACTCAGCACCACCTACTGGTTGATTAACAACTTCAATCAAGCACCATAGCAATGGTCTGCAGGAAGTCTGCACCCCTGGAGAATGATGTCTCTGTCGAACAGAATCTCACCTTGCTCAGCAGAGGTATCATGTAAAGATAAGACTGTCCTTGTGATTCATTAAGTAACTATACTAACAAGCATGGCACCCAGGTCAGCAACACAAACCAGCAAGAAAATCTGAAATGACTGTAATGGAACTATTTTGACCTGTTCCTTTATTTTCTTCCTTTGTCATCTTTCAAACAGCATATGTAGCTGAACCAGTCTAGCCCCTGCCCACTTCTCTGTCTCTGTAAAAGGTCAGCAAGGAGGGCTGGAAGCAGCCTATGTTTGGAAAATCAACCTATAAGGCAACACCTGGGCAACAAGAAACATCTGTCAGTCACATGTTCCAATAGTTTTGCTCACTTGAAAAATGGGTGGGTTCAAACAAAGGGTGGTATGTCCTGAGTTGTTTAACACATCTAGATGCTGAAATTCTGAACTCTTGTCTCATACTCATCTTTTGATCTTAAACCCAAATGTCTTCAGAGAACAACAAAAACAAAGGAATTTGCCTTACCGTTCCAATATTTTTGGAGGGGACTATATGTATAGCTATGGCATTAAGTGGGTCTGTGTTTGAGCGAAAATGATGTCCTGCTATTATTTGGGTATGGGTCTGACTTGCTGGCAGTTTTGCTCTAGAATAGTTGGTGATCACTGACTACAAAAGTTGTTGTGTGGTATGGGGCACCCAATAACTCATCATCTACAGACTGCAGACATTAGTTAAATATGAAAGAATATTGAAAGCTTTGTAAGATTTTACTTTACTTTACTACAGAAGCACAAGCCTGTGCTGTACTGGGTTTCCTTTATGACCTGGAAAAAAGTTGACCCCCCCCCCTATGATTGTCATTGTATAATTTGCACACTGATTAGATGTAATCCAGGCCCAAGGCACTCAGACTCAGAAAACAGCTGAGGGTCAACTACTGGATAAATTTGAGAGGTCATGGATATCTTAGGTAAGTTGACAGGCAGATGGAAAGCAGATATCAAATCATGTGTCAGTCTTCACGACGAGTTTTAGGCAGTCCTGCGGGCACTTGAGTGGGTGGAGAAAGTTAAACCAGGGAAGTATCCTCAGATTCTACTTCAGCTCTAATGGCACTGAAAAGTGGGACCAGATTTAAAAGTAGAAATTCTGACTGGGTTCAATCAAGAATCTAAGCTGGGAGAACACTGATGCAGTACAGGAGAACAAGTCATCACTGAAACCTGTGTCAAATGCAAAAATTGGCAGGTGGAGCAATGTGGAAATAACTATGCTGAGACAAGATCACTGAAGTGAAAGATGGAATGACAGTGGTTGGTAAACACCCAGATGGAAAATGCATCAGTGCCTCATTCAAGCAGAGCTGTCAGAAATTACAGATCAATTATTGAAATCAGTCAATGAAACTCTACTAATGACCTGTGGAGGTCAGTAATACGCATTTGCAGCGCCTAGCCCGCCGCAAATTCATCATCATCCCAAGAAGAAGAAGAAGAAGCGTATGACCCAACAACGGACCCGGAAGTGCATCCCCAATCGTAAACACAGCAGTGAGCAGTGTTTCTGAAAATGCAGGTGGAAATGGGAGAAATGCCGTTAAGAATCAGGCGAGTAAAGTTAATGTTGGCATACTGGGTTAATCTCCAGGGGCAATGTGACTCTCATCCTGCCAAGAGTCTCTTAATAGATTGCTGGGAACACAATGAGACAAATTTCACAAGTTTTGGGTGGATTGGTGATGCAAAGGCAGAAGTCATAGGATTACGACAATTAGACTACAGCCCTACAGTGTCACAGTCTTCCATTCCTCCCTGGTTATTCCCAACACCAATTGTAGATCTAAACATACAGCAGGAGTTGAAGGATATGTCAAAGAAACTTCCAGCATGCAGTATAGTACAGAATTACTTTGATTTACATTTTTCAGACTCCATGTTTATATTCACAGATGGCTCCAAAGATCCTGATACAGGGCGTGCAGGTGCAGCAGTCTTTTTCCCAGCAAGTGAGTCATATATCAAGAAAAGAATATCAGATCATGTCTCAGTGTATACCACAGAGTTGACTGCAATATTACTGGCCCTGCAGTGGATAGAAGAGAGGGAAACAAATAATACTGTCATTGCATCTGATAGCTTGTCTGCTCTAATGAGTATTAAATCTGGCAAATCATCATTTAGATCCAAAATCCTCAATGACATATTCCTTATATTGTACAGGATGGAGCTAAAGGGCTTATCCACATGCTTCCTTTGGGTTCCTGCTCATGTTGGTGTGGAGGGAAATGAGCAGGTGGATATTCTGGCCAAAGGAACACTCAAAATCAAACATGTAGACCTAAAAACCCCTTTAACTAAAGATGAAGCTAAGACATTTATCAGGACCTATGCACAGTCAGTTTGGCAGGAGCACTGGGACAACAGTGAAACTGGAAGGCACCTATATAATGTACAGAGACAGGTTGGTGCCGGAAGGATGGTGGGCTGGAAACGTAGGGAAGAAAATATAATCACTCGTCTGAGAATAGGACATACAGGTCTCAACCTTTCATTATATAAAATAGGTAAGCACCCAACTGGGAAATGTATATATTGTAACCAACTAGAAACGGTTGAACATGTTCTCCTTCAGTGTAGGAGATACACTATCAATAGGGAACGCCTCTTTCAGTCATTACGGAAGGCAAAACATCATGATATCTCATTGGCGGGTCTCTTGGGGAAAACAGCAGGCCAGATATATTGTCATATAATTAAGTTTCTTAAAGAAACTGAGTTAGGAAAAAGAATTTAATTTATGTTTATTTTTGTTTGGGTTTTTTTTTTTGTTGTTGTTGTTTTTTTTTTTTTTTTTTTGGTTTTGGTTTTGTTTATTTCATTTATTTCCTGCCTAATCTCTCGTTCCACACTCCAGTCCAGCTTGTGGCGGTAATGCACCGTTAAACTGGTTTGCCAACCGCCATTAAACCCTAAAGAAGAAGAAGAAGAAGAAGTGTTTCTGAAAGATGGTGTACGTGTCCAACGGTGAGTGGTTTGTGTCTTCCACCGTTTTCTCATTTTCAGAACGAATATGTAGCTTTCTTGTAGATGTAGTTTTATCTGTCCAACATTGGTAGTTAAAACGCATCAACTTAACAGGAATGTGTAAAAACATAGGAGCTATAACGTAGCTAACCAGCTTGTTAGCAAGTTTCGCCTGGCTGGATCTGCGTAGCGGTCGGAAAAGAGCTGCTGAATTAATCAAGCGAGTCTTCTGTAGAGACGGTTTCCTGCATTGCTCAGGATTGAACTGCAGTATTAATTTCCTTACTTTATTGAGTGTGCTAACTTATGTTCATGCTCATCAAGAGCTTTAAGATGTTTTGGGGAAACGGGGTCTGCTGTGTTGTTACTCGCTGTGTTAGTCTGTGTACTAAATGTGAAGGAGCTCCAGTCTTCCATGTCCTGGTCCCTGCTGTCTCATCCGTCTCTCTCTGTGTCTCCCAGGTCAGGTCCTGGACAGCAGGAGCCAGTCACCATGGCGACTGTCCTTACTGATTGATCTGTTCTGGGGGGCGGTTGAGTTTATCGGCCTGTTGTAAGTCGATCAGTCACACACATCATGTTATTTTTCTGATTACAAAAGGTGCTGTAAGTCAGCTGTCTTCCCTGATTGATGAGAGGAGCCACATGATGTTGGATTTCTTGTCTTCAACAGTGCTAACCTGTGGCTAGTAAAAGTACAAGTGGAAAGTGGTGGAACAGTGAGAGAGTTTCCAGTCATGCTGGAGGCTCTGGGAGGTTGATCTTACAAACACCAGTGCTTTGAGCTAAACGTTAATGTCAGCATCCTAACATGCTCACAATGACAGTGCTAATATGCTGATGTTTAGCAGGTATAACGTACTGTTTAGCATGCTACCATCTTTATGTAAGGCACTTGCATGCTAAGCTAATGATTTGGGCGCTGACACAAATGGGATTTGTTGTGCAGGTATTTTGTCAAACCATTGAGAAAACTAGGCACGTTTTTGCATCCCTACATACCACTGCTGTCCAACCTGATCTTCTTTGTCCTTTACCAGTTTTAAGACAATGATTAACCCTGACATGGCAAAGGATGGAAACTCTGCTTCGTCACGCTTCACTGATGGCAGAGGGTAGGTCCCTTGCGCACAGTCATCTTTCTACTGTCACACACACTGGGGACTAAATGTCATGTGTAAACTACCTGAGGGTTTTATTTGAAAGGGGGGATCCTGTAAAACTAAATAGTTTAGTCAGTTTTTGGTCCCACACATGAGAACCACTGGTTACTAGCAGACTTTAAAATGGTTCATAATCCAAGGAAAGTCCTGACCTGAGAGCTGCGGAGTTTAAATATTATCTTAAGTGCAGGAGTGTTTCTCATTTATGTTGGCCATCCCTTGCACTCCAGTTTCAAATATCTTATCAAATATGTTGGCAAGTTTCATTTTAAATCGTCTATCTCACTTGCTTTTGCAGTCCTCCAGGTCCCCCTGGTGGCAGAAGACGGATGGGAAGAATATCCCACGGTGCTGGACCCAACGCTCCACCAATGGGTGGAGGAGGATGAGGAAGGTGAGGAATATTAATGTCAGGATAAATCCCTCATTAATATGTCGTAACTTCTATCCTGGAGCCTGTATCACAAAGGGAGATTAGGGGTTAAATCTAAGAACTTTTTTTAATTGCCCAAAAACTATTTGGACATGATGTGAGGTCAGCAATAATCCTCCAATGTATAACCCCCACCTCTTTCTAGGTAAACGCCTACACATCCAGTGTAGGCGTGGGGCGTGGCACAGTGTCCGTTTGCTGAGAACCTAAAGGAACATGGTGACGCCACGGTGCCATGATGCCCCTCTTCATCGGCTGCCGCTGCCACAAGCAGTTTCTTGACGCCTTTCTGGGAATACCTACACATAGGGGCCAGAATGGCTGATACAGCAGCTCTCTGCATCACTTCCTCCTTTTCCTGCTTCTGCCCTTCCCTTCCACACCAGTCTCCTAGAGATGTGTGTCACTGACATCTCTGTTATGATCATCCCTCCAGGGAATGAAATTAGTTTTTGTTTGTATCTTTTGGTCTGAATAAAAAATTGTGCTGTTAAAATGTGTTACTACTACTCACTACTTGTCTTGTTCCATTCCTGTCAGACTTTGCAATGATACAACTTGCCTCTATTTAGAGCTGGCCAATACTGACAAAAATGATGTGGCATACTTTTAACTCAATATTGATAATGTAAAAATATTCAATCTAAGAGGTGGATGATTTTGTTTCATAATAAAAATAAAATAATAATGTGAATAATCATACTGGGGGCAACCTTGTGTTTAAATGCAATATGTTTAGAATTTAAAGAAAGATGGATTTTGTATATTCCAATAAAATACAACCATTGTGTTAGTAGAAGTGTGACTGGTTTATTTACAGTGATCCAGACTTTCATAAACATTGGAGAATAGCAGCATTATTTACAGAATATTAACAAGTAAACCCCCTTTGTCTATTAAAAGGTTACAGAATCTCATGATACAAGAAACAAGACTTCATTGTGGATTGTTTGGTGACAATTTTCAATATGGTGTTAGCAATGCAATAAGTATCAAAGTAATACTTTCAGTATACTTCCCCACACATAGATGGTACCCTTATTTTTCTTTCCATAACATTGCTTTATCTATTGTATGAATATGATCGTGACTGAGAGATGTATCATTTGCATCTGCTAAATCTTTCTGCTTGTTTAATTTTGGAGCAAAACTTTACTTTTCTTAATTTTTCCCAACTACAGTGCGGACAGGCAGCTGACCTACACAATATTGTGCTTGACATGTCCTGTGTAGACACAGGTGGAGCACTGAAGCTGCTGCTGTTCTGCTCACATGCTCATGATACACCTCCTGTGTAGACACCACGGTGTTCGTTTCAAGTGAAATCAGTTTGGCTCCTTCACCAAACAAAGGCAGCTCTCTCGCGAAGCATTCGGACGCCGAAGCGCTGCCACTCCCTCTGGTGGATCCACATCTCCTGAGTGGTGTCCAGACATGCCAGGACTGCCCCCCCCTTCCACGATATCAACCGAGGGTCCATGTCCTAGATTACATGCACATCAATATACAGTGCATTAGAGGAGTGCTGTGTATATGCAGTATGTGCCTCCCCCAACCTTTGACATACATAGAAATATTAAAAAATGAATGCCAGTGAACGCCATGCTACTACCTGCATTGCAGATCTGTATCCTATTCTATGACTATATACAACATCTCCTAGGTTACCTTTGGCCGTGTGATAACTTCCACGTTGTCTACCAGCCGTCTGAATGATGGCGGCATCTTGTTGATGATGCGGTGAAGGAGAAACTCCTGGGCACCATGAAACATGAGGCCTCCTCCCACTACCAGGATGGAGCTGTACATCTTGCGTTTGGTTTCATCTGATCCTGTCAACAAAAAAAAAACGAAGGGAGCTAAAACCGGACATCCTGAGCACCATAACACATCTGTCCTCCTCCACATCCTTTTGTTTTTACTTCCTTGCAAATAAAATGAAATGATACCATATAAAAGATTTTACATAGTACTTTTCATTTACATAATTCCTCACTATTACAATGGCCCTGACAGCTCAGTGCACTGCTACTTCAGAAAACATGTAAACAATTGGGACATTCTGCTTCATCATAACATTGGGCCTTCAGCTTTGACCCCCTTGCTCATACTTAGGCTGTGCAGAGAATAGTGGGTCAGAACAGCCAGAAAAGCTTGTGGCTTGCATCCGATGAAGTAGGACATCCTAGTATTTTGGCATACAGCATTTGACATCCTGTGTATTTGGACATACTAAATATTTTTTTCTGGCATATTATATTCATATATATATATATATATTTAATAAATAGTATGGTAGTCTGGGAATTGCAAGTTGCAAGTCCCAGTTATGTTCATCACTTTTTAGTTTCCCTTTGAAATGGATTTTGTTTGTTTTCTATGCTTCTTGCGGTGCTTTTATGTGGTTGTGTTTTCTCTATTTGCAGCATTTTTTTTAAAGTCTTTTCTCTTAAGTTTCAGTGCATTGAACTTTCAGGACCACCGTACCATTTTGTGACCCAATATCTGACAATTCCTTTGAATACTTCATTTGTTATTGCGCTTTTTTAAAGCGGTCATATTATGCTTTATGGCTTTTACCTTCTCTTTTATTGAGTTATATACTTTTTTGTGCATGTAACAGGTTTGCAAAGTGAAAAAGCCCAAAGTCCAGCCCAAAGGGAGTTCCCATCTCCCACAGAAAACCCTGCTCTGAACTGCCTGAAAACAGCTTGTTTGTAGTCCAGCCATTTTCCTTTCATCCCTGTGACATCACAGCAAGATGCGTGTCATAATGCTCGCCAAGCGGCTAGTCAGACTCGCCTTCAAAAACACAGGTGGAAAAACAGTGAGCTGCAGCACACCTCTCCTCTCCCTTCCAGGCACTAGCTACCCTCCAGGCAGTCAGTGGATATAAAGTTGTTACTGTGATGTAGAGACAGAGCTCAGTTAAAACTTTATGGATGAAAGATACTTTTGTTACAGAATAATAACTCTCTGAAACGCTTGCTCCAGTAATGGCGTTAAACTGGTAAGGGGATATTCTGCTGAACCAAAGCTGTGTTTACCGGCTTCTCACGACCCGCCCTTCTCTGCTTCTGAATGGCTAGTGGTCCTTAACTAGAAACTCAACTCCCAACAAAGATCTTGTAGAGGTGAGATGCATCACTCCATAGTGAAACGAAATGTTAAACTGGTACAACCCCTAAATAAGATTTTGAACCTGAAAATGAGCATAATATGACCTCTTTAAAGCACTTAGTTAACTGTATGTCCCCCCTGCTTCCTATCTCTACTTGGTCCTTTCTTACCACAGCAGTCGATGCTATGCAGGATGGCCTTATCCAGGCCCAGTGCTTTGCTCTCAAACTGGCTCATGATAGCAGTCTTCCTGGAGAGGTGAGCAGACAGGGGTTCTTCCACCTCTCCTGCCCCCATCATGCACTCCCCCTGGGCAGGCCCAAATTCTATCTCCCCCTTCGTCCCTCCTCCACTTCCTCCACTCCCACAGCCCCTGGGCAGGTCAGAGAGCTCCCCGATCCCTCCCTGACCGCTCATCTCACCATCCAAACCTCCACCTGTTCTGGAGATAGCCTTCCGGTTCTCAGCAGATTTGGAGGACTGATCAAGAAAAGGGGAGACTAATCAAAAAAATGACAAGAACCACGGTGCTTCTATCTGAAGAGTGTGCATGTGTGCATTTCTCTTTGTGAGTGTGTGCTACCTGGTCCTGTTTGCTCTGTGTGGCCAGCAGGTAGTGTTCATCATGAGGATCCTCTGAGTCGCCTTGGGAACGGTACTGAAGTGACGTCATCTTCTGACCTACGATGCCAAAAGTCGTCGGGTAGAAAAGACCCATGGGTGCCTAACATATGCATACACACATATGAGCCAGAAAACGCAAGGGGGAAAGATACAAATAGAATAATAGCGGAGAGTAATTCCAGTACACAAGCTGGAGAAAGAATAATGCAAAAGGTATTTCAGCATTATTCTTTCAGCACCAATCTTAAAATAGTTTTCCATCACTATTTGAACTCAGTACCTGCAATTTCTCATCCCCTAGTCGAACCTGGTAGAGAAGAGCTGGGGCTTCTGGGAAACGTGTCTGGAATTCATGATCTTGTAGCCCTGATATGTCCTGTTAAGAATAAGTGGAGTATAGACATTTTGGCATTAATCTGAACAACTGCAGATTTCCCTGTCCGTTCTTGTGAACAAATATGGTGATCTAAACAGAAATAAAGGAGCTGATCAACTGATTAAACTGATCAACGTACAAGTTACAGTTCCCCCATAGCCCCTCTTAACACAAAGACACCACCCCCAGTCCAACACACACCTGGTCTAGATGGCAGAAGGTCTCTTTCAGATGCTGCAGGAGCTGACAGTCCAGTCTGCTGGACAGCTGACAGTCTCTATAGGGAAAGGCTGCCCTCTGCAGGAGCCAGAAGAAAGTGCGGGTCACGTCTGAGCCACCATATGCTAAACACAGCCTGTAAAGTCCAACAAACAGAACACACAATGTAATATTACTAGGGAGTCCCTGAAAGGTCACATGGGAATTTGTTTATTTTCATATCTCTCTCTCTCTCTTTCTGTAGTATCTGCAGGGTGTTTCCCTAAACTGTTAATTACGACTGGACTGGAACAACACACTAATTCTTCCTATGGATGGGGATTGCAAATATATTGAAAGGGAATAAGGCTGAACAGTTAATCAAAATATTATCAAAATCGCAATATGTCACACTAAATACAAGACGTTAACAGGACTTCACCAGAAAGTCTATCTCCTGTATGTCATTGTTCTGGGTTTCATGTGTGAAATCGATACATTATATCTGCAATTATAACCTGGGTGAATATTAATTTTTTTCATAGACATAATTAAGCATGAAAGTGGTTTTCAAACACACCTGGAGTTCCGGTGGGACACGCCATCCTCTACACAGCAAAGACTGGTCTTCTGATCTCCTACATCCACGACACAAGCACTGCTCATGCCACTGCCAAATGTAGCACACACGGACTCCTGGTGCACAATGATTGCTACAGACACACACACACACACACACACACACACACAGGTTAGGTAAGGTTATCGCAAGAAAGACTGGATGTGTTCCTTAGCCTACCGTTAACAGGCTATGGAAGAATATAACAGTGTATATCTCTTGTGTTTTTGTTGTGTGCAGTAACACATATATGTTTATGTGTGTAATACCTGAGAAGCCCATATTAAGCAGTAGCATGTTGACTACTTCTTTGATGTGCTGCCTGTTGTAGATGTCGGGGACCAATAGGATGCATCTGTAATACTGGCAACCAGTCACAAAAGCAAAGCATTAAGGTGAGAAGGAAAGAACTTCCACTCTCAGCGTAGTTTGATCTAGTTTATAAGGTTTACTGAGTACCACTTACTCCTGTACTGTTTTGTTCTTATTCAACTCTCTTTAATGAACTCTTCAGTGTGTTTTTAAGGACTCTTAAAATGTAGAGCTGCCAGAGTGCTGCTGATTCATCTTTGCCCATTAAATTACTTTAAATGCTCCTTCCAATAGATTAGGTAGAATAGGTTTTTTTGCATGCATTAATCTTGTACTTTTTTAAATTAACACTGTAACATTCCTTATTTTCGTGCCTTTTAATTGATCGCATTGAATAAACTTTAAACCTACAGTGCTAAATAATGCAATTTAATAATGCTATTATTATAAGTCTTTCTTCATCAGTCTTCTTTCAGTGATTTTTCACATTTATTATTTTCTAGTCTCAACATGTTGTTCAAATTTCCCCCATAGTGGGAAGTGACAGTTACAAGACATGTGAAGAGGTTGGTCCTACCTTTAAGTCTTTGAGGGGGATATCCAGTTGCTTTTGGATGATATGACTCCAGATCGTCTCGAGGTCAGCCAGGACGGCAGTCAGTGAGCCTCCGGGACCGGCGTGCAGATTGAGTTGCCCTCTGACTATAGGCCAGTGGATGTTGTAACAGTCAGATGGATTCACATGAAGAGCCTGCATGATGGAAGGGTGGGAGGGGGAAGAGAGCGACAAAGCAAGATAAAGAAAAAATGGAGAAAACACTAAAAGGAGTAAAAAGATGCAAACAGTTCTCTTATTTTATAGGAGTTATCGGACAAATGCACTGACCTCCTCTCCCACCAGATGTGGAGGATGGAGGGCCGTGTTGGTCCACTTCACCCGGGAACTGCTGTCTAGTACTGCCGGACGGATCTGACAGTTATAAGCTCTGGCCTTATAACACACACACACACACACACACACACACACACACACATTATTCTATACATTTCCACACATGAAAGCATCCAGAAGTAGACACGAGTAAATCACTAGAAGCATTCATTGCACTTTAAATCAACCAATCAGCCCTTTATTCACTCTAGCAGCTTTCATACAAGCCATGCAGCCCAAAGTGTTTTAGTAATTTTTGTCATATTAAGTCACTTAAAGCAAATCAACAGTTGTGAAAATTTTAGGCAACCCCTACCTCCTGTAAAGTTTTAATGTGCAATGACTGGTTACAAAGTCATTTTCTCACATTTCTCATATTTCGCACATTGCTGCTGTCTGTGAAAACTGCAGTATTACATATGCAACAGTCCTCTCTCTTCTTGTTTCTCGATTTCATAAGACAAACCTGTTCAGCGGACACGGGTGTCCTCCGCACTCCGTTTGACATTTTCTTGGACCAGATGGCTTGGTCGACCATTTTAAGCCCATTCTGCCTCTGCTCGTTACTCTCTGGTTTCTGAAGGATCAAAAGAAGCAATGAGGGCAACTTAATTTGAGTACAGTGGTGACACAGAAGACTATATTGTGGGTGTATATGGTCATGAGTGACATACATTTAGACCGTCTCTCAACAGCCAGGCGTCTTCATATCTTGGCTGTCCACTCTGCTTGTGTCTGCGTGCTATCACATGTGGGATTGTCAGCGGTAGAGTGTCTGTTGCTCGGCCAATGCGGAGTGTCCTTGAACCAGGGTGGATGACAACTACAAAATTGCTTTGTATTTGCTGTAAAAGAGGGATATTTGAAATGATCAGGATTACCACAACCATTTCATGTACAATGAGGAATACACCACACCACTCAAAAGTATGTGGACACCTGAGCATTACACCTATACGTGCTTACTTACATCTCATAACAAAACCATGGCCATTGGGGCTGAATGATTTTGAAAAAAATGTCTAATTGCAATTATTATGACTGATATTGCAATTACGTGATATGATATTGGAGGGAATCATTTTTACATAATTATTCTCATTTTCATTGAAAAAAACTTTTTTACAAGGATCTGTACAAAACACAGATGTTTCTTAAGTCTGTAGAATACGATTTATTTATTTTAAAATGGTATCTAGACAAAATTTGCCTTTAACAAATACTCCTACTATTTGAAAATTAAAGTAGGCCATATTGCGATTTTGATAAGATTTCAATGAACTGTTCAGCCCTAATGTGGATTAATATTTTGCAACAGAAGCCTACACTCTCAGCAACCCTGGACACGGGGCAAGCGATGAGTGAGTGAGCAGACTCCACTCTTCTGGAAAGGCTTTCCACAAGTTTTCAGGGATGTGTGTTGACGTTGAGGTAGGGCTAGACAATGCGGTCAAAAATGTTATCACGATAACAACTTTCATATCATTCAAAATCAAATCAAATCATTATTTAGTTCAAGTTTAAAGGCTGATTTTTGCTCTTGAGTAAAATTAAGCACAGTCCTGTTTCCTTAACAAAAGTGCTAATTCGTTTCTGAATCAAATTAATTAAATCAAACATTTATTGAGCATTTGTTATATTGTTATTGAGGAAAATTATATTGTGATAATTATCATTTTTGTTTTATTGCCCAGCCCTGCCTGAAGGGAGTCTGTGCAGGCCAGTTTACTTCTTCCACACCGAGCTCAGAAAACACAACAGTGTGTGGACATGTGTGCCTTCTACCTAATCTATCTCCACAAGAGTTTATCAAGTGCGGGAGAGAGTTTTAAAGTTGGCAACATTTAAGCTTTTAAAAAAGGTATTTCTAATGTGTCCCCCTTCCACTTGGATATTAATGCCATGCTCCTGCCAGCCCAACTGGTCTGGTTGATGCCTGAAAGCTAAATATGCTGAATACAGAGCTTCAGATAAGGATGTTTGGTACATTACAGAAATATGAGCATTATATAATTGAAAGTCTCGGCTTTCCTTCTCACCTCCTGAAGAGGCTCTGGGATGGCCGGAGGGGCGATGGGTCTCTTTACCCCGCGTTGTTGCTCCTTCTCTTTCTCCTTGTCTCGTTCTTTTTCTTTCTCCTTCCCGTTGTCCTGCTCTTTTTCAGCCTGGGTCATGTTCACTGTTGGATTCAGTCGAGTAAATAGTCAGAAATAATGAGTCTCGATCTTCTAGTGCTTGTGAGGCGCAACCACACACAAGGACTCCGAATGAAAAGTTGTTGCAGCGGCAGAATGTACTTCCGTGTTAGGTCACGTGATACAAAATGGCGATTTCTATTTGTCCAAAAAAAAAGGGTGGGGGGGGTGTCTTGGCACTGCTTCTCCTCTGTGATTCATAGGCGGTGCATGACAAATAATGACAAATGCATGGATCATTTAAGACATAGTGGGCCCTTGGGCACAAATGGGGTAAAACAAAATAGATCCACAGTGACACTCCCTTTCAGTTCAGTTAAATTTTATTTATATATAGTGCCAATTCAATTCAATTCAATTTGTCATTTTCATCAATTCATTCATCAATTTGTCAATATCAGATTTGTCAATATCAGATTGCTCTGGACGTTTATCTCGACCGCTCGGTCCACGCATAGTTGTTAAATGAAAAAAAGTTGTAATCATGTGTTAATATTTACTATACTATATTTATATACTATTAATAAAGTATATTTATACTATAATTCTACTATAAATTATTATTACTATAAATAGCCTAATGATAATAATAAGGCAATGTTTCAATTCATACCACTGTTGTATATTTTATTTCTTCCAAAGTGATTTTAAGTTTCACAAACCAAGAATATTCTGTAATGTTACATCACGACCCAGATGTGTCTCGATTCTGGTTAAAACTTAACATTACTGAGAATTTATTGACGGAATAACAGCGGTACGAACATTATCAGCTGTTGCTGGACATGTCTGCTGTGTTGGCTGCAGTGGTCTGTGTGACTGGGCCTGGGGGAGCGAACCGCAGCTAGCTAGCTATTCCTGACAGCCGAAGTATATTCCTCTTACCCCAACCAGGGTGTGTGCCTAAAGTTATTGATTATATGCATGTCGACCGGTTAACCCTATCCGTTAACCTCCATTGTGTCGCTGTGCAGCCTCCGGTAACGTTACTGCAGCTATATAACACCCGTCGGCACTTGCGGAGCTTCTCAACTCCGAAAACGTTTAAACACATTTTCGATTCGCTGCCAATTTTCGTAAAACTGCCGATCTCCGAAATCTACACAGTTGATTTCTCGCCTAAAAACTTCTCAGAAGTGTATTTAAAGTTCTGTTGTTGGCTTCTAAAGAATAAAACGGTTTGCATTAGGATCTATCATGTACGTAAGCCGAGATGAACGTCATCACGTTTTATGCGCAGTGTGTTCTGGAACAAACTATATTTGGAAGTTCAACTTCCGTCACGGTCTGCAGGCTGCAGCTGGTTATAGTTGCATCAAGGGAGCGTTTTCCTGGGAATGTGACGTCACGTGAGAAGCAGCATGAAGGTTTTGGCTCCCATTCTACTTTTGGAGACTCTAGGAACCACAAGTAACCCTGCATTTTGGGAGCATATATCGTTCTAGTGGCGTTCAAGCTATAAGACTGAGAAATTCTAAATCAAATTCATCTGCAGCTTTCCATGCAATATAGTTTAATTCTGTTTACCATTTTACAATTGTTGTATGCTGCCTGTGTAGCAGAAGGGAGGTGCACACTGCATTTCATTTTATAACCTGGTTGTAATATGATGAAAAATCTACCATGTTTTTTTTAAGGCAGAGCTACTTCCTATCAGAAAGATTTAAACTGCTTTGCTAATTTTCATGTAAGTTTACGGTAGCATAGGTGTGCATAGTGCTGCTGTATTTTTGACTGGAAAAGGACAAATAAAAATATAATGATTTCACTCAACTCAGATAGCTAGTAGCCTATTAAAGCGTGTGTGTGTGTGTGTGTGTGTGTGTGTGTGTGTGCTAAAATGTAGCATATCAGAACAAGAGAACAGTCAGAAAGTCAGCAAACTGACTCAGTAATGGAAGTTAGACCACAATATCTAAAGTTTACTAACATTAGCCATTAACCACCTGTAGGAGGGAAACCTTTGTGTGTATTGAGATGAAGTCTTTGGGATATCCCCAACTTTAACCAAACCCCTGGTCTACTGGGCCCCATGGCCTATCCCCAGTAGGATAGTTCATGAATCCATTCCCTGACAAATGCTTCATGCCAAATGAAATAAATGTGTCGACACCGCGTATCAAATTATACCCTTCTCATCATTTGAACTGTGTATTTATACACTGTAACTGTATAGTGCTGTATATGCTGCTGCTGCTTATGGCTTTGGCAGAGAGCCCGGTATCATCAACTGACTTCTTCACTGGACTAAACAGTTCTCCATGTTCTCTGTGAATTTTAATGTTATAATAATAATAATATTAATAATAATAATAATAATAATATGGGTTGTTTTTTTTTATTGACATTTCTCATTGTATTGAAAACTTCTTACACAAGTTGAAGGGCAACATACAACCATACATTTTTATGTCTACCCTAGCATACACTGGTAGAGAAGCAGAGTACCCCAGAAAGCTGCCCAGTCTATCACAGGGCTGACATAAAGAGACAGACAAAAACACACTTCCATCTACAAACAACTCAGTGCTTCCGGTCCTAACTGTACTGTGGGGGGAAACTGGAGAACACATAAAAAAGACCCATCTGACCACCATTTAGTGGAATCAAGAAATCATACAAACTATAAAGTGCTGACAATAAAACAAATTGGTTAGTGATTTTCCACAGGATGGTGAAAATTCCATAAATATAAAAATAAAACATATACAAAAATCCTAAGGGAGTGGAATACATAATGTAACAGACCATGCAGCATGCTTTAGTTTTAGTTGGTAGAGAATTTTAAAATCAGTTCTGCTACAAACCACCTCTTTCTCTTTAATTGATAATTTAAGGATTGCAAATGAAATAAACACAACAAATAAATATAATAGGCTACAGTAAGCAGTGATGCAAACCACAGAAGATATACTGATAGACACATATTTACCCTCCGGTGTTCTTGCAAATGTTTTGGTAACAAAAGTAACCCTAGGGTCTATTTCGTCTGTAAAAAATAAAATAAATAAATGCCTTTTAGAAAACAATAAGCAATGAAAGGGCCAGATATTAACTAATCTTCTTTATCCATCAAAGTGAACATTTTCATTACAGATGTTCAAAGATTGATGACCACAGATTTCAGTGGTTCCACACCTCTGAAAATGCTTGCCTGATGTCTGCCTAGCATTTCTACAGCTTCCCTTAACTTCACTGAACTCTTTTCACTGTGGGCAATCCCTGGTCCGAAGATCATATCTGATATCTTTTTGTTGCCCTGCTTCTGGGTATGAAGACGCCTGCACAGTTTGTTAAAGTCCTTCATCAAACAAAAAGTCTTGCAGGCCCTCAGTTCATGCGCCAGGTTACAGTCCCTCTTGTCCTGCTGCTTGTCCAGCTGCACCACCCAGAACTTAGCCAAGCTGCTTGCACTCTTTGCATGACTCGCCACCATGTTGAGAATTAGGGGGTAAAGGTCACGAGCTGCTGCTGGGATGGACGGCTCTGGGGAGATGTGGTTGGGAGGAGAGTGGCTGGGCTGTGAGGAGTGCTGAGGGAAGATTACAGAATCAGGTTTAGTTTAGATCAGTAATGTGAGTTAGATTCAGTTACTTAATGTGAATACTGATTTCTTCTGATAGCTGGAAGTAAGTGTGAATCTGACCCTTTCTCTTACCAAATTAAAGGTCACTCACTATGACCAGTTTAATGTATTTTAGCCTTAATTCACTATAACGCACAACTACAGAATGTCAAGGATTGTCCATACACATGTGGTTAATGTGGTCCTTGACATAAGCAGCAGGAGTCCAGTTGACTAGGTGACATCATATTACCAATAAAACAATACAAATTATCTTCACTTGAATTATTCTTAGTCAAACAGCAAGTAAATTTGCAGTCTCTACCTGTGTGCAGACGATGAGCACTCGGTCTGCAGCCTTGACTTGTTCCGCCAGCCAGCGCATTGGCCCCAACTCCGCGATCTTCCCCTGCTGCCACATGTCGACAGCCACCTTGCAGCCACCATGCCACTGCAGGAACTCTGCCAGGGCCGCCACGGCCTGCTGGAAGGCTGAATTCTCAGCAGGATACACTATGAGTACAGGGACAGGAACCGCGGGAGACATAGGCAACCTTTTGAAACCCAATGATGTGACAATGTTGGCTCCACAGCTTTTATCTGGGCAGTAAGAAATTATTGGAAAGAAGATGTTAGCAACAGGCAACAGTGTCAAATATTTTAAATATAGATTTATGAAATTATATGGAAAGCTTGTAGCGAGCCCAAGCTTTATACGTTTTAGCACTTCTTTCCTCCATCTAGGTGGTGAAGCAGGTCTCTATTGCAAGATACCAAGACGTTTAGCCAGTAGAGCAGTTAAAGCTAAGCTCCTTTGCAAATGTTACAGAAAGATCACTGTAAATAATTTGGGAAGCAAGCTTTAAATATTTTGGTCCAATGGCAAAGTGACCGAGGGCATACCCAAAGTATGTGTACAAGATTGATGATTGAGCCCATGCACACAGGGGAGCATTCCTGTTAATTTGGCTTGGGTATAATCCATTTTAAATCAAATTTAGCAATGAGGTAAACAATGGGTGCACACAGAAGAGGAGTGCATTAAGGTGAGCATCTATGAACCATTTATCATCTGCAATTTTGGTTCCTATGTTCTTTTCCTACTAAATGTGTGTTTAAAAAGTGTTGTATTTACAGATTAGGTAGCAGGAACCCAGGATCATCAAACCAGCCAGTCCTCCAAAAATGGCCACCACTATGCTGGTGTGGTTGACAGTTTCGTCTTCCAAGTCTGCACAGACAACCGAATACACAAAAAACACATTCCTTACTTTACTTTATGTAATTATATTGAGATATTAACTGTATTCAAAGTAGTGGCACTTTAAGTAATTGTGGAGTCTTACTTGAAGTCCTACTCTTGAAAGGGACTTTAAAAAGTGCTGTTCAGGATAGATTAATAACCATATTTGTCATAAAGTTTTATACCTTATACATAAACACACACATGTTCAAGCAAATGCACAAGCTCACCTCCAGTAACTGCAGAAGTTGTTGAAGGATTAACAGTTGCTAATAAAACAAAGAAAAAGTTTCAACATTTTAATGCTTTTCACATCCAGCTGCCTGTAGCGAAACAACAAAGCTGTCTTAATTGAGATTACAAAACACATTTATATCACTTACATATAATGTACCCATTTCATGTTTTGATAAAAACCCTTAAACATGCAGTATTTCATTTTTATGTGCTGTTAAAATGTTATGGAGATACTTTATTAACTAAATATGTTTAACTCATAGTGATGATGATTAATGCCTCACAGTGTGGATAGCAAACTAACACAAATACTAAACATTTTTTCTGCATTTTTGATACTTTGTTGCTGAGTATCAAAAAAGTAGAGAAATTTAAAAATGTACTTACTGTGTTTTGGGAGAGGTATGTCAATATCGACGCTCTTGTAAGAGAGGCCGCTCCCCGGAATAGGCAAAGGGAGATTGGAAGCTTGGGCCAAGATACAGCCATAACTGGACTTATTCACTACTAAATAGTGAAACCATATCTAGATTCGAAAAGATGACAATAATAGCATTAAATTTAATCTTTTCAACCTCACATGTCTTTCAAACTCAAGCGGCATGGACAGTCACTGATTAAACATTATCAATTTGGGTCAAGATTCCATTGATTATACCTGCTTTAACCCGGTGAGGTTTGTCTCAGCCAAAGGTGGGTTGTATTTACAGTGGTAGACTGATTCCCCTGAAATTCTGATCCGAGTGCCTGTCAGATATTTAATACTAGCTGCAGAGAGACAAAAATATGAGAGTTCAAAATATAAGCCCTGACGAATAAACTGGCAATTTTCTTGTTTGCAAATGTTGTTGTTAACTGCTATTACAGTTCTTTATCAGGATTAACTTTTTATTTCAATTAATTTGTTTGCTAATATTGTTGTTAGCGCTCACACACACACACAAAATGTATTTCCATCTCTGGGATCATCTTTATGAACGTCTACTCTGTTGCTGTGGGACTGAACTGGGAACCTCCCAAATCTTACCCACTTCCATTTTTTACCATCTAATCATCCTTTCCTTTTCTTCTCTCCTTCCTTTTTATCCTGTTTACTCTTCCACACAACTATATATCCCACAACATGTGTTTACATACATAAACATATGTGATTTCCCAGACTCAACATTTAAAATACAGGAACCAATTTTTATTTATAACCATTAACAAATCCAGTTACCATAAGAGATGAGCTTTAATACAGAAGTGAAAAATCCCATCTACATAATGAAATAATACATTTACAACTTTGTTTATTTTATTATTTCATATTTCAAGTGTGTACCAGCTAAACATTTAAATATAAATGTTTTTACCTTCTGTCTAGTGCAGTATCATGTCAACCAGACTAAAGTCCTGTTTGTCAGGCAACTAAAGAGAGCCTGGGAAAACACCTCTATAATGGATAAACAAAGGTCTAACAACTGTTGTTGTTGTTTTAACAGACAATCAGTAAGTCACATTCTTGTTTTTAAACTATATATATAATTATTAATTCTCAAGATGCAATGTCAGAGATAATATGTCCTAAGTGTGTAGTCAACTATTTTGATAAAACTGTCTTAAAGTCAACAATATCAAGTAGTTTCCATGTGGAAATACAAAGTGTTGTCTCCTACCATCAATGTTGATTGCCCAGCTTATGTTCAGCATATAGTCTCCTTCCACTGTCACTTGGACCATTGTCAAGTTTGCCAGAACAGATGGAGTCTGATTTCCAACAGGAGGGAAATCTGTAACGGGAGACAACATAGGTGCTCATTGTCCACACAATGATGACAGTGTTGTATATTATTATTCTCTGAGATTTATCACTGTTCACGATTAATTCAGCTGTTGGCGTGCACTGTACTTTCTGTCTGTTGAGACACCAGAGATTTCTCAATGGACAAAACATTATAGTCATATTCACAAGAATCTGGAACTCTGGCATTGTAAAATGTGCTGAAATCCTTATAAATTGTACGTTTTTTAAATAAACTTCTGTTGTTTACCCCTGGCCTGCATATAAAATATAAAACTGCATATTCATTAGTTTTTATTTGGAGGTAATGGGGTTTCCACTTTTAGAAATTTTAGTTTTTTACTGTAATCTAAGTTCCATGTAAAGATGTTTCAAGCAAAAGAGAAAGCTGAAGCTTAAAAAAATAAAAGTACAGTACAAAATAATGTCACTAGCTAAAAACACATTGGCCTTTGTGTAGTGGCTTTAGCTTTTAAACTAATGCTTTCATTAGAGGTCAGGTTATGAATAATCACTACATACCATGGAATTCATGACACTCCATTTTCTGCAAAGAAATTTCAGAAACAGATTAAATTAAAGTAGTTTTAATTGTAACTGAAACAATGAATGGCTCACTTGCTAAAGTGGATAACTTACAGTTTCATTTGAGGTCGCCTGAGCCGCTACATGGGACAAAAACATCAGTGTGACTACCCACATAATGAACATCCGGCTGGTCTAAAAAGTAAAAAAAAACAATTATTAAAAATAAGAAATAAAAAAAACACAAAAACAATGACACATATATACACTTTTACAATCCACAGCATCTTAAGAAAAAGACTTACCTGTGGGCTTAATATCCTGCCTGCGTCGCACTTGTTGAGTGAACTTCTTCACAGACACACTGGTTCCGTTCACTTTTAAATACAGTCCAGTAAGCCCCGCCCACAGCAGTATGGGCGTACTGATCACGGCTCTGTGAAGCGGCTCTTTACTTTCCGAGAGCTGGCTCTTCAAACGGCTCTTCATTCAGGAGCCTGCCTCTTGGGCTTGTCAATGTTACATAATTAACATTGCAAGAAATAAATATGCAGGCTTCTCTGGAATACAATGTCTTATCTCATAGTGATGGTTAAATAGTGGGATATCTCAACAATAACTAGCAAAACTGGTTTTTCTATGCTTATTTTCTGTCCTTAATGTTCCTCCTTATGTTCATGTGTACTGTAAACACCAATTTATACCAAGGCAAATTCCTCATGTGTGAAAATGTACCTGGCAATAAAGCTGATTCTGAATCTGATTCTGATTCCGGGAGGGGGAGTGTGGGGGAGGGGACTCCCTTTGTTCACTTAAAGGAGCCGACTCATACAGCCGACTCGTCCGCGGCGACACATCGCTACTTTACAGTACAGAGAACAGTGACAGGTAAGTTCCGCTATTTTCTGCTGCTAAATGCAACCGCTCAGTGTCCTTCTTTCAGTTATGTTTGCATTAACTACTCCGGCACCCTCTCGCTCTAACTTACACGTAACTTAGTTTGCAAAGTTACATTGTGCACACACGCACTGTAAAGTTTCCTCTTCCTGCTGGACACTGCAGACGACATAAACAGCGATCAAGACCAACACGGTCACTCTAACGATGTTTGAAATAACGTTACAATTCAAACACCCTTTAAAGCGTTTGAAATATTTGAAATGTGTTTTAATCAAACACAAATGCATCTACAGGCCTATTACTGACCCAAGACCTTTGCACAGATAAGCTAAGTTGTGGTTGCGAAATCGGCATTTCATCATAAAACATAAACCTCAGACTGGCCTAAGGGGCCTGAATGGTGGTTACAGCAGGAGCCGAACCTGACAAGAAAACCACTGGTATACCCTGTTGTTCAATTGGGTGTGTTTCCCTCCTCGTCTTTTTGTGTTCTGAGACATTTGTATACACAGGAAGCTGAAAGCAAAAAAGATATGTGAAGTTGAATTTCATATATGTTAATATGTATCATATGTAACATTTGTGATGCCCAAAATTACGCAGAAATCATTTTACACATTTGTAAATCTTGTTTTTTATTTGAAGATCATGTACAGTTGTTATTTCTCCAAACCTATCAGGCTAAATCACAAAGTGAGACTGCAGCACAGAGGAGCTGAGTGGTTGAGACACACAATGGATTTGCCCAAAATAAGTTTAAGCATTTGGTACTTCATCAGAAGTTCAGAGAGAAACATAAACTTTGCTCCTCAACAGCAGTGAGTGAACCCTGACAATTAACAGGGGCTCCAGTTCAGGCATTTCTAGTTGTTCACTTAACTGCTGGTTATTAAAAGTATGAGTGGAGAATATAACAAAGGATAGGGTGTGGCTTAAGTAATAACTAATAAAATGCAAAAGGTCTAATCCATAATTGGCATACTTAGCAGGGCAGTGCACTAGTAGTTACTAGTTTCAGTTCCAGCTTAATGTGTGTTGTTGTGATTTACAGTGAATGAAGAAAACCCTCCAGGAACCAGGATGTTGTCTTTGGCCACATTAGGCCAAGCTGGAGCCAGACGAGTTCTGACCACTAATCGAGGGAGATTTATGAGTGATGGCAATTACAGGCTTACCTGTTTGCCAGAGTTTGTCTCCAGGACCAGAAACATGGGCCAGTCGTTATCCTGCTCCTGTTCCTTAAAGCATTACAGATGCTTTAGTGCAACATCTGCTTCATCATCACCTACAGCCAATCGGAAAACACCGTCCTACAGTTATGTCATTGTTGGAGCGGGGTCAGCGGGCTGCGTTCTTGCCAACCGCCTCAGCGAGGATGCCCATGAGTCTGTGCTGCTGCTGGAGGCTGGACCTAAGGACAGGTTGCTAGGCAGCATACGACTGTCATGGAAGATCCACATGCCTGCTGCGCTGACCTACAACCTCTGTGATGACAAGTACAGTAGTTTAATCATTGCAGTGCAGATATATAAAACTGTTTTGCTTGCTAGTGTATGTCATCCATTACTACGCACTACACTATTTCTGTGTGTGTGTGTGCAAACATAAATTACTTTAATACAAATGTAGAAAACGTGTAACATATTGACTTGATGTGACTTTTTACCAACACGCCAATCCTCCAAAACTGCACTATACAATGCTAACTATCATACAGTTTACTCAAGTAACAGTTTATGTAAATATGATTACTGAGTTTAGAAATAAACAAAAAGGCAAATGTATGATTTATTGTTATTTTAGACTATTAAAGCCACAAATTAAGTGGATATACTGATGTTTTTAACAAATGACTCATCCATGTCATCCCAGTGGTGCAACTTATTAGTCCAGGATATCAGAGTGATATCAGACTCAGTTTAATAACATTATTATACAGACAGATCAGTTCCATTTTGATGGCATGCTGTATTTCCTTTTCTTGTCAGGTATAACTGGTACTACCACACTTTACCTCAGACTCACATGGACAACCGGGTGATGTACTGGCCGAGGGGCCGTGTCTGGGGCGGCTCCTCTTCCCTCAACGCCATGGTGTACATCCGCGGACACGCTGAAGACTACAACCGCTGGCAGAGAGAGGGGGCCGAGGGCTGGGATTATGAACACTGTTTGCCTTACTTCAAGAAGGCTCAGCATCATGAGCTGGGAGAAAACAGGTACCTAACAAAAAAAATCTGGATTTTTCATCTTGGAGTACCTTCTGTCCAATGCTTGTAAATGTGCAGTGACACAGTGAAGATCTAATGCAGAACCTGGCGCGTGCGTCACCAATATCGTGTCAGCACAAGAAATTGGGAAGTCAGGAAACATGCAAATGAAAAAGGGAGATGGCAGCTCACATATTAAAATGCTCGGAAATGCAGTGACACAGCGAAGATCTTATCATGCTGAAACTGGCCACATCACAGGTTAATTGCAGTGTGTCACCACTCTAATTTCAGCACAAGAAAATGGGAACGTAGGAAACATGCAAATAAGGAAGGTAGATCAAAAGGATAATAAATACTTCTGTGAATCACCGGTCGGAAGTGATATAGTTATAGTGAATTCTGTACAATACAATATTCTGACTGTGTTCTGTACCATCTGTACCATGTACTATCTGTCTATATTGTTTTTGTTTATAGTGTGTTCTCTGTATTGTAGCCTGTGTGTGATTTTATTATTGTATTATTATTGTATAAGTAAGGGCACCGTGAGCAATGCACAATCCTGAGTCAAATTCCTCGTAGGTGTACACGTACCTGGCAAATAAAGCTGATTCTGATACCATGTACTGTAATAGAACCTTATCATGCCATGCCTCCATGGGAAGCTTATCCTGCAGCGTTAAATTAATGTAATGCTTCTACTGTCAGTTTCTTTGTGTTTACACTTAGCAGCAAGACAAACATATAATGTCAATGTCAAGCTCGATTGTTTTCAGGATTCAGGAATTGTTTAGGCACAAACTGCTTCACATTAGACAAGATCTTAGTCACCAATGAAAAGGCCTTTTTGCCTGAATCAACTAGCATTATACAGCTACAGTAGCTTACATGCAGGTTCAGGTTAAGTCAGTCCCAGTGAGCACATTGTCACATTCTTATATTTTTATGTTTAAAATGTTCATATGTAAACAGCTCTGGAAATGGTTTTGATCTGATAGATTTTAAAAATATAAAGATTGTTTCACTAAATATATGCAGGTAGAAGGATCTCAGCACATTTATGTTTTTCGTTCATGTCCTGAATTATCTGATAACTACATTTACAAAACTGTCTATTTAAAGGTAGCACTGCTGATAATAAAACTATTAATATCTTTACAATATTGATCATTGAATGTGATTTCCACAAATAGATATGTTGCATTTTAAAATGGTACTGTTGTCATCTTTGTGACACATTCAATTTGTGTTTCTCGTGTAAACTGTAGGTACCGGGGAGGGAGTGGACCTCTTCATGTGTCTAGAGGGAAGACCAACCATCCCCTTCACAGGGCTTTTATTGAGGCGGGACAGCAGGCAGGATACCCCTTCACTGATGACATGAACGGATACCAACAGGAGGGCCTGGGCTGGATGGACATGACCATTTATGAAGGTTCAAGGAAGTACTATAACTATATGAAATGTAAATAATTAACAAATAATCACTGAGAACACTTGTAATTTCAATGCACCATTTCTACTATTCTATTTCTATCTTTTATGAACCAACCCTTTAATATTGTCTAAATCTCACTGCCCAAATCTGTCCAGGAAAAAGGTGGAGCACAGCCAGTGCCTACCTGAGACCCGTCCTGGGTCGACCCAACCTGAAGGCCGAGGTGCGCTGTCTGACCACCAAGATTCTGTTTGATGGCAACCGCGCCGTGGGAGTGGAATACACACAGAGTGGACAAAAGAAAAGGGTAAGACCGATAGAATTTTAAAAGATATTAAAGAAAGTCTTGAGTAAGACAAACATTCCTCACCAAACCTTTTTATTTATTATTTCACTTACTCATGTCTTATTGAATGTAGATTCCATTTTAGCCATGCTCGTTGCGTAGCCCTGGCCGGCTGGTCCAACATTTTGGTTCAGACTGATATATCTCAACAACTATTGGATGGATTGGCCTTTCATTGTGTACAGACATTAATGGTCCCCATTGGGTGAATGTCCTGGGTGAATGTGTTGATATTTTTGGGTTTTGGTGAATTATCTTGACAATTTTGAATGGATTGCCATAAAATTTGGTAGAGATTTTGATGTTGCTCAGAGGATGAATACTAACGACTTTGGTAATCCACTTACTTTTCATCTACCACCGCTAGCAGGTCAGACTGTTCACTCAGAAAATCAGTCAAGTTATTTGAGCTGATCATTTTTTCTGTCCTGTAATTGCCATTGTGAGCATGTTAGCATACTCACGTTGCCATTAATCTCAAAGCATTGCTGTGCCTAACCACAGAGCTGCTACTCTGGCTGTAGACTCTTAATCTTGTTCAGTGATTCACTCATCAGTTTTTCTGGTCTCTCTTCAGGTGTTTGCAGATAAAGAGGTGATATTGAGCGGAGGATCCATCAACTCCCCTCAGCTTCTCATGCTGTCTGGTGTGGGAAACGCAGATGACCTGAAACAACTCGACATCCCTGTGGTTCAGCACTTACCAGGTACATTTTGCGCACTAGGAGATGTGTTTTACCCATGTAAGCATTTAAAAAATGAAATGGAATTTTTTTAGACTAAGCACATGAACACATTAAACACATCAAACACTGATAGAGTCATACAATTTCCCCTCCGTGTCATGCTTACAAACAGACCAGCTCTGGAGTGCATTGTATTATAATGACTGGCGTTCATGCCTCTCTTTGTCTTTCAGGTGTTGGCAGTAACCTGCAGGATCATTTGGAGCTGTACGTCCAGCAGCAGTGCACTCAGCCCATCACCCTTTTCAAGGCTCAGAAACCTTTCCAAATGGTCAAGATAGGCCTGGAGTGGCTCACTCGGTTTACTGGTAACCGAAGGCACCTATGCATGCATTGGACACACACATTCTTCCAAATGTTCTACAAAAATAGTGAATTTATGTGGAAATATATCTCTGAACAGATCATCTGCCTTTCAGTAAGTCTCACTGAATCTTACAAATACAGGAAATACCTGGTATGGACAGGTAGGGGTTAATGTAAATGGCCAAACTCTGTATCTTGTTTGAAGAAAACTTATTCCTCATTAACATGCAACTATTCACAGCATGGTTTTCCGCAGTCTAATCAGATGATTAGACATTTTTTGAATGTCAAATATAACTCAGCTGTTTTACTCCCTAAATCAATAACCAGCCAGATGCAAGGAATTAGTCAACCCCAGGGTGTGCACTACTGGATAGTACACCTCGGACTGCAAACAAGGCCAATTATGACTATTTATGAGGTTTATGTTATGATTCATAGTTGATCCATCGAAGTTTTATATTTTTAAAACTTTCTTTGAGCCTATAAAAGTCTCTGTTTTGTACTAACTAGTCAATAATCATAGCCTTTCATGCATGAGAGTGAACATTTTCAAAGTTTACTGTAGCATGCCATGATTTCCTAAATGTCCCGCCTCATGCAGGCTGTGATTGGTACATTCAAGAAAAAAGAAAGGGTTGTTTCAACAAAAGTAACCTGAAACAGCTAAAGAGCCAGCCAAGTGGGCTGGTGCAAAATCAAAGTGGGCTGACGATGCATCTCTCCCGTTCTTGATTTTGTATAAATGGCTGCTCAAGTGGCCCACAGAGCAACCGGCCCATCAGTTTTTCTCCCAGTGCTCCTCATGGCCAGTCCGGCTGTGCTCTGCCCTGTTTGTCACTCTGCCTGAGGAGAAAAGCTGTACTCGCACTGTAGTTTATTTGGTTGTCATGACCTGTCCTCTCACTGTTCCAGTTGCTCATCCTCCAAGTGGAGAGAGCGTAGACAGCTGTTAGTATGAGTTCAGGTCCGCAGAGTCGTGAATTGCGAATTCACAAAATTCTGGGGCAGCTGTAGCAATAATTCTGGTATGGTAAGCCGCCGCTGCAAAATATATAGTATATAATATATACAAATAAAACATACACTCATCAAACACACCAAGTCAACCAAAGACAGGGATATCACAATGCAACAATACAACACCAAAGTGTCTGGCATCTGGTCTTCAGTGTGGTAACACAGTGTTCCACTTTCTCATTTACCATGACGATCACTCCCTAGGTTACGGAGCAACAGCCCATATGGAGAGTGGAGGGTTCATACGCAGTCGACCACACGTCACACATCCAGACATCCAGTTTCACTTCCTGCCCTCACAGGTTATCGACCACGGACGAGTTGCCTCCAAGCTAGAAGCGTATCAGGTGTGTGTGGCTCTTGTACTGTCAGAAAGAGCGGCTGTTTTTTTGTGCAGGTGGAACATGATGGGAGTTTAATCTGAAAGTGTCATTTATACACAGCTGGTTTGAGTTTAACTTGACATGGTGTGTGAGTGTGGCAGCTTTCACAATGTATGATTATGGTTTTGTTTTATTCCACAGGGAAAGGACAAGTGATTTATATACAAACACATCTGAATATGCTGAAACTACCCCACTATTAATCATTATGGATAAGCTAACAACACAGCTGTGGTTTTCCATGGAAGTGTACTTCCAGCTAACAGAAGCTGCCTAGAAATTTCCTGAGAATTGACCTAGTGATGTTATTTATAGCGTTGTTAAGCGAAGTGTACCAACCAGGAATAAATAAAGAATCCCATTTGCGCCATACATCTTTTATGTTGGAATTGTCCACAGGGAAATGTCAGCAAAATTCATGGTTATCAGGTTATTTGTGTTTGATTCACGAGTTAATGTGTGCAGGTTCCATGAATACCAAGTCCTATAATATTGGAAATGGGCCCTATTCTTTTTTATAAATTCTGGGGACTAAACGACTCATGGGTACAAAACGTTTTGGAATTGTTCCAGTAGATCGCCTGCAATGGCTGTCTATCTTAAAACAATACTCGCATGCAATACTAGCCCCAGTGTGTGCCACATTTATTACTATTACATTCAAGTCACAGAGCTAAGCATCAGTTTTTCTACCTGGTGATTTTTGAAAAACCCAGAAGGTCTTTTAATTAAAGTCACTGGTGCTTTTTGGTATTCTCAAATACTCTTCTTTAATGTTGCATTGTATTATTTAATTTTATGTTTATGTGTCATTCCCGGCTACCTGTTTAGGAAATATAGTGGCAACTTGAGAAATTAGTTGTTTTTTTTAATGCAGCAGACAGTTTTTTTTTTTCATCCAGGTGGTTATAGTCTTTGAGGATTCTGGAAATATCTTATTAAGTTTTGTTAAACAACCTTCTGGGTCTTTAAAAGATCACTGGGCATTTATTCGTCAGAAAAAAGGACTGGAATGTAATGGTAACACATGTGAGGCATAAACTGAAGCAACTGGCCATGCATACGATGAAAACTTTACAGGTCGCTGTAATCATTCTTCCTCTCCTCTCCATTCTGGCTGTGCAGCCATACCTTCTTAGTGTGACTACACTGTAATTTATATGTTATGAAGACCAGGAATTCTAACAGAACAGCAAATATGGCATGCAACAACGAATATAAAACATACCTCTGAAACAAGTTTGTGTTGTAGGTTCATGTTGGACCAATGAGAAGCACAAGTATCGGCTGGATAAAGCTGAAGAGCGCCAACCCTTCCGAGCACCCAGTTGTGCAGCCAAACTATCTCTCCACTGGTAAGATTCTGTCACTGTAGTAAGTACCAAATCCATCAAAGGTTCAAAGAACTTCACTCTTTCTGATTTTAGATTATCATCTTCTCTGTCTTCTCTCAGATATTGATGTGTGGGAGTTCAGGGAGTGTGTCAAACTCTCCAGAGAGATATTTGCCCAGAAGGCTTTCAATCCTTTCCGTGGTCCCGAAGTCCTGCCCGGTCCTCAGGTCCAATCTGATGCCGACATTGACGCTTTTGTCCGCCGGAAAGCTGATAGTGCCTACCACCCGTCCTGCACCTGCAAGATGGGCTCGCCAAATGACCCGATGGCGGTCGTTGACCCCAACACGCGTGTCCTGGGTCTGGAGCGGCTGCGTGTGGTTGACGCCTCCATCATGCCCAGCATCGTCAGCGGCAACCTCAACGGGCCAACCATCATGATGGCAGAGAAGGCTGCTGACATCATCAGAGGTCGCCCTCCTCTTGTCGACCCAGGGGTTCCCGTGTACCGACCGCCAACACTCGACACGCAGAGATGAACAGCGTTAATGAGAGGAATAACGGCAGACACCATTTAGGACCCGATTAAAGGGTACGTGTTGGTCAGGAAGCGTTCACAGCATAATCAGTCATTACGCACCAACAGCTGATCATTTTGCCCTTGGTCTGATATTGTAAATTTAAAAATTTGAGCGTGTTGTGTTGTTAACTCAACTGATTTGCACACAATATATTATATCAGTGTTAGATGTGTAGAAAGCGCAACCTAAATTCAAGGCCATATTTTTGCTGCTTTACCTCCTAAGCCACAACCTCCCATATATAAAAGAATGGTTTCCTCCGCTCTGCAGTTAGTGAGATTTCAATGACTAAAACCAACCTTTTGTTCAGGTTAACTGGGTTGTCTCCTCACACTGTAGCAGAGTGTGTGTGTGTGTGTGTGTGTGTGTGTGTGTGTGCCTCCTTCTCATTAACACTAACAATGCTTCTATAACATTTCAACCACACTCTATTATCCTGAGATTATCGACTCTGAGGTTCAAGTGAAATTCCACAGAGCATAATGCTTTTTAAAAGGAAGATTTGACACCCGTCACCACCACAATTTTGCAATTGCTTTTGCCCCTATTCATTTTGACTAGAAAATTTTTTTTAACACCACCACAGCCCGTCCTAGATTGTGTTTCTTCATCAGATATTCAGCAGCCAAAGTTATGAGTGATCATTGCTCTTGTTGTCTGACTGATGATAAGCAAACTGGGTGTCATGCAGTTTGTTTTGTCTGTTAAGATCAGTTGTCACCCAGGTTACGTTCTTCTTCCTTCCTGAAAAGTTGCAGATTAAACAGTTTGACAAAATATTGGTTTGGTATGTTGCACGCATTTTAAATCAGCGAGGAAAAATAAAAAAGAGCATGTTCAATTCCACTTGTAGTAAATAGAAAAGAATCATTTAGCCTCTTCTCATAAAACACAGTTTGTTGGAGCCAGATCTCCAGGCTGACATAAATACGCTTGTAAATTCCAGATGCCGTCATCTCAAGTTGATACACTAGGATTATTTTAACGTTTTTGAAAGAACTGCTTTGGGTCCAGAATTGAATTTTATTTGCTCTGATCAAGATTAAAACTAATAGGTCCTGGTCTTGGAAAATACTCTTCACTGGCAGTTTAGTAGAAATCTGGAAGGGGTTTGCCCAAAAATCTGGTAGTATGAATTCGAATTTGGTTCCGTACCCGGGTTAAAACCAGTCACTTTAACTGTGGTAGGATCTGTCTGCAGTGAGACTGCAATCTTCACTCCCACAGGAAGAAAATTAATGTGCTATGTGGTGAAACCATTATTTGTTGCATTGTTGTCAAGACAACAGTAGGGATAAAATCCCCCACAGATATGAGCAGAGAAACATGTACAAGCCTGTTCTCCCTAGGAAAGGTACCCTTACTGCTGCTGTTCTATCAAGTATCAGTTCACAGCTTTCAGTTTCCAAATCAAATCTGGGTATTATAGACTAGGGCTGCAACTAATAACTATTTTCGTAGTCGACTAATCTGTTAATTATTTATTTGATTACTCGACTAGTCACAATTATTTTTGTCACCCCCTAACCCTAATTAAACCATTTAACTAACTAATTAAATATCTTTCAAGTGAATTACTGATCTCTAACACACGGCCTAACTAGCTAATGTTACCATTAAGTGAACAAGGTTTACTATTCAGAATGAACACCAGTGTCAGCGCCAGGGGGAAAATAGGGAGGAAGACAAGATGATACTCCTGTAATTCACTGATAACTAAACTGAAAAAGGGCGTTCTCTTAACCAGCATCATCCACACGACCTCAAAACCAAGAATGCAAAGAATTATGGAGAGGCTGCTCAAAGGCCTGTCCAGGGTGTACCTACCTGAAGTCAGCAGACACCATTTAGGACCCGAGTAAAGGGTACATGTTGGTCAGGAAGCGTTCACAGCATAATGAGGAGACTTTTTTGTAGGCTACATCACCAGCCAGATGTTCCTTGATTTACTTTAAAATGTTAAACCAATACTCAGATTGTAACGACAGCGGTACAAAATAATATTTCTTGTCTCAAGTTCTTGTCTCAAAACCTCTCAAAAGTGTATTTAGTGATTAAATAACATACAAAACTTGTAAAAACAAAAACCTGATCTATTTCTCCATTGCTTCCCGCTTCTCGCATGAATGCTTCTTTTTCGTCAGTAGTCTTACAGTCAAGCAGTCATGGCAGACAGTGGAAGCTGCCCCCAGCACTTCCTGTAGTGCAATGCAGTTAGAAATGAACAACCAGAAATGTTCTTAATAAGAAGATTGCTGTCTCGCCCTTAAACGGCATGTTTGTAATGACGCGTCGACAATTAAATTTCACATCGACGAATTTTTATAATCAACATCGTCGATTACGGTGACTAATCGTTGTAGCTCTAATATAGACCTTGTGTTAAACTACTCTTTATATAAAATATACTCTAAAAACTAAACTACACTAAAACTAACACATTTTCAGTGTATATCATATTTCTCTAAATGTATTGTGGATATTTACAGAGAAGCTTTTGAAGATGACTGTGATAACTCATCAGAGGCTGTTGGTGCCTGTAAGATCCTTACGTTCTGATATCAATGTGAATTACTGTATATACAGTATGTGACTGATGATGTGATTTGGTCTGGCTAGGACTGATGTGTGGTGTTTAGATTTTAGAATTAGCTTCACTGTAAATCTTTCTCAAATCCATATATGAAGTGTTGATTTAGATTAAATTCACATTGAGCTCTAATGGAAACAGCTAGGTGTTAGAATGAACTATAATTTGCACTATGCTATTAAGTATGATAATTATTGTTTACATTGCATTGTTGTACAATATTACTTTAAAGTTTAAATCATGATACGTGCATAGCAAAGGGAAAATTGTTGTGAAAATCTTTACAACATAAACTGTGTGTGTGTTTTTTTCTTGATTGTAAACAAACACTTCAAACTGTCCAGTCCATGTCCGTGTGACTTTATTCAGTGAACCATACAAAATTCCTCAGCAGGTTCATTTCAGGCAATAATTCAAATGTACAAAACAGGGTTCTTGTTTGGTACAAAATCTATAAGGTACTAGTACTGATGCTACAAAGTAGATAGAGCTATATTTTTAAATTTCTAAACAACAAATGGATAGAAAGCAGAAATTTTCAAGTTAATCACTTACTTTTTACAAACACTGTACAGATTGTATATGTTGTTGTCATTCCATAGACATCTGTAAAGCAGTGGAACAGTACAAAAATAAAATAAAGCTGTCAGTTGCACAACAAAGCTTTGTGTTGTTTTTTGTCACTCTGTTTCCTCTGATAAAAGTTTTGATGTATTTGGGTAGTTGTAGTGTGAAAAAAAGATTACTATTACTTTTTCTGACATGTTGTGAGCCACAGGGACTCATGGTAAATCTGGACTGTACAATGTCGTGCAGTATTGGTCAGTCAGTTTAGATTGTTTTAAAACAGTGATGTTTGTGAAACCAATCAATGATAGCACTAATTGACTGATTCATTTTTTAATTAAAAATTGGTTTTGATCCTGTAATTAGTATAATCCTGTAATCACCTGATTTTCTGACTTTTCTGTCTTTGGAGTTTTCGGAGGTGCGAGTCTCTGATAACCATTAACCAATCATAACCAGTGACTGAATCATGGCCAATCAGATCACTGTAGAAAATGATTAACACAAAAAGCTTTTACATTATTACTACTTCAAAGAACTTTTTTTCCCTTTTGTGCAAATGCAGGCTTTGCCACAGTTTCCCTGACACGTTAACCAACACCTGGATAGTTACAGAGGTAATAAGAATTGTTCAAAATCTTAATTAAACACGGATTTTCATGCAATTAGAAAATGCATAAGTCATATTTATCAGCTGTTTTGGCCATTAAAACCTGTAAATATGTGAATCTTCTGGAGAGAAGAAGGATTGAGTGAATTTACAGTACATATTCCAGATATTAGCTTATATCCCAATGTAGGTTAAATTAATCTGTATATCAGTATCATCTGTATGCAAGAACACAACAGCAGCAAACTGTCCTTTCAACGTATGTCACCAGAAATGGTGACACTACAAAAACTTCAAAATGGAAAGACATGGTTGTATCTGGAATAATATTTGAATATTGACGTGCGTGTAAATGCACTTAATGATCCCTTGTTTTGGTTTTGAATCTGAAGGAGCCCTTTGACTGCACAGAACAAACAAGTTGCCCTGGCAACAGTGTTTAGACTGAGGAAAAAAAAGGAAAAACAAGAGTGCCCTGCCACGATACTAGAGTTGGTTTGTAAAAGTTGACCTGAAGACGTTGTTACAATTGGCATTGGTAGACAAACACAGGTCAGTAGTGGAGCAAATGTGAAGAGCAGCAGGTGAGAAATGTTGCCTCTCTTCAGTGTTTTTATCTACGAGCAGGTAGTGAAGTTCTCCCTTCACACACAGCCGCTGTTCTGCACATCTTGTGCACTCAAACTGGTGTTGGAACAAAAATAAATCGTACACCAAAAAGGCAACAGCTAACATAAATCATTTCATTCATAGAACACATTATATACACCCAACAATACACTGAATTTATATATTGTCAGGAAAAAAAAAAATAGTTTCCTTTTCTGTTGTGGCGTAAATATACACTATGTAGATAGTGACAAACAGCAAATATATGTCAGACCTTTGTGTTTAAGATCTCCTTTTGTCATCTGCCTCACCATTAAACAAGCGCTCAGATGCCTGTGAGAAACTCCACTTAATTATAGCAGATGCAACCCATCAAATGTGAGGTGCAATTGACAGAACTTAAGTTGCCTAAAGCAAAACTTTCCAGCTGTTGACGCAGTAAAAGACTGCGCTAAACATGACTCGAGACTAACATCAGACAGACGATAATGTCATGATGACTTCAGCTATGAGGCAGGAATCTCTGCATCATGTTTCCTTTTCAGGATTGGTCACAGATGGGTAAAACATATTAGTAGTTGAAGTGTCATGCAGCAGTTTCACATATCAGACTGGTAAGACTGTGTGACACACCATCATTTTGTATGTGCCATACAGAAATATTACTATACATGTAAGTCTTCTTACATTGTCAAAGCATGAACGTTCAGGCAGTTTTATTTTCATAAATTCTTGTTCAAATACTCTAAAGCAGGTCTGAGTAAAGTCAATCATTGCATATTCTGAGTTTTTAACAATGAAATGGTCTCACAGTTTTCAAGGGGCTTTGATAAAAGTTAAAGATCACTATAGAAACAAGTCTGGGACATTATCATCCTAAATTTTCCTTTACTTTCAGCGTATTTAAAGTAATCAAGTAAAATTTCTGTCAGTGTCTCTTTAGTTGGTGTAAAGGGGGAAGGGCTTATGGTAAGTTCTTTTGTGTGTCATATCAGCAAGCACAAGAAACAGAGAGATATGCCTGAGGACAAAGTATTTTTTTTCGTTGATATGTCGTTTCCTTTTCAAGTCAAGTACTGAGACACGTACACAAGTAGCGTTTAACCCTGAAACCATCTACTGTGAACCCCAAGCAGCTCCTGGAGTCATACCTGCTGGCTGTGATGGCTTTGGTCAGCCTGATCATCAGTCTGCACTGAGATTAGCTGAAATACATTAACAAAAAATATATAATATATATGTTTGTAGCACATTTTATGTATTATTTGAGTTGTGGAGGCCAGACTGTAATGTAGATAACCAGTGGCAGATGACCACTAAAGGTTAAAATCACACATATATACATGAAATGAAACGCAGCTGAATACAGGGAGTCTTGGAATCATTGGATAGCCAAAGACATTTTGAAGCAGGACAAATGCAGCTTTGCAAAGCCAGCGTCACTCTTTGAGACATCAATGTGACGCCCTCCAACACTCCACCAGATTGCAGCACTCACTGACTGACACATTTCATTCAGTGCAGTCTGTAAGTGTCAGAGACATGTTTTCTGTTGGATTGCCTCTTCATATTGAGTGAGCAGTGTAGGACTCAAGGTCACACTATGTTAGGACAGTGCAGAAGAACACTGACACAATCCCAACATTGATCACCCACTATGCTGCAAACACCCACAAATTAAAGCCATTGCTGTTTTATTTTAATTTCATTTTATGTGCTGCAGTAAAGTGCCAAAACAATAAAAAAATTTATGAATAACCAAGCGCTTACATACTGCACATCTAACGTAACTGTTATCACATCACCATTACCGTATGTCAAACTGTCCGGCTTTCAGCTGCTGTTGGACAAACTAACATATGAGCTTTGGGCCGGCTTGGTGAAGCTGCCAGGTTATTCTGCTGTATGAAATTACTGTTAATAATAAAGTAAATGGAAAACAACCTCCAGGGAGTATCCCGAATTCCTGCTAAATGGCAGGTGATTCTCTCTGGTTTCAATATTTGCTGAATGTATCTCAGGTCTTTCATGAATCCATCCATTTCTCTAACCTCTCCTACGTTTCCACTCCACAGAAAGAGAAAACAAGGCACTTTGTTCTCTTATCCATCCGTGTTTTATATTTTCTGCAGCAGGATTCCCTTGAACAGAGACATCACTTCACTGTGGAATAGGAGTCGAAATTCAATTGAAAAAAACCTAAATAATCCAGTGTGAGCCGCTGCTATAGCGACGTGATGCATATCATCTCATCTGTTAGGTCCTCCTCGCATTTCACAGCCACGTACGGCTCCTCATCACTGTAGTCACGGATAATGTTGTCTCTAAGAAGTGCGGTGGCATGTGGGTCCGAGCTGACTTTCCCCGTTCCCACAGTGTTGCTGTTATCCATACTCCCATTCAGGAGGTTACTAGCAGCGCTGTCCATCTCATCGATGGTCATCTCGCAGGCGTCTGCAATTTCATGTTTGGTCACTGACACAAACTTGGGGTCCCTGGCGTATTTCCCCAGACCCTCGGAGATCAACACCTAAGAACAATTGAAATTATTGAAAACTGATTTATTTCTCTGTCATTTCTGTAGAGCTAAAATGATTTGTATTCAAATAAGGTGACGGAACACTGAGTTTCAGCTTGACAAATGCTTGTTCTCTGGTTTGATATTATTATGAAGTTAATACTTCGGGGGGTTTGGCTGCATACCAAAACAAAGTCTGGAGAGTCAATGGATAATAAAAAAAACTCAACAGAGGCAGCGTTTGTTACTCACAGCCTCCACCAGACTGTTGGCGCTGCCTCTCTTCTGCAGGAAGTGTGAGCAGCTCTCTGCAGGCAAATGCAGACGTGACGGAGAGTGACTGCGGCTGGGAGGACCTTCCTGGCCGTCTGTATACCACGAACTCCTCTTCACTGCTGTGGGGATGCTGCCGACGCTGCAGGAACTGCGCCAATCCACCTGAGTACACACAGGCGTACATTTTTAAACTACATATTTTACCATAAGACAAAATTCACTTCTGTCAGTGTAAAGGTTACTCATTTGAAATGAATCTTTTTGGTTTTTCAAACCTGTGAAGCTCAATAACAATGTTTCTAGAGTATGTTCAAACTAGTTTAGATTAGATGAACTTGTCTCCCAGGAGAAATCTTTCTTGGGTCCATAGAGCACATTGCGGCTTCGCAGACAAGACATACATACATACACAGATAAAACCACATGTCAGCCCAGACAGTAGGTGCTGATGTACCAGTAAAGCAATTACAGCACTAAATACAAGAGAAGAGAAGAGACAACAGTAGACAATACATGTATAAAAATACATGTTAAAAATAAGTTAGATAATATATATGCATACATAATGAATACATACAGCTGTCAATAATAAGTAAGCTAAACAAATCAAAAACACTGCACCCATCCAAGATCAACTGGAGTAACAATATAATAATATAAAATCAAACTGTGCATCATCGTAACAGACCTAATAAAACCTGCCCCATGCCTTCACCGAGGGATTTGCTTATTGAGAAAAGACATGGAGGTGTGGACAAAAGAGAGTTTAAAACAAATACCTTTGCATCTGATAGCTCTAAATCGTTTTCCTGATGGCAACAACTCATAATCAGAAAATAGTGCATGTGAAGGCACATCTAAGATTTTGTTAGCCTGTCTAAAGCACACTCAAACATAGACTGGAGTGACTACTGTAGATCCTTCATGCCCATCACTTTCATGGCGTTTTTTGTAATGTTCATGAGACTTGATATAGACTGTGGTTTATTTTAAAATGTGATCCAGACCTGTATGAGTGGTGTGTAGCAGGGCGAGCAGTCGCGTCTGATGGGTGATGCGGGAGGTGTGGCCCAGGAGCGTAGTGACCGTGCAGGAGACAGGTGGTGAATTCTGCTGGCATCGAGACCGGCCACAGCCATTACCTGAGGTTGGAGTTCACAGGTCAGTCAGTCAGGTCACCATGAATATACACTTGTGAGTGTAAGTGTATGGGGGTAGATGGGCTTGTTTTGCTATATTAGTGGGGTCCAAAAACCAGGATTTCACTACACTTGTGGGGTCCGACAGCTTTGTGGGGACCAAAACACTGGACTGCAAAAGTTTGAAGTGCTGTTTGAGGGTTATGGTGTGGTTTTAGGTTTAGGGTTAGAATTAGGTAAAAGTTAAGGTTAGGGTGAGGCATGTGGTTGTGATGGTCAGTGTAAGCTGCTAAGGAATGCATTATGTGAATGAGATGTTCTCACAGGGATAGAGGAACAAACATGAGTGTACCTGTTGCTGCACCAGGTGTAGTGGAAGAGCTGTGCAGGATGGAGAGGGAGGAGCCTCATCCTGACTATTTCTTCTGCGAAGACACTCAAAACTGAATGTTGGTCTGTTGGAGGCTGAGAGAACAGACAAACCAAAAATTAAAACTCTTTTTACTCAACAACTCTGGTTACCTACAGACAGTGCTATGATAAAAAAGAATAAAGTTAGGCAAAACACAAGAATAGCTCATTGTGTGCACCAACATAAGTATAATATAGTCATAACATACTAATCAAATTAGTACTTGCACAGCGCAATTACAATAAACTGAATCTGACTGACAGTAACACAGCTTTGTTAGTAGTTCAAAATTGAGTGAATCAGCCCAGTTTATCTATATGTGTATCAGGAAAGAGCTCCATCAAACATCCAACTTTAGAAATAATTTCATCTAAATAACATAAAGCTGTCGTACAATAACTCTGAAAGGGAATCTCAAAAGTCTCAAAAGATCTACAACTAATTAAACTACATGGTTCTGCTGTGGCACCTTGAGGTGAAGGTAAAAACCATCTCCTGGGTGACCTTCTGCCATCTTGGCAGATCGGCTGTTGTTCATCGTTATAGTAACCATCAGGCTGGTGGTCGCCCCTGGAAACCTCAAGGTCAAGGTCTCCCTCTGCATCATGGTGGTCCTTGTTGGATAACCTGTAAAACAACAAATACAAAATTTACAAGTTTTTTAAAGAGAGTGATCCAGCCCAGTGAATTATTTTCAGTGATCAGTGTAAGTCTTATATCATGAACACAGATATTTGGAGGGGAAAAAGCTGGAAACAGGTAGCAAATCAGTACATTGCTATTATGCTGGTGAGTGCCCATTCATGATACTGTAGCTATATCTGTTCTGTAGGTTTGCTGTCTGTCTTCCATCGGATCAAGTTAAGCTGTCAATTGCTATCACAGTACCTGTCCCTTGTCAGCATGATGTCATCATCATGAAACTCCTCCCCGCTGTAGTACTCTCCTGAGCCTCGTTCATCATCACTGTCCCCGCCCCCCCGTTCCTCGCGGCGAATGGTTGGGTAGAGTCCACCACTGCTTTCTGACCTGGCATCAAAATGTCAAAGATGCAGTGAGCTGAATATTGATAAGTGCAAATATGACAATTACACATTCTCGTTGCTCGTTGCTGTTTGTTGGAGGTTTTATGCAGCACACAGATTAAAGCAGAAGGAAATTATTTTAAAGATCTTTTTGTCAATTTTGCTAAAACTGTCCCTATTTCCTGACAGGAGTACATGAGACAGATAATCTGTGAAAAAAATCAGGTTCCTCTGGCTCCTCCTACTGCTCCAGCTAATCCACCTCGACCGAGTCATAGCAACCAATCAGCCAGGAGCAGGCTCAAACACAGTGTCAATCACTGCCTGTGCACACGCTGCACAGCCCACTCCCTGCGCATACTCTCACTCTGTAACGGTCAGTTTCTTCAGCGCGGCTTCAGAAGATTCACAAACCCAATGGATTAGAAACAACCAGTAATGAAAGAACTGCCCTCCTTTGCCAACAACAACACAAATGCCTCAACACGCTCCACACTGAGCTTCAGGCTTATTATGTTGGATGCCAAGGAGCTCGTATTGATGAGTGGCAAAGAGGCACAATCGCAAACAATGGGGAACTTCTGCTGTCATAGAAACTTGTGGGTTTGGTGGGAGGGGCTTAGCGGAGTGATACAAGCAGCAGAGAGAGACGCGGAAGGTTGTGGATGTTCAGTTGTTGCCGACTGCACCTTTATTGCCCTGAAACACCAATTTTACTGAAAAATCATGAGACTTCAGAATTGCATTTCCCCACAGTGCTCATTCACTATCACACTTAAACTCTTTTTGTATTCAAGTAAAAAGCTTTCACAGCATGTTTTATGCCTGCCACCAAAAACAGCATATTGTGAAATGAAGCTCTGTTAAGTGGTAACATCATGCACATACCTAATGTAGGCCTCATAGTAGCGTGTCCTGCGCCGAGGAAAGGAAGGGGTCAGTCAAACAGACAGGATTACAGGAGAGCAGAAAAGAAAGGAGAAAAGAGGTTCCATGCAATGACAAAAGACAGGAGGACACAAATTAAAACGTTTACAAAAGTAGATTTTTGTGCATTTGAGGAAGGCAGTGTTAGTATGTGAATCTTGTTAAGAAATGGTTTCATTCATCAGCTATGTACAAGTTATTAAGTCTATCCCTGCCTGACAGCACAACACTTACCAAATGACAATGGGAACACTGGTTCACTCCTTTCTGCGGAACTATGGGACTCAATATTGAAGCATTCAACATCTATGTCCAATTGTGTGAGATATAAAATCATCCAAATGAAGGTCATACACAGGGCTCATATTACACCATATAAGTAAAGTGAAAAAAATGGACCTAAACGCTTCCGAACTGTGCTGGTACAGCTGTGGTAGGATTGGTACATTTATGTATTTACTGTGGTCCTGTCCAATGGTAGAAAGATTCTGGACAGAGGTGATGTTTTACAGTTAAAGAATGTTCATCTTCCCCAAGTCCTGTTGTATGCATATTGGAAAAGAGAGTGGAAAATATAAATGTAAGAATTATGCAAAGTGTTGTCGCGCTAGACTTTCTATTTTGTAAGGGGATAATTCTTATGAACTGGAAAACCAGTAAATCGGACTGGTATAATAAACTGGCTGAAGGATTTTTTGGACATATTATCGATGGAGAGTGCAGCCACATCACTTAAGGACTAGGATATGGGGCTAGGTGCCTCATGGACTCTCATTAGAGAATATATGAACCATAACAGAATAATACACTAATTTGGCTGTATCCAGGTTTGTGTATGAATGTGACATAGGGCTGAGTAATATCGATGTTAGTGAGACGAATGCGAGTAGGACCTGAGCGAGTCAAGGTAGAACCAATGATATTGAATGGGGTGAAGATGTTAAGAATGACTGGGAAACTGCCTTGGTATCATCATCCCCAATATCAATCTGTACCATCCCTCCCCCCGCCCTTCTCACCCCTTGGCTTAGACCTCCCTTGGGAACACTGGGCAACTGGTTTGATCTGTGCACCCAGGGGCAAACAAGGCCTTCTTTCCTTCTCCTTGTAATGTCTTGTGTTTCATTGTGATGTATGTTTTTATGGTACTGTTTTGGTTTCTGTTTTGTCTTGTCCAAATGGTTTACAGGCAATGTTGCCCCTGAAACAATTTCTTCTGTAGAAAGTACACTCACCTAAAGGATTATTAGGAACACCATACTAATACTGTGTTTGACCCCCTTTCGCCTTCAGAACTGCCTTAATTCTACGTGGCATTGATTCAACAAGGTGCTGAAAGCATTCTTTAGAAATGTTGGCCCATATTGATAGGATAGCATCTTGCAGTTGATGGAGATTTGTGGGATGCACATCCAGGGCACGAAGCTCCCGTTCCACCACATCCCAAAGATGCTCTATTGGGTTGAGATCTGGTGACTGTGGGGGCCATTTTAGTACAGTGAACTCATTGTCATGTTCAAGAAACCAATTTGAAATGATTCGGGCTTTGTGACATGGTGCATTATCCTGCTGGAAGTAGCCATCAGAGGATGGGTACATGGTGGCCATAAAGGGATGGACATGGTCAGAAACAATGCTCAGGTAGGCCGTGGCATTTAAACGATGCCCAATTGGCACTAAGGGGCCTAAAGTGTGCCAAGAAAACATCCCCCACACCATTACACCACCACCACCAGCCTGCACAGTGGTAACAAGGCATGATGGATCCATGTTCTCATTCTGTTTACGCCAAATTCTGACTCTACCATCTGAATGTCTCAACAGAAATCGAGACTCATCAGACCAGGCAACATTTTTCCAGTCTTCAACTGTCCAATTTTGGTGAGCTCTTGCAAATTGTAGCCTCTTTTTCCTATTTGTAGTGGAGATGAGTGGTACCCGGTGGGGTCTTCTGCTGTTGTAGCCCATCCGCCTCAAGGTTGTGCGTGTTGTGGCTTCACAAATGCTTTGCTGCATACCTCGGTTGTAACGAGTGGTTATTTCAGTCAAAGTTGCTCTTCTATCAGCTTGAATCAGTCGGCCCATTCTCCTCTGACCTCTAGCATCAACAAGGCATTTTCGCCCACAGGACTGCCGCATACTGGAGGTTTTTCCCTTTTCACACCATTCTTTGTAAACCCTAGAAATGGTTGTGCGTGAAAATCCCAGTAACTGAGCAGATTGTGAAATACTCAGACCGGCACCAACAACCATGCCACGCTCAAAATTGCTTAAATCACCTTTTTTTCCCATTCTGACATTCAGTTTGGAGTTCAGGAGATTGTCTTGACCAGGACCACACCCCTAAATGCATTGAAGCAACTGCCATGTGATTGGTTGATTAGATAATTGCATTAATGAGAAATTGAACAGGTGTTCCTAATAATCCTTTTGGTGAGTGTATGTAGTTCCAATGAAAACAGTGGACTGTGAGGTCTGTGAATTGTCCACTGGGACATTGCTTCTAGAAAGGGAGGTTGCTTCTAAAAAAGGAATTATTTCATGTTGCAAGCACAGTGAACCAAATTCCATTCACGTGTTGTGTCAAACTGATGACAGATTTCAGAGCTCATTTTCTAAAAATCTCAGCACGTAAAAAAATATCTATATGACTCAACATGACTCGGTATCAATATTTATGTCAGGAGTGACTGTAGTTGAGGGCTATTAGGTGATATTTTAAAACCAAAGCTATTTGTTTTCGTCATGCAAGTTGAAGCATTACTTTCGGCAATCTGATAAGTAAAAACGTTCCTTGGGAAAGAAAGCAACAATGGTGCTCTTTTGCAATCAGTTGTATGCAGAGATTAATCTATCGGAACATGTGTTGGGGATGAACAAGATAAAACTCTGGAGTAGTGTCAGCATGGGGTGCTATTCACCTAATAATAATTAATAATCACCAATAATAATTAGTTGCAAACTGTATCTATTGTGGTATGGAAATGAATGCAAGATTAAATATAAAAAGGCTACATTACAGTGTTGTGCAACTTAAAATTTTTCATTGACTCATTAGTGTTTAACAATTAGCCTGAAATTTGGAGAAGAGAATTTAGCAAACTGGCCACACAATAAGATCATATCATCACGATATGAATCCAATAAAAGTCAATATACAATAATATTATCAACCAGCCTTAGTAGGCAGTATATCATTTAAATGGCTGTCAAACTGCTTAATGCTTATCAAACATGTTTTGTTTCTTTCTCAATGAAAATTTGATTCAATTTTCAATCATTTGTGAAAATGTGAGCATCAAAAATATTATTATACATTTGTAACTATCATCTAAGATGCTCCTGAGGCTGACACTGTTACTGACCTAGTTGAGTTGTATTGTGGGTAAGGAATACATGACATAAAAAAGACAATATCTCCGATTCTGCTACATCAGTTTTTTTTCGTCTGTCCATTGTGAGTCCAACAATGTGACACGAGTGCAAGCTAAATCAGTGAAGTACTCTTTTAACAGAAAGGACTCACCTCTTCTCCAGCACCATTCCGGTTACTTACATATTACGTGCAATAGGAAACTGCTTCTGTGTATTACATTTTAATCACTTTTATGTCTCTGCCACTGACCTTGTGGAGTGTGACTTCCAAAGCTTGTCATGTACTCCTTTGCTGCAAGTGGACACTGATGATCCATTTTTGGCGGAGGATGGACGGTCTCGCCTTAACAAACACTTCTGCTGCCTCCCATTGGTCATGGAGAGAAGTAAGGGCACGTTGGCATTGTTGAGGTTGGCATTGGAGGGTATTGGCGATTGATGGCAAGTGGAAATACAGTAAGGATAATTATATGGATGAGGGGTGTGATGATGATGATTATACTGGATGTGTGAAGAGTTCATATCTGTCTCCTCCTCTTCGCTGGCTCTCCTGCCTGTTTGGATGGGTTCAACTGAGGCACTGCAGGAGAAGGGCAGGATCTGTAACGGCCGTTGGGTGACAGTGGTCAGGTGGGAGTAGCCTTGCTGGTCCGCACTGACATGGTTGACATGGTTCCCAAAAAGACCGCCATTACGCTGCAGAGAGACATCAGAAACAAATGAGGACTGAGGCAAAACAGTAATAAACACAGTTAGCTGTTTAAAGTACAACTCGTACAGATTCTGGCCCAAACAAAAAAATTACAACCTGCATCAGTACACGACCTTTTAAACAACTGCCTGATAAATGACATTTTGATTTATTCAAAGCAGTAGCTCCCAATCATTTTTGTCTCACATAGCCCCACTTCTCTATCAGATGAGCTCAAAAACCCTTTAATCGACACTCATGTCATGCTTTCAAATGTGTTCGTTTAAACAGATTTAGTAATTATTTAACATTATTAAATATATAAAAGTGGATTTTGTTACAATTATTTTTTATATGGGGTCCTAGAATTGTGGTTGTTTTCGTTTCTTCTTTTGCAGTAGGTTTGGTCAAATTTGCATTCCTACTGCTGCCATTTAAATTTGATGGAGAAGGTCGACAACAATATTCAACAATATTTCTAAAACTTTTAGTTTTCTATTTCAATTTCTCACAAAAATTTTTTTTTTACTAAATCTTAATTGCAAAAGGTGATAGTCAGGTGTTACAGCTGTCACAGGTTGGTGAAATGTCCCTTTAATAACAAAAAAAACAACTAAAGAAAAACAAAACAAATGAAACAAAGTTTTTTGTGGAAAACCATTTCGGACACAAATTATTATATTCAAAGCAGTAAAGCAGTATTTTTTACGTCTTAAAAAAGATATCTGAAGAGGATCTTCAACAATGTTTACCCTGTAGATTTCCTCTTCTTCCTCTGCATTTGCATCTACTAGCCCTTCCTGTTGCAGGTCACATGATATGGCTCGACGGATCTCTGGTCCAATGTCATGCAGCGTGCGCAAGCCAGCCTGCAAAAATAGTTAATGTTAATGTTGACGAACATTTCAGTTTTCTCAGGTGCAAACATGTCTCTGCCCTAATCTAGATGTGAGTCTATGATTAAACCAATATTTCAGCAACACAGAATTGGTTCTGAAGTTTAGTAACATACAATCAATGATTTGTGCATTGCACTGGTGGAGTGAATCTATGGGATTGTGTTCCCATGAACACAAGCATGTAACATTGTACTTTACTCACCTGTAGAGCCATGGTGGTGTTCAGCCTCTCCCATGAGCGCCTACCCACAAGACCTTGCTCTTTGCGCCTCTTGAACTTCCTGAAGTAGTCCTGTATCAGGAAGGTGGCATAGAACTTCCCCACTGTTACCTCGTCATCTGAGTGAACAGACCAGACACACCAAAGCCTCCCAGATCAACACCAAAATATCTCAACACTGAAATTCTGTAACACATCTTGGCAGAAAAGTCAAATTGCACTAAAAGTATCAAAACCGAAGTCCATTAACAGTAAAGCATCACAATGATGCAGCACCACTGCTACAGACAGTTGCATGCAAATACAATATCTTTACAATGAAACAAAATATTTCTGTCACAAAAAGAAAAGAATACCAAGACCTATTCCTGAAACGCCATAAATCCTCACTACTTGAACATTATCAAAATTTATATTATTCAGTCCAGGAACCATTTAATATCACAACAGGCCATCAAACATACCACTGCGGCATAAAGAAACTTCTCAGGAGCACCAAAGAAAATCTATGACTTATCTGGACATATCTGAACACTATATGTTATCACCCACTGCACTGTATCACAGATCAGGTCCTGAATTATGCTCATGTCTTCAAACAGAGAAAAGCACTGTTAAATTCCATTTCAATTCAAACTTTTTTAAAAAAAAGTCACCAAAGGTGTAGCTAAATGGGATGCTTAGCACTATTTAAATATCAGAACTGAATGCATGTGAAATGGGTTCAGGTGTTGCAATGACATAGCTGAATGTCATTTCAAAAGCATGTGAGAATCACACACACACACACACACACACACTCAACTGTGTGCAGCAGACTTTAACCTGATAACAGATAACATCTGCACCTGCAGCTCCCATCTTGCTTCATCTCTGAAAACAACATGTATGTGGTTATGTGACACACAAAGAACACACATTTGCTCATGCAAGCAAGTGAATATGAATGCTCTTGACCTTATACCCCTTAATGTACCAAAATCAGACTATAATTGGTGATAAGTTTATATTACAGTAATTTATGACCAGGGAAACAGAGATATAGTTATTATTTATTCAAACCAGTCTAACTAGTTTCTACCAAACATACCAGACTGCAGAATTTACTACATTTAACATCCACCAGAGAGGTCAGAGACAGACAAGCAGAGGTGTTCTATATCTTATATCCCAGAAAAACAACATGATCTGTAGCGAGAGAAGCACATGCAAGAAGGCAGCGAAGTAAAGAGTTTAGAGAAGCAGCAAAGGTCACGACTACAGTTCCCCTTTCAAATGTCAACACACAAACTAGACTACCTTTAGCCAGAGGAAGCTGAGAGTGCGCACACTATCTTCCATGCAGGGAGGCTAATCAAGCTTGGAATCGATTCACTCAGATAAGTGGGTGCAGAATCAGACAGGGGAAAAAAGTAGGCTGAATCATAGAGTGTAGGAAATGTGGGTTTCTTTTTTCCTCTCCACCTTTCCTTCACCGATTTTAGCAACTGAATAAAGGTCACAAATGTAAGGTGGAATGGAAGAATCACTCCATCCAACAGAATAAAAAGGCCAATGGGCCTGATCTGTTGATGATCCATCTTAAAGCAGCCAACACATTTCTCTACATTACCCGACACAGCCAGAAAGTAATTATGAGAGGCTTTGTTCAGAAAGAAAACCTGTGAGCATATATATTTATATATATATATATATATATATATATTATGGGCAGATTATTTATCAGATATATCAGATTTTCATAACATGCCTTAGTTTGTTTTTTCATGTTTTATGTTTTGAAGAAAGTACTTCCATTTCAATTGAGTTGACGCAAGCAATAGTCCAAAGAAGCAGTAACACTTCAGGACTGAATAAGTTGGTAAGATTTCATTTTTCTTCATAATGCATCAATGGGCAGATCAATGTACAGTAAATTTTGTGCCTATGGGGGACGGCAGATTCTCTTTCTGGACAGAGCCTGGTGAACAGAGGAATCAGTAGTTTCATGCCACCAGACTAAAACAGAACTGCCCCAGAGAGCTCAGGACGGCAGAAAGAGAAAAGAAGTAGGCCAGCGACTGACTGAGCACTCTACTGTAAACAGAGGAAGCTGTGGAAGGCTTAGCAGAAAAGAGGGGTTAGCAAACTAATGCACACAAAGACATGCAGTTGAATTAAGTCTGACATTCTAAAACACAGCAGCAGAATGAAGCGTTGTAAGCATAGAAGGACAATGGGTGAAAAAACAACACAACTAGACGAAGCTGCTAGACGCTGAGGGTACATTCATACCTATTTGGGAATTAGGTAAAACAATGTCATTCAAAAATGCAGGTGTGCTTATCCTCAGTCCTGTCATAATAATTAGAATTTGTGTAAGGTGAAAACATAATCAACAGTAACTACAAAAGACTACCTGCAGTTTTACGGGTATAAAGAGGAAGACGTGGAGGTTGACATATGACGATGATATTTGTAAAGATTTGCATGACTGAACTATAAATAAACTGAGTGCCCAGCACACTCTGAATGAGTGTGCTGGGCACATGCTTGGCTGATGTTGCAGGAGCATGTCACATTTGTTTTGATGTGAGAACCTTTAACCAAAGCTGTAGAATAAACAAGCTGCTTAGCCTGGGTGTAATGTATTCTCTTCTGCAACTGCTCTTAACAGTCTGCATTAATGTCAAAGCAACCATGAATAACATATTATATACAATATTTATATAATTTAGAAATATGGCACAAAATATTGGCTTAATTCAGCTTGGCTTTCATTTCAATACACAATCTTCTTGGCCATTGGTAACTGATTCATGCACAAGTTACAACTGAGATATGTGCACAACTACATGGTATGTAGCCCAACAAAACCAGCTGGAAATTCACATACAGTTAAAAAAGAAATCTACATCAAAGTTGTTACACCTAACAGCCAGTGGGTTTGTAACTGTATGACAATTCTAAGGATCTTGATATGAATATGTACCAAGGCCTGGCCTATATCAGCAGCAAAACACAAAATGTATACTACTTACAGAGAGATCAGCATTTCATTTCAAATATTTACACAGCTTTTTTGTGTGTTTTTATCTGAGATACCTATGTACTCAATGTGATAAAGAGGTAGAGATAGAGGAGGACAGAATACAGAGCCACACACAATGAGATTAATGATTAAAAAAAGCTGTTGGACCGTGACAGAGACGGCAGTGAAACCGTGACAAAGTCGCAGCGATAAGGAGAGTTTCTACGAACTGAAGTGAAAGTACTGTAAATGGCAGTGAGGGTTTGTTCTGTTAATATCTTGTTTTGATGGATGTGGTCAGCAAGTCAGCTATATGGCTTCAGAAAAGCAAAAACAGGATGCTGAATGCCTCTGATTAATTAACCCTCAACATACAGTATGTATCTTAAAGTATTACACCTGCCAAAATCTTGCCTTTGTGTATTTAACATTACCACTGTGTAGCCTTGAAAGGTGGCTTTACAAACAGGACAGCAGGTAAAGCACAGGAGTAAATGATCACATGAATGATGGCTGAACTCCATTTAGCTGCTTCAGTTTCAAGGTCCTGACAGACAGACTGTGATTCTTACTGCTGAATCATCATAGCTACAGCATGTTTGTTATATTATTATCATAGGCTATGTAGCCATTTTGCTACAATTATGCTTCACACAACAGCTGTGTCTGCAACCTGACCTTTCTTTATTCCGTGAGAGGGAAGACTTTAAAAAGTTGCGTGGTGCTGCAGGGAGCCCCCAGCTGCAGTAGTGTATGGATCATGCGTTATATATAATATAAACGATTATTACAAACAAAATGTTTATTTTTTTAATTATTTCTCATGCAGATGACCATCTAACTGATATTTGTATGTTTATTGTATGAATATAAAGTAATAAAATGGACAGCTTAGCTAGTTAATGAATTTTACTGACAGGGTATCCAGTGGTAACAGAGTTGGAAAACAAATATATTCATCAAATATTCAGATTTTTTTTCAATATGTTGTCACGTAGGACGAAACCCAAAACGAACACAGTAAGTGGAATACTTGATTTGAGCTTTTTGATCCTTATCAGTGGATGATTCCTGTAACCATGATCACTATTAACAGTTTCCAAGATAAGTGTGTAAATGTTACTGACTTCCTTTTTAAATTCAAATGAAGGGAATTTGCAAATCTGCACCAACAGATGTAAATGAATGGTCCATTAAGACTATTTGTGTCTGGTGGCAGCTGTGGTCCACATATGAGGTTGCCCTTATAAAATCTTGGAAAAATACAAATGAGAAGCAGCGGGTATTCAGATCAATTGAGTGTGGTACCATGGAAGAGTGAGGTTACTGTTCGTGTAAGGCTACTGTGATGGTGAAAAGCAAATGATGATCACTATTACTGCACGTGTGCCTGTGTGTAATGGCTACTGACCACCTGCAGGGGGCACCACTTGGTCCAGCAGCTTCATGCTGGTTCTCTTCCAGATCTTCTTGATCACAACTCTAAGCTCCTCATTGGCTTGCTCCAGGTTACCTTGGAAATGGCAGAAAAGATGGGACGTGTAACTGTAAAGTTACTTTTTTTAAATGTACACAGTAACTGCTGAACATATTAGTTACATTATACAATGTGTTCCTTCGGGGGCAATTGTGCCTGTCAAAATTAGATTCACAAAGTGCAGCCGGTTTGCAACTGCTGGCTGAATATTTAAAATCTTTTTGTACCTACTAGTCATTTTGACCTCAAAATATTTCAAAATATGATCCAGGTTTAAAATACCAAAATAAAAAAATGGCATCAGGAAACTGAGCATTAAAGTAAATGGTCTGAATCAATCATGCTGTTGTGACAGTCTAAATTGTACATTTGATGCTGAGTTAGATGTTGTATATCAAATGTTAAGAGCCCTGTTGGCCAGGAGGATGCTGAAGAGAGACTATTTACTGAACATCTTTAACTCCCTCTTGTGGCAAAATGTTAATTTAGCATATGGGCTTTCCTAACGACAAGGAGTCCAACGGACTGACACCGCTGTAAATGAGAAAATATGACAATAAAAGTCAAAGTAGCATGACCTGACATTAATTAAAAACTGCAAATGCTGCACAAGGCTCCTATAGAAAATCATTCAGGAGACCCTAATGTTTGCTCGTTGCAGATTTCTGGAAGAAGCATTTAAGTAAATTAAAATACTTTTTTTTATAATAACTGACCAAATAACATAAGCTGAGCATTTCTGTCGTGGTTTCTCTAGGCTTTAATCTGAAGTAGGTTTGATGCCTGGAAGCATCTAGTACACACAACAGGGAACTCTGGCCAAGTTACACACTTGTGCTCCATCTTCTTACCTTGTAGTTTTAAAATGAAATGTGTTTCATACTGTAAGTCCCTCTGTTTTTTTTACTGTGGAGAATGGTAAAGCACAGCTCCAAACAGATTAACCAAATAGCAACAATCCTCACCCTCAGTCTTAATCTTGAGAGCAGTGCGGACCAGAGCGAACAAGGTGGCATTAAACATTACAGTTCCGTCACTGTTAAGGGGCATGTTCATCGCCACCAGACGCTGCAACAGAATTCAAAGTACAAATTAACAAGGATACATCAAATGTGATATTAGAACTGTGTACTGTAAGTCAAAGATGTAGAGCTTTTATGCATTTTTATCACTCATAACATTCATAACAACAGTGGTCATGCATTTGACTATTCTTGTATAGATGTGAGTGTTGAGTTGTGGAAACACACCTTACAGGCCACTCTGTGAGGGCAGAGCTTGCCAAAGCCCAGTGGAGGCTGGATCCTCCTCAGCAGAGTCACCACATCAAGGTGCTTTATCCTGCCCCTGACAACAAGATACATTCAGTTAAAGGGCATTATATCAATTAGCACAGTCTTCACTACAACCACATATGGATAATCAGTTAGTGCACTTGAGTGTGTGTACTGACACAAATATTTCTTAGCAGTAGTATACAGTATACATTTTGGTGATAGTTCTCTCTAAAATGGGTCCTGAGTACTCACTTGGCTTCAGGGTCGTATTCGGACCAGATCCTTTTAAACTCATCCAGGTGATGCGGCCCAAGAATGGACCAGTCACGGGTCAGATAATCAAAATTATCCATGATGACTGCTACAAAGAGGTTGATGATCTGAAACCAGGACATTTTTTGTTGTATTACAATGTATAAAGGAATGTGCATGTTCAAATCTGTGCTCAAACATTACTGACACTGAACACAGAGAAATGTCTGAAGATTACCAGGAAAGCACAGAGCATGTAGAAGCTGATGAAGTAGATAATGGCGAAGCCGCTGCCGCAGGTTCTCTCCTCTCCGGGGTTGTAGTCCGACTCTGAATCACACAGTTTCCCTGGCAGACAGGCCAGCATAATCTCCTGCCAGGCCTCACCTGTGGCACACCTAACATCAAAATACAAAAATTTAACATAGGAGCAGAGAGAGGGAATGTATTCATCCATAGATGATGACTAAATCATATATACTATATCATGACAATAATGGCTTGTAACCAACAATTTAAGCTACACAAACACCTGAAGAGCATCAGAACAGCTTGAGGAAAGGTTTGAAAGTTGTTGTTGCGGTTGATTTGTGTTCCATCCACCATTGCTATTTTCCCAAACACCTAAAAGCAGACAAACAAATGTCACACAAAGAATAAGCCTGCCAGCTCCCAAATTCTGGACGAGACAAAATTAAAATGATGATTGTGAAATTCTGTGTTACACGATGAAAATCACGATGTCACTGAAGGCAACACTGGTTTTGATTTTCAAGAATATTACCTGCATTCCAATTACAGCATAGATGAAGAACAGCATGGCTATTAGGAGTGCAACATAGGGAAGAGCCTGGCCGGGGGGGAAAATTGAAGAGACACTGTTACTTAACACTGGACCACTCTGAGCTCTCTAACCTGACCCACTTTTTTAACACTCATTGTTACTACCCAGCAACCAGTTTCAGAGGGTTAGACCTCCCACCTTAAAACCAACAAGAGTAACCTCCTCATTGGCTTGTAATATTGCAGATTAAAAAAAGGATGCTTTTTTGGCTATGTTATATGTTTCAGTCTCACCTGGAAGGACTTGATGAAGGTCCATAGCAGAGTCCTGATGCCCTCCCCCCTGCTCAGCAGTTTGACCAATCGCATCACTCTGAACAGGCGGAAGAAGGTGATTGAGATGCGAGCACTGTCCTCAGTGTTCTGAAGCGGAGGACATGGAGAGTGATTAGGGGGATGAAAAAACAGAAGGCGTAACATTTGTTTAATGAACTGTATGAATTAAATTGTTCTTTTGTATTTTCCTTGAAACTTTGGCAATACTGTTCTATTGACATTCATACCAATAAAGTAAACTGAAATTGAAATTGAAAATTGATAACGCTCTGTACCACTTGTTCATTCATGCAGCCAGTCATACATGCAGTCTTTCAATCATCATGTAAGGATTATATTAGCTAAAAATCATTACAAAGAAATCTTCCCATTTGTGATCTTTCTGGATCTTTGCAATGATAACAGTCGATGTGCATGCAGAGTGACCATGTGTTAAACACCATGCCGTGAACAGACCTGGAGGACTTACACATACAGTACATTTAACTCTGGACGACCGGCAAAAACAGACAGAATCCACAGTCCAAAGACAAGCAAACCAAAAGACAAAATATAATTGATGTGTTACAACTGATACAAACATCAAGATAATTTTTTACCGCCGTGTTACAGTACAATCACACAACACCTCTGACAAGAAATGTAAACTCAAAACAGTGCACTGACTATACAGTGTTGGTAATCTGACTGCAAACACATGGGTAAGCTGAAATGAGACAAATCACCATACGGTGTTATCTGTTCCTCTGTGTCATGCCATGCACCCAGGACAGAATGACATCTCAACAAAAAAAGGTCAGCTGATACCATGATACTGGAGCCAAAATGCAACAAACCAGGTGGATTCAAAACAAGACTTTTATAAACATTGAGTGTGAGTAAGTGAGACTAGACGCTCTAACTGAAAGTGTGTCAGTGTTTTCATCAGCAAGTGAGCGACAGAGTGATAACAAAAGATCTTGATGCGTTGACTTTGCATGATCACAGTAGGGTGAGGGGCTACAACAATAAAGGAGGGGCTTCTTCTTACCCCTGGGTCCACTATCACCTTGACGACAGGAATGGCTGCCGACTTGAAACCAAAAGTCTAAGGTTAATCCAAGTTACACAAACCACCTGTACAGCACCAAACCGTTCATGAGTCAGTGCTGCTGCAAACATCACATATCATTACCAATACCTTCAACTTACTCAGGATGTAATTACAAAAACGCTCAGAAGCAGCTTCACTTAAAAAACAGCAACACAGCATTGCAATTTATATCACATGCATGAACATCATTGTAAAGTCCTTCATGCAAAAGCTTTACCACATATTCTCAGCAGTAACACCAGACATGCATTCAATGCTGAAGGAAAATTAGTTCTTTATCACAATACTAAAAAGTTTAACTGTTAACACTGATGATTAGGAAAAAGAACTGATACACCTTCTTCTTCTTCTTCTTCTTCTAAATGCTTATTAGCATTACTATTGTCTACATTTTCCCAAATATATTTTACATTTCACCTAATGATTTTGCAGATCATGCTGGATATAATTACATATTTAAAATACTTATTTATTTGCCATTGTTTTTAAAATTATATGACCTTTCAGTATCAACCCGGATTTAAATTAACTGGCGTCCTGGCTAACACTGACATCCTTAAATCAAAATTATATTTATATAACTAAAAAAGTTTGCAAGGTTTGTGGTCCTCCAGGGGAAAAGGTCCCCTTGAAAGACCTGTCCATCACTGTCCTGGTGACAGCTCGGACAGCGAGGAACCTGGAAGTGACCCTGAGGGACACAGTGTTATTGTTGACATACAGCAGCAGTAACCTGCACTTTGACAATGTTTAGAGGAGCTAGTGGTTCCTCCCTGGTGCTTGCATCCAGGTGTTTGTCATCTCCCACCTGAACTACTGCAACTCCGTCTTTGCTGGAGCCCCTGTGTCTACCAACAGACCTCATATATTCTCTCCCCTATATTCAACCTGATATTTTACCTTCCCCACACCCTAGAATGAGATCTCCACTGAAGTCAGGACAGTGAAGTCACTGCCCCATGGTACGCCGCAGACCACATCTCAGCAGTCCTTGCTAGCAGCACTTACTTCACACCGTTTCTATAACCAAAAAAAAAACTTATCTCTAAGCACATGCTGTGTAGCGCTTAATATGCTTAAGTTATTTGTTTAAAAGGGATAAACCCACATTTTTGGATGATAGCTTGCCTTTCTCTTACATGCTTTGAATGCACTTATTATATGTCTTATAGCATCCGCCAAAATAATGTAATGTAATGTAGCAGAGCATAACTAAGACATTCAAAACAATGAAATATGGATTTGACTGACTTTACTTTAACTAGAGTACCATATTTACTTAGATGGTTTATCTAGCTTGAGGAAGTGGTTTTTCATAATCTATAAAAAGTAATGCGAGTACGTGTTTTCTTGGTAGGGACAGGAAAAGCGAGATGATTGCTGTTAACATAAAAAATTTGACACAATAAATAAACTGGTATTGTTTAAGTTGCAGAACCATACAGCACATATTCAGCAAGTGCTGACATGCTCTTAGAGAATATTTACCAGTTGCTCTAACTCATACAGGTAAGATTCAGGTAACATCAATGTGTGTTCTTTACTCAAACATTCATTCAAAACAAGAGACTGAGAGGGAAAACAGACATCTTCATATGGACAAGCCTGGAGTAAGCACGTAGTCAGTGTTAACAGCAGCTGCAAACCAGGACACAGAGTGGCCTTGAAGTAGCAGTACAGCAGATTCAAGTCAAAGTTACATGCAAAACAGTTGATGACAAAATGATCACACAGGGCTGCACAATTTAAAATGTGTGACGAAACAGCAGTATGGTGAAGTACTATAGTGCTGCAGAGATGCCCGGCCTACAAATCTGGTTCTCCAGATCCAAGAAATCATCTTTGTTTTGTACAGACCCCAATAACCCAAGAACATTCATTTATGCATGACAAAGAAAATTGTAATCTTGAATGCAACCCTGATGCAATAGCAAGGCCCTCTGGCTGGGAGTGTCACAGTAAGACAGGCACGTATGTGTGATAAATGACTACTTACATTGATCTCAGTGATGGCAATGTCAACCACGCTACCCACAACAATTAAGGCATCAAACGTGTTCCATGCATCAGCAAAATAGTTCTGCAAGCACAAGCAACAAAGACACAAAAAAAGAAAGAGAAGGACAACAGAGCAAAGAAAAGGTAAAAAAAAAAAAGAAGAGAATTATGAGAGATAGAAAGAGGAGAACATCAAAAAGTTATGATTTGATATAAGAGAGTGAGGTTGAAACTCGAATCAGTCCTGCCACTGAGTCTGTGAGAGTACTAACTTCTTTCATTTACAGAAACATTCATTTGAAAATGTTCATATACTATATAATAAATTAACCATCCGTCATTAATCTTCTGTTTCAAAAGTATTTGTTGTACTCTCACTCGCAGCGGCAGGTTAAAAGAAATGGCCACCACAGACTTAAAACTTAACACTTTAACAAGATCTAATCAGCATGGAGCAGTGGCTTGATGTAATGTATATGTTGGCATTTAACACTGTTTATTTGTAGATGCAGGTAGCTGAGGGAAATGTTTCCAGCCCATCAGCATGTATCTGGTCTATGGTGCTCATCAAACATTAACATTAACATCCACAACAGATTCAACACACTTGCTTAATGAGCAGAAACTGGCTCAAGCCAACCTAAAAACACGACACAACATTAGGACAGGAAGGAAGGAAATGAGGAGAGATGTGAAGGAAGGGAAAAAAAGGAGAGTTGCTGCAGCAGTGGGAGAGCAGGAAGAGGGAATGACAGAGTTGTCCATACTGACGTCTCTCTACCTGGCTGAGTATGATGTCGACTACACTGCCAATCACCACCAGAGCATCAAAGACGTTCCAGGCGTCCCCGACATAGCCCTGAATATGGCAGCATATACAGCCAGCAGGACAGGAGGAGGGGGTTGGGGGTGCAGGAAAGTATAAGAGGTAGATAAGGAATAAATGGAAGAGGAGTCACAGCCAGTGGGCAAACAGGGGAGGTAAGAGGGACAGGAAGAGTGTATGAGGGCTGGGTAAAAAGGAAAAGGGGAATGCTTACAGATAAAAACTAAAAAACATGAACCTTTATAGGGATCAAATGTAAAGGGAGATAACTCTAATCCTGCAACATCTGCAATTATCTGCTAGCAAAATCTTATGGAGGAGAGGAGAGGAGAGGAGGGGAGAGGAGACGAGACTTACTCTGGGTTTGAAGGCGATGAGCTTGAGGATCATCTCCACAGTGAAAACCCCAGTGAAGACCATGTTGAGGATGTCCATGGCATAGTTGAACAGATGAGACTGACCATGATGCTGAAAAGAGGCAGGCAGACACACTTATCAGAAATATAAAACAAACCTTTATGAATAATACATGTACTGTACTTTAAGTGTATCTGTATTCAGTGGTTGCCATAAACTGTAGAGGGTGACACGGGAGTGGATATAAATCGACAAAATACAAAAATAATCCTGTCCTGTCCTAAATCTGGAAGAATTACTCCCATCCCATCCCCAATAAAAAAAAATCAGAAAATAGTGTTTATTCATTTTAGAAATTATTATTTATACATAAAAAATGAACCTATGATACCCGTCCCACCCACTTCAATTGACTTTTTTTCCTGTCCCGTGATGATTAGTGAAATTGACTCTCATCCCACAGGAATCCCCAAAAATGTCTAATACACTGTATACTAAGTAGAGAGTGAATCCTCTTAATCTCCCTGTTTGCTTTTTGCAGTATATAAAGCATATAAAGGCAGTAACGCAGGCTGCAATAAATTATATCAAGCAAAATTATGTATACTACGCAGAGATTATATCTTTCAAGTACAAATACATCATACTAGTGATTAGATAACTGCATGCAGCACTGAAAAACTTGTTATAAGTAGATTCACTGGCTAGTCATTTTTACCTAGAGGACTGAATGGAGAGCACTTACCTGAATAGCCAGACACAGGGTGTTGAGGATGATTAGGACAAACATGACGTACTCAAAGCCAGTAGAGTTGACCACATACCAGAACTTGTACTGGTAGGGGTTTTTGGGGATGTAGCGCCGCAGAGGACGAGCTTTAAGAGCATATTCCACACACTGACGCTGTGGTGATGGTGAGGGTAGAATAGAGAAACAAACAGACACACTTATGAACAGGTGTAACATGCCTTCTTCTGTAAAAGATGCAGACGCTCCCTGCACCAGTCAGTAATAAGACACAATATATGTTACATCAGATTTGAGCACAAATGGAAGATAAACAAATGTCCATTTGTAGCACCCATAACCTTCTGTGGAGCACGTACTTAATAATTTGATAAGAACAGACTTTTTCCTACTAAATTTAACAACACACAGCAACATCATCCACAAACACACAATCTCTATAGGGGCCCTTACCTGGTTCTTGTCCAGCTCACAGTTCTTGTATTCCTTCTCTCCCTGCTCCTGAAAGGTGACGATAACAAAACCGACAAAGATGTTCATCATGAAGAAGGCGATGATGATGATGTAGATGATGAAGAAGATGGAGATCTCGATGCGGTAGTTGTAGATGGGACCCATGTTCTCTCTGTTAGAGTCAATGGCCTTGTACAATAGACTGCAGGGAAACGCAAAACACAGAGAACGTCAAGCTAATGACCAGTCATAATTCATACATGTATCAGCTCTAAATCGGTTTAACAAGCTTTGTTTGTTTAAAGATACTACGTAGCATACTTTAAGCCTAAGGTGTACATTTATGCATTCATTATAATAAAATGACAGAGATAATAGACTCGGAAAGGACTGGTTCTTTACTTTACAGAAATATGATATGATAAATGGATAGTCAAATCTGAATTCTCCCTCAAATGCAAAGCAGTACTTACGTGGGCCATCCTTCAAAGGTGGAGACAGTAAAAAGAGCCATCATGGCCATGAGGACGTTGTCAAAGTTGAAGTCACTGTTGTACCAGATCCTCTCTTTCACCATGGGCAGCGCTGTGTCCCCGTTGTTGTAGAGAATGTAGGTACCTCTGTGATTTAAATATGAAGCATTAACAACATATACGCACAAGCACCTACACATAGACTCATTCAGGCCAAGGTGCAAAGCTGGAAACTATGAAGGAGGAGAAACTCACTTGCACTCCTCTGGGCTGGACTTTGCGTCATCAGTGCAGCGATAAAATTTCCCCTTTGTGAAAAAAACAACAGAGAAAGTCAGCTGATCGTTTAAAACCTAATTCTTATTTTAGACTGGAAGGGCCTGTTCATTTGGTTGTGACCCCATCACCCACTATCTCTCTTTGCATCTTTTCACTGTACCTTGAAGAGCTGCACTCCGATACAAGCGAACATGAACTGCAGCAGCGTGGTGACGATCATGATGTTGCCGATGGTCCTGATGGCCACAAACACACACTGGACCACGTGCTGCAAAGGACACACCATTATATGCTGTTAGTAGGAATACACAGTACTCTACCATAAGCAAAGGGACATGCGTGCACAAATATACTTGGGAACACATTCTCATGGAAAACTAGACACACGCACATACAGATACACACAGCAATATGTTTTTGACTGTTGTATATTGTTATTCTGACCTTTAGTCCCTTGGCTCTGTTGATGGCCCTGAGCGGACGGAGGACCCTCAAAACACGGAGAATCTTCACCACTGAGATTGCAGAGGACCTGTGGAAGACAGCAAAACACACAAAGACATGTTGTCACAGAGGCATTCCTTTAAGCTCTGATACTTAGCAGAGCAGAGAGCAACGCTTATATATCACGGCAAAAATACAACCCAGTGCTCATTGATCAAATGATACATACTGAATGCCAAAGGAGACCAGAGACACACCAACGACCAGCAGGTCTAAAAGATTGAAGTAGTTTCTGCAGAATGCCCCTTTATGTAGGAATGCTCCAAACGCTGTCATCTGGACAGAGGAGAGACATCAGTCAGGACTAAAGAAGACAGATCTGCCACAAAACACTTACATGGGGACAGCTTCAAGTCAGGCTGAAACTGGATATAAATGACTGGTTTTACTATTTAAATTATCTGTTACTAAAAACAATTCACAGTATCAATTTTCAAAAGAACATTTTGTGTGTACCAAAAAAATTTTTTTTTCCTCCTTTTACATTCACATTGATTTTGAATTTTAAACATGAGCATTCATGACAAGAATGCAAACGTGATATTCTTTGCAGTTTCCCAGTTGATGGTCCTGCATTGAAATTAGGCTGTTATGTTAATTATGTTACATAATAATGTAACCTAGTGCAAGCACACACATAAGCAGATCAGTAGTTCTAATATTTTATATGTAGCCATAGCTTCAAGATATGTTTCTAATATGTTTGGGTCAATATTTAAAAAAAAAAAAAAAACTGATATGGTAAGCCTGGATTCAAACTCACAAAATGGAACGTTAAAAACACTTGAAAAATACTGTGGTCAGAGACGCATACGCACCACACACACACACACACACACACACACACACAAACAAATAAACAGATCATAAACAATGCAAAATGTTCAGACAAGACATGGGGAATATAATTCAAAAGCCACTAAATTCATTTCCGGTGCAGATTAAGCCAGGGAATGTACTATAAACCCTTTCCATGAAAAAGGTCCTTTAATCTTCTCCTGATCAAATTTTAGGCTTCAGCCGCACTACATGAGATTAACCTGGTGCAGGCATGCAGCGAGCAGTTTTGAAAGCAAAAACAATAAAACTGTTCCTGATGTCTGTGGATTTTTTCAAGCACATTCTTTGTAAGTGCATTAGCCTAAACAGACATGAAGACATTAAGGAAGCGGGCACATCTGTGTGTACAGTATGCAAATAGTCAGTGGGATATCAAGCTTGAGTTCAAGTTCATCTCTCCACAGTCCAGAAAATTTCAAATTTAACAATTATCATTCTAATTAACAATCAAGAAATGTTCATTGTTCAAAATATGGGACTATTGCTGGTACTGACAAAGATTCAAGCATAAGCATATAGTGTTTTAATATTCAGAAAGTAAAAGAAAAACCAAAGAAGTAACTGCAATTTTTGGTAACAGCCAAACAAAAAGTTGTACTCTGGAGAGCCACTGGTCCATAAACTGGTCGAGGATGAAAAGGGGAAGTGGGCCGTGATGGAAAAGTGACTGACAGACAAAATAAATCTGACAAAAATGCATGATCTCCATGTTGACAAGCAGGCGGCCATTTCTACCAAAAATGAGGGGAAGGAGGACATGTGCAGCAAGCTTAAGTGGTAGGGTGTTGCAGAGGCAGTCCAACAGTTTTTATAGTTTACCTTAATAAGGATCTCAAATGTAAACATACTAGTGAAGACATAGTCTGCATAGCCTAGGATCTGAGGAGGCAATCAGAGTGACATAAGCGCGCAGGGTTACTAAAGCTCTACTCAGCACAGCACAACACAGCACAAAGGTCATTTACCTTCAACAGGATCTCAACAGTAAAGATTGCGGTGAAAGCATAGTCAAAATAACCAAGTATCTGCAAAAGGCAATGCACAAGTTCAAGTCATCAAGTCATTCCAGGATAACAGCACAGTAAAATACAGTATATAGATGGAGTAAGAGACAGACAGATGAAAAATAAATACTTATATATTGCACCAGAAAAGAGTATCATATCCATGTACTGAGATATTTACAAATTAAATTTTTAAGTTTGTTCACAACAGCGACAGGTCTTCTCTGAGCAAAGAATGTAAGGAATTAAAACCTGAAAGTGAAATAAAATTCTCCAAAATCTCAGTGAGCATGAATTTAATCCAGAAGAAGCTAAATTCGCCAGTTACATCTTCTGACTACACAAAGTGCCACAATTGTATTGTCAGTCATTTGTCTTTATATTGCATCATTCCTAAGTAATACATTTGAAGTTACAATTGCTGCGAACATGTGAACTTGCCAAGTGCATCTTGTTTTGGTTTGCAGGTATATGAGTACATATCTTGAAAAACACTAATAAGTTACAGTATGAGGTCCTAAAACATGAAATTCACTGTGGAAAAGCGGAAACAGGATTTAATAGATATTTGATAGAAACAGGGAAGTTTATCATGCAGTATTGTTTGGCAGTTTATATATTGGTAAATAGGTGATTAAAGTGTGCAAACTGTTTTGCACTGGCTTTTAAGAAAAAATCTAATCAAAATACCTCCTGGTTTCACATATTGGTTAATATACCTTTCAATAAACATAACTTCCCAGCATGCAAATTGCTGCCTGTGTAGTTTGTGTTTATATGTAGCTAGGACTGGTGGTAAAATTTCATGTTATTTGATTGACATTTGCTAAATCCTGCTTTCCATAGGACTTTTTCACAGGACAGCAGACATTTGGACTTGTCAGGTGTTACTAACACTTTTAACAATGGCTCAGTAAGTCATGACAGTGTGAGAGATTGCACAGGACCATAAAACAGAAGCAGCTAGATGGAACTCAGCGATCATTTATTTATTATTTACACCTGTGCTTTTCCTATTGTGACATGTCAAAATGATTAAGGCTCATTGTCAGCTACAGTGAAAAAAAAATAAACCCTTCAAATGGGATTTAGGACAGTTAAAGACTACGGTCCCAGTGGTTGTTTACGTACAATATTGCGAGCAGAGAAGTTGCGTATTGGGTCCTCAGCAGCCAGAGAGACGGAGCTGAGCATGATGAAAACCAGGATAAGGTTGGTGAAAATCTGATGGTTGATCAGCTTATGGCAGAATACACGAAACCTACACCATTAAGTAAAAACACAGAAGGAGAAATAGAAGACAGAAAAGCAAATTGAGTGTACAGAAAGAGACACAGAGGTAGAGGAAGTACAGTGAGTCTAACAGCAGGCCTGCTTTTGTGACACATCTTTAATTTTAGCTTTTTGCCTCTGCTATACTGATTTTAGCATTGTTGTTTCTTTCTGTAACACTGAATAGGTCAATATCAAAGTCACCAAACTGCATGTCCGAGACTCACGGGTTAGTGCTGCTGAAGATGAAGAAGGCACTGCCCCTTGGGATGGGGGGTGTCTTCTCTTTGATGCTGAGTTCAGACAGCCTCTGAGGGCGTGGCCCTGGCAGGACTTCTGGGAGGTCATCGTTATTGTTGTCATCGTCGCACACTAGAAAACAGAACTGGAGTTATAATGATAATAATATATGTAATAACAGCATAATCAACATTTGCTGTCTTGAGAACTTTATTTTATGGTCAATAAAGTTGTTCTCAGTACTCTAGGTAGCGTTGGAGTACTCTTTACAATAGCCTTCTTTCTCCTTACATCTTGCCAGCAAGTAAAACTAGAATTTGGGCCACAGTCCTAGCTTAACTGGACCGTAGTTGGTGGGGGGGGGGGGTTCGTTATTCAAACTTCTAGTCAGTCACAAAACCATGAAATGGGATTATTTGTGGTCATCCTCCTCAAACAAGACAAGTCACTTTTACCTGGAGAGTCAACAGTAGGATACAACTCCTTGTCTTCCTCCAGCAAGACCGCTGCTGGCACCTACACACAGTGATCAGGTTTAGCATTATAAAAATGTACAATTACTGAAATGATAACAATAGAAATAATGCACTTTAAGATAGGTGGTCGCTATTTTTTTTTTACATTGTGTTAATACAGTTTTTTTCGATTGCTAAAGGACAGTGAGCACAACTGGAGCTACATGTGCAAAACTCTAACTACAGTCTGCACAGCAGCAGGTCATGTGGACCAAACTCTAGTTCGTTTTGCACTGTGGATTTACAGCACTTTGTTCAAATGCTAACACACTGCTGTCAAAACTGTGAACCACACATTCAAAACATAATAGATTTCAGCCTTGTGCCTTTCAAACACTGCTGATTGCAATTTCAGCTGAAAGGATAAGCAAGTGTCTTGTTTTGGACTTGTAAGTGAACACACACACTTATAGACCATGCCGTGAACCATGGTCTCTCATTGAGAGAGGCAGGGTTGAGGGTGCAACCCAATCTGCAAAGATCCACAGTGGCATCTGTAATGCGAATTTTCCATCATACAAACAGGTGAGAGTGACATCCTTACAGTAAATGAAAACATTATAATTTATTTTGTATTGCAATTATAGAATATTTACACAGATATATATTACAATAATTTTGACTGTAAAATATATTTTTACAACAGGACCCAAAGGCTGCCTCCAACAGGAGGAAAAGGAAAAATATTTTCAGATGCGCGGGAAAATGCTATTGTTGACATGGTTGTTGTCAACAATGCAATAAAACTGCGGGACATTCAAGATAGAGTGCTGACTGATAATGATATATTTGAAAATGTTAATTCTGTCAGCACAACAACTATTGCTCGAGTCCTACAGAAACACCAAGTTACAATGAAACAGTTATACAATGTACTGTTCGAGAGAAACAGTGAACGGGTAAAAGAGCAAAGATACCAATATGTCCAGGTAAGATGTCTGAGGTTACATACACAGCTATAAAAAATATTTACAGTAAAAAAAACACTAGCATTACAGTAAAACTGTGCACTTACTGTTTTTCAGAGAGTAATGGAGGTGGAAACACTGGAAACACCACATTCATTTGTATTTATCGATGAAACTGGATTTAACCTTACAAAAACACGGCGAAGAGGACGGAACGTTTAGCTCAGGTGACTGTTGGTAGTGCAGACTGTAGTTAGAGTTTTGCCAATGTAGCTCCAGTTGTGCTCACTGTCGTTTAGCAATCGAAAAAAACTGTTATACAATTAGGGCGATTTATGAAGAGAACTCCTCTCTGTATTTTACCGTGGCCTCGCCATCCTTCCCTTCGTTTATTTCAACTCTCTTCTTATCTGTGCTTGCATTCCTGTTAGACACAGATAAAACAGGGAGGAACTAACAATGCAGAAGGCAATTTCTTTTCTGCCAATAGAAAGTGCATGTGACAAATGTGATGAATAACTACAAAAACAATTGAACAGAAAACGTGAAATATTGAGGTGTCCTAAGCTGTACTTGGCACTATTCTTCCTCTTCTTGGCCTCTTCTTCCTCCTTCTGTGCTGTGTTGAGGCTCTCCGCATCTGCCAGGTTGTCAACAGCAATGGCCAAGAAGACGTTTAGCAGGATGTCTGGTCATGTGACTTAAAGAATTAACCCTGACCAACATGAACCCCCCCTCAGACTCTACAATATGGAACAATCAACTGGCTCAATATTAAAACACAACTTTTTCACATGCAAGGGTGAAAATGTGGATTTATCTTTGTGTGTGTTTCATGTGTGACAACTGTGTGAGCATGAGTGTGTGTGTGTGTGTGTGTGTGTGTGTGTGTGTGTGTGTGTGTGTGTGTGTGTGTGTGTGTGTGTCTGTGTGTGTGTTGCCAGTAGGATACAGTTTCCACAGATGAAGAGGATGATGAAGTAAATGCAGACCACCATTCCAGAGGAGGCCGGACCGCCGTACGCCATGATGCCATCATACATCACCGTATTCCAGTCTTCTCCTGTCAAGATCTGGCAAACACAATATACAGTATAAACCATTTCAATCATTTATTCTATGACTGATCTGAAGATGTCTGCCATGAGGCAACAATTTCCAAAGTTAGATAAGTAGAATTAAGACTGAAAAGGTGTAAGATTAGTGCGATCTTATGAAGGGCTTCACCAAACTACTTTTTTATTTTATATTATCTTTGTACTAATTAACAGTTTCCATTTGTTGAGCTGTTGTTTTGACGCTTCTTTGTGACTGGCCCAGCTGTTTCAGAGCTATGAGACCAGTCGTATTAATCACTCCACCCACCAATTTATATTCCACTCCACTGAATCCTTTTGCACTTTTTGCTGCTGCACCTACATGAACCAAAAACACAGGTGTGCTTGGAGATGCCCACACAGTCCAGGCACCGAACACCAACCATTTTGCTTTAGCCTTTGCACCTGCACAATTTAAATACGTCCCAGTCTATTTCTTGGTCTGATGCCGAGCTGTCTGGCTTTACACCTCATAGCCTACAACATGTGGTTGAAAATTTCTTTTGATATTGTTGCGATACATATCCATATCCCTTTAAAAATATTTGGATTTGGTTTGGTTTGGAAGACATATTTGTAAAAGTTTATGATAAAGATTTTTAAATTCACTAGATAACATTTAAATGCCAAAAAAATGATCCATTTGCCCAAGCAGGGAACACTGTAGCAATGATTGTATTGCTGGCTAAATTATTTAAAGCCTTGTTTGTCCTGGTATTGCAGGACATGTGAGTGAATGTTAAAATTCTTGCAAACTGCATCCAAATGAAACCAAACACTCACCTGGAACACAGTGAGCAGGGCCTGGGGGAAGTTATCAAACGTGCTCCTTTTGGTCACAGTCTCGTCAAAGTTGAACTTTCCCCCAAAAAGCTGCATGCCAAGCAAGGAGAAAATGATGATGAAGAGGAAGAGCAGCAACAACAAGGAGGCGATGGATTTCATGGAGTTGAGCAGAGAGGCCACCAGGTTACTGAGAGAGGCCCAATGACTAGAGAGAGAAAAAATATAAAAGAAGTTAACAGATGAACAGACACACACAAAATGCCAATCACACACACACACACACACACACCTGTGAAGGTAATGAGGGGCAAATATAGAAATGATTATATTGGTTGGACAAGGCATGAAGACCATATTCAGCACTGACATACATTTCTAATCTCCAGCGTCAGGTGTTATTTTTATTAGAATGTGCCAGCAGAGAGGCAAAAAAAAGCCCTAAAGCTCTGTGTGCCCCTCAGTTGGGGTGACAGCAGCCACTTGGTGATAGACTAATATCACAGTCTATCTACACGTGTCCTTTTTTTGGTACATTTCTTTTTCACATCCAGTAAGGAAACAGGTGAAAACACCTAGCAACTCACATTATAAATTCTTCTACAAAGTAAATGGGTGGATAATAGGACACTCATCATGCCAGTCAGAGACTGGTTTTCTGTCTAACCTAATAATTCCTTGTTTTCTCTTACATATAAAATATAATATAAAATAATTTGTAATTTTTTAATGTGATTACATCAGATCACAACAGCATCCTAACCCCGCCTGGTGTAAGCTGTCTGGCTGCCTACGTAATGTTCATGATCTCAAGAAGATAACATGTGTTTAATCTTCTTTTGATAGAAAAAGGGTAACCTTTACAAATTTTGGACGAGTTTTGCTACTGTTATGACCTGCTTAATGCAAAAGTCTGAATAATAGTGCAAGTTGAAACACCAATGCTCAATCAAACACCCTATAAAAACACAATTTGCCCTATTTTATTTAAAAGAATCAAAGAAAGAATATGCCCTGAAGCATTTAAGCCATCTCTATTGCCTCCAGACAACACATAGCTTTCTGATGCTCACCGTGTAACCTTGAAGATCCTCAGGAGACGTACGCAGCGGAAAACAGAGATGCCCAGCGGAGACATGATGGCCAGTTCCACCAGGATGGTCTCTATGATGCCTCCACACACCACGAAACAGTCAAAGCGGTTAAACAGGGACACAAAGTAGGCCTGCAGCCCCAAACTGTACATCTTCACTAACATCTCCAAGGTGAACATTGCCAGGAGAACTTTGTTGGCTACATCTGGAGAGGAAAGGAGATAATTGAACAAAGTCAAGAAAACATACATTTTATACAAACCAACAGAACAGAATATAGCAAAATAGATACCTTGTACTTCAGTCAGCCAGTCTGGCTGGTTGTAGTGCTCAGAGGCAATGGTGAGAGTGTTGAGGAACACCAAGATGATGACCAGCCAGTAAAACGTTACAGATTTCACGGCTGCACGACACTTCCTGCGACAGAAACGGTTCCACCGTCGCCACTGACGACTGACAAAAAGTACCACTTTAGGATCAATGGATGTATACAGCCATATTCAGAACACTTTAGTTCCTAATACTTAATAAGCTACAATTAAAACTAATATTTATTTAAGAGTTAGTGGAGATTTGTACTGAATTTAACACATTTTGCAATGAACTCTTCTGACTCTGGACTCTGGACAGGTATATGTATTTGCGTTTTATTTTTCACGTATAACGTTAGTTATATAGTAGTGAAATAAAGCACACAATAACTTTAAGTAAAACTGGACAAAAACTAATTATAAAGACAACTGGAAGGATTTTAGGTGAGTAAACAGGGAAAAAAACACAATGATGAAACTGTAGCGAGATCAGGATAAAGATCGATTGGTCAGAAATAAAACATAACATGACAGACCTTGGATCACCCGCAAAAAATACATGAAAACATTGGGGATCTGAGCAATTCAAATACGAGGTAAGAATGAGCCATGCAAGATGAGTTGAATCAAATAAATGAATGAGGAAGGCATCTACCATGCAGTGTCATACAGTACCAAGGTACTAACCTGCACTTTGACTTAGTAATTTTTTGACTGGGGAGAATAAAAGATGAGGCAACTTTAAATATAGGGCAACAACATGTGCAATTGTGCACACTGTGCAGTGTTTGACTCGCATTGTTAATGTGTGAAACAGCCTCTACAGTCTATTGACTGTCCTTTATCTAGTCAATAATAAGAGGTCAACCTCTTTTTATTAGCTTATCATAACAATAACATGTTACACTCACCACAGAGGTCCACAGCAGGGTGATTTGTCCTCCACTCCATTGTGATTCTCTGTGTTCACAGACTCGGTCTCACTAGTGGGCATGCTCGCTGTTGTATCACACACACATACACAAAAAAAAGTCATGTAAGACGACAAGGTGCCAATTTAACAAAGAGATTCAGGACATAAAAATTGTGTCCTGATGGAAACAAGTTTAATCACTAAATTTCACATTATTATAGATTTTCTTATTGACACCCATGCATTTTTGGTTTGGCTTGGTTCCAGAGCGATGAAATATGTTTTTTTTAATACAGGCAGAAAAAATATTTCAAATATCAGAAACAATTCTCTAATCTACTGTATGGAGAATCACACATTATGCTGAAACTATTACAAGACTTCTGCAAAATGAACAAATCCAGTTTTTGGAAGCCTTCAATAAACTCGTATTTTAGTTGATTGTAAGGAATAGATCTCCAATTTTATTTTTTCTGCTAGTTGATGTGCTATCTGAAATGTTATCTTTCTTTCATGTGTCACATGGCTTATAGACCAAGCCAAACCACTGGAAAACAAAAAACAAAGAAATGCAGGTGTAAATAGAAAATGCTGTAGGGTGACTCCTTCTCCAAGTTTGACACTGACGTGAAAAGAAAAATCTGGAAAGTTTTTCCTTTATTACAGAATATTTTGTTCTCAAAGAAAGAGACTGGCGGTATCCAATTTGGGATTGACCCTGGATCTTGGAGTTGCACCGTGTGAAACCAACAGTCCTGTTTTGTGAACACTGCAAAATGATGAAGGTTTCTGCATAGATCAAGTCACAGTGAGAACATGCCGCCAGACCAGAGTCACATTGGACTTTGTAAATAATTCTTGTCATTTTTTAAAGCCATTTATCAATTGGAAGCACCATCACAATACAAATAGTGTTACTCCAATTAAAGAGTTTACTCATTGTTGTGCTGAATGTTTTTCAGTACTGATGCATTGTCTAGTTGAAATATTTGAAACTATTTGGTCCAGGTCTGTATGCCGTAACAAGTATTAGTTACATAGTCACAGAGTTACAGTATATTGGAAATCATACATACTGTACATGCATAAAATATTGTCTTTATAAGGGACAAATGACAGGAATTCAAAATGATTATGGTTGCATGAGGGATCTGAACACCAGTACTTTGACATTTCTAATACGCAGTCATGAGATCAACTGAAAACACTGATGTATTTCTATACATTACAAGGTGTGTCAGGATGTAACATTTAAACTGGTACTAAAATAAACATGCGCTAACTAACCTTTGCTGGCAAAAAAAGTTTTTTAAAAATGAAATAATTTTTTTAAAGATGTTGAAAAAAAGCATGTCAAGCATGTCTTGTGAAAGGGAAGTGTGCTGGAAACATCTAAATTCACACAAATGTGCACGATTTATTTAAGATTTTGTCACATTGAAATGTATTATTCATTTGAAGTTTTAGATTTTTAAGTTTTAGATACTAAGCGTACCATTTATGTATTGCAACACCAGTGTGCACTGAGATTTAAAAACCTGTTAAAAAGGTGCTTTTGTGTTGTTAAAATGCTAAAAATTAAATCATGTGCAATATGAATGGCAATCTCTGTTGTATGAGTGCTTTATTCATATTAGTGTTATTGTTCCTTAAATTGAAAGCCACATAAACTTAGTTGCTTCCTGAGAAGATGTTGCTGCTCGGTAAACATCCCCCTGCATTGTGACATTTGGCAGTAGAGGATTTCCCCTGGTTAGTCTTTCATCTGTTCTACAAAGTGTTGATTCATTTCACTAGCAACTGGGCTTTGTTTGCTGGTAGGTAACAATGTGATGCAAAGGAGTTCAGAGATAATGGATGATAAGGTGCATGTGTCATAAATGAAATGAATTGCCTTATGATAAGGATGGTGAGGATCAAATATTATTTAATGAAACAAAGGGCATGCAAACACAAAAGCATAAGCAAAGCACATGCAAGCAGAGGCAACCTCCGGGATAAAGATGAAGTGTTCTACTGAACACGCGCAAAAAGAAAACACACACACTCGCACACACACAAACACATTTACCATGTGTCTCTGTGGACTGAGTGAACCAGCCAAACTTTCCTTTCTTCTTCTCAGTGAGGTCAGCCAGCGTGACCCCTTGGTGTTATCAACATGCAGTTCACACAGCCAGACAGCAGAAGAAGCAGTGAGTCAGGACACAGCAGAACAAGAGAGAGAGGAATGTACAGCAGAGACAGCTGCAATACAAACTACAGTACAGACACAGCTACCATGTCCAGAAAAGCTACGAAACGAGTGTGCAGGACATCCAGTAATATCCTCTTATCAGCAGACTGACCGCAGAATCTGAACCTGGACTATGCTGTCAGCCAGACTGATATGTATATCGCTGATATATACTTTACATCGCAAACTATTGGTAGCCCATAAATAACAAAAAATCGAAGTACAGAAATGCCAATATGTTTGTGGTAGTTTTGAAACAATGTTTTTTTCATTACATTGTCCACCAGACAGCACTGACTGTAAATGTCCTACTAGATTCATGCAATCTTGGTCGTAATTTTTCAACTACAAAAAAGTCAGTCCTCAACGATATTAGCTTCAGAAATCCAGTTTTGTCGTGCTTGATTTTAGGTCTATGATTTCTGGACAGAGTAATTATTTATACATTATTAGACTGGAAAGGACTAACAATAAACAAGGCTTCAGTAAGAAAACAGAAGACAGAAGGCAGAGAAAAGAAAAACTGTTGACAGGAGACAGAGGGAAAAAACTAATGTTAGCAGCAATCTACAGATACAGTTTTTACAAGGCACACAGACACTGCAGGAATCAAGGAGAGAACGTTAGTGTGGTTTCTTGGGTGTCTAGTCTACAACAACAGCAGAGGTAAAAGCAGGGCAGTTACTGGAGGATATAAAAAACGTACAAGTGCATATGCACTGAGCACACTGAATGGTTTTAAGGCACTGTAGGAGTATTAAGAAGAGAGCCAAAGGCCGCAAGCAATGGCACCGCAGTCCAAAACAACAGATTATTCACACACTTTACTGTAACCAACGCTCACTACACACATTCTTTAAAAGGAGCAGATGGGTTTCTAGTGATTTACCCGCATTTCATGTCCTTGCACATTCAAATGGGTTATGGTCAGGACACTATGTGGGTCATTAATCACACAACCAGGCTCCAGCCCATGTGAAAAAATATCATATTATAGATTCTGTCCCACAAATCTAGTTCATTAGGTAATTAAATTAAATTATTGGAATTTTGTATGTAAGTAAGACTTTAAAAAAGTACTCCACCGACTTAGTATTACACTCCTATAATTGTTGGACACACAATACACAAAAAAATTACAATCAATGCAGCAGAAAGAGATGCATTCTTCAACCTTGTCAAAAAGTGGAAAGTTTAGTTGAAGATTTGGGTGTGTTATGCTAGTAGCAGCTAATATAGCCTTGCTAGTCTCAAGCAGAGATGAGGAGAGGGCTGCAGAGGTCTGGTAAACTCACTTCTTTCTAACGCCGCACCTCTTGATTTGTTTATCTTTAAACTTGTACTGTTAAGCTCCAACTGATGCTGACACAAGTGGCACCACAGTGCAATAGCTACATGGAGCTTACTGTATTTCCTGGTGTTCACTGAGTAGCAGATGTGTGAGTTTAAAATGTGAAGTGGTGATGGAAAAGTCCATTTACCAGTACTGTGAAAGCAGAGGCCAGAATGTGGGGAACAGAATTCAGAGGGTATTTAGATAATAGATAATAGATAAGATAAGTTTCCTGTGTTTTTAAATACTATAGTAAATTATGTCATGGCTAGAGTCAATGTGCAATGTGATACATTTGATTAGATCACATTAGTTGAAACATTATAGAAAGGAACTGAGTTGTTTCAGCAGTGTGGAAATAAATATAGCACAATAACAATGGCCGTAATATGAATGACGTAATGACAAATAATTTCTGTGACCCTACCACTACAGCTAATCAAGTCAGACATTTCTCAAGCATTAGAGCTTCAATGATTGTCAGACATGTTAATGACCAATAATTAATTGACCATTAGTTATTTATAAAATGCAAAATGCTTGTTCTTTCCTCATGAAGTCACTGTTTAAATATATATGAACTAGTTTTGTAGGATAACCCAAGTAAAGCAGGTTTTTGAAAATCACAAAAAAGTTTAAATTAAAAAGTGATAAGTGCAATAATAATATAAATAATTCAAACTAGTGGTGTGCTCCCACTCCATCTGCTTGTATTCAATAAATAGCCAAGCACATTTCAAAAGACTGAACAAAGCTTACAGCAGCAAATGTTTGTACCATGTAGAGACATAAAATGGGAGACTGAAGACTGCGGCAGTGAGCAGAGCAAAGCAGCGCATCTGTATACTTGATCTCATGAGAGGGAGACCCCCTACAGCAGCAGCACAAGCTACAACAAAACCACAGGATATTTTCCAACCATGCCATAACATGACCCGCATCTCCTACATTTTACCAAGAATTTTTCTAATCATTTAAATTATTCTCTATACTAATTTGTATATTCAAAACAAAACACTAATTCAGCGAGAACAACAGAGGACGGTATGTGAAATACCCTAAAATCAAGATATGAACAGATTTTTAAACTTGTGCAGACAAAAGAAGTCCTTCCTTGTACATCTCACTTCACTGACAGTGTACACACAAGATTATTGTTAATTAAATATTTTGTGATAAATGATATGTATATGTATGATAGCAGAAAAGACAGTTACTTTAATCTAATTAGCAATTTCAACAGCTTCAAAGCCACACATGAAAACAAACTGAAAGAAAACAATTATAAAAATGGTTCTTCTGATTATCAATTGTATCTGTATCAGTATGCATGTGTGTGGGTGGGTATCAACAACAAAAGAGGATATGTAAAAACATTAACATCCAGAAATATCAAGTTATGTAAAGAAAATGTAACACCTATCATGTTGAAATTTGTCATGAAATTGTTTGGAAAGTTAACGTGCAGTGTTGATTGATGAAATTTTGAATGGTACCAATTATCATCCAAAACTGATAAGAATGTTTGTTTTTTTCACAACCATGACCGAGTGGTTAGAAAAGCTGGTACATGACAAAAAGAGACACACGCACACAACCAAACATCCACATTTATCCCTGTGTTATTGTAAAGACCAGCACACACAAGGCCACGCCAGAGAAAGCTCCAAAAATCATAACACCGTCACAGTTTCCACTCGCTTCCTTCACAGCACTGTTGCTTGTTTTAAAATCCTGTAGCACTAGTCCAAGAAAAAACATAACAGAGGGGCAGTATTACTGGCTGGTGTTTTTCTCTTTTACGTGTTCAAAATAAAGGGGATAACAACTTATGTCTGCATCGATCAATTAAATTTTATAACAGATAATCATGAGCATCTACATGCATAATACATTGATGTTATTTGTATGCGTAATATTTAAATCTATATATCCAGTATGATACTGCAGCCCAATGTGGTTCACATACAAGTAAGAAGCAAATAAGAATTGTAAGAACATATCTTCAGAGAACGAGAGGAATAATAACTCTTCAGGTGCTTCACTTAATACCAATCATTTTGCCAGAGTCAGTATTGATTTTTCAAATGGTGAATGTCTCGTTTTGGTAGAGGATGAAACGGTTTTCTTGAATGATTCACTCAGATTCATTCAGAAATAGCCTGTTGTACCAAACTGGACAAGATGATGCCTGGAAAAAGATATATTTTATCGAATGTTGAATGTATCTTTGTAAAGTCACATTTGCGTCGTCTAAAGTTGGCAGCATGTGATCCTGTCCCCTTTGTACTAGATCTGAAATTTTATCATCGTTGACTGCCAGCATGTCTATGTCAGCATGTTTCTAACTGTGACCTGTCAGTAGGTCAGTGGAGCAGTTACATTTGGTCACTCTTCACACGAGTTGGTCAACATCTAATTGTGGGGGAAAGTGTTATGATTACATGTTAACGCCTTATTTAACAGTCACATGTGGAAGTTTGTCCCAGATCCATTTCCTTAATGATACATTAAAGGCAAAACATCAGCAAGCCTGTTAGTGGAATGGCAGACAGATTAGTAATTGTTTGCCCTCCTCATCTGCCTCTTGTCACTATCAATGGGTGAAAAAGTTGTGCAAAATGATTTAAAGGCAGAAGAATGCAATGCTTGTTCACTCACAGTTCTGTCTGCATTCGTCATTTTCCCTTCAACAAGTATATAGGGACAAATTTAATTTAACCCAGGAAACTCACGGTTACGCTTGCTCTCCTCGTCTCCCTCCTCCTCATTCTCGGGGTCAATGTCCTCGGCCTGGGTGATCCAGTCCAGGTAGCCCTTCAGGTCTTCCTCTAACTGCTGCTTCTCACGTAGCTTCTGAAAATCTCCCCGAGCTTTGGCCTTTTCTCGCTCTTTGGAAAACTCTCTGGACAGGGCAGACCATAACGACAGTCAAATCTGATTGGGGTTTTATTTGCCTGACAAGCGCTAAACAATAAATTTATCAATTTTCTAAACCTGCTTATCCTGTTAAGGGTCACAAAACTGTCAATGATATGAATTAACTCATGTTTGAAAAATGTAAACTTATTGAACCGTTTATGATTTCTGAAAATATTCTTTGTGTTGGAGTCGCACATCAAAACAAGTCTTAAGCTACAGAAAATGAAAAAATAACAACATATTGGCAAAATACAGCAAAAGGCAAACAGACTCAAAACCTACCCACTCAACACACCCAAAACCAAGTTGAGGACAAAGAAGGATCCAAAGATCACAAGACTGACAAAGTAGACCCACGGCAGCTCAAAGCCCATTGCATCATTCATCTAAATAGAAACCCAAACAGAGAAAGAGAAGGAAGGAAGGAAAATTAAATATATTCACATTAGACCTTTTTTATTCATATGCCATGTTTAATAATTACGCACATATTCTCTTCATTTTAAAATGAAGAAGTGTTACATATGCATACGCTTCTTTACTGTTTCATAAAAAACTGTCTTAGTGAATTGAACTGTTTTACTATAGTTAATCTAAAGATACTCAGAAAACCTGATCTGAAAATTACAGAACAGGAAAAGAAAAGAGGAGGAGAAGAAGGTCTCATACTATTACTTAAGAAGACATTTACAAAGATCAGTGTAAATGAGTATCTAGTATAATTCTAACAAATATAGGGTTTGACAGCTGGCTTTGTGTTGCAGCTCTTCAAGTATTAATGACTGGCTAATGGGCTGGACTGATTGTGGTTGCCTGTTTTCTTTCACAGCTTCTGCCAGTAAAAACACGAATACTCTAAAATAATAATAATTTATATTCCACACATATGCTAAACTGTGTTTAGCGGTTCTGAAATAATCTGAGATAATTAAAATTAACTTCCAGGCACAGCCTTAAAAATTCTATTTTTGAAAGTAATTACATGTACTGTCATTAGTATAATTGTGTAGGTTTTCATTTACCTATCTTTCTAGCTAGTACTCTAGTACTCTAGTACTGGATTTTAAATAAAATGTAATCGCCTGGAGGCCCTTCAAATCCATAATATCCTTCAGAGGAAAAGAGAGCTTGACTCTAAGCTGGAAACAGGAGCAGGAACTACGGCCACTAGAGGGCACCATGTGAGAGACAACTGGGTTTGTAATGAGAAGAGGAGGTATTAGAAGATGAGAAATCTATTAGTAACTGTGGTTGTGGCAAATGACCACCCTACAGAGCTGAAGAGCTTTTAAATTGAGCTGTTTGGCAAAGAGACACTAACAATTTGTCCATTTATAATCACACTGCTGGGTTTTTACACAGCTCAAATAATCTCTACACACTTGACTCTTCTCTTTTGTCCACCCTGTGCACATGCATGCAATTTTACATAAACACGTATCTTCCCTCTAAAATAAACTCAGAGCAGGTGACATTGCAGAGAAGACACAGTCCCTGCCTGCATGCACAAAACGAGCCACCCTGTGCACATACATGCAATTTTACATAAACACGTATCTTCCCTCTAAAATAAACTCAGAGCAGGTGACATGGCAGAGAAGACACAGTCCCTGCCTGCGTGCACAAAACAAGCCAACTGAAAAGCCACCCACCCTGCAGCAATACTTAATTGATTTCTGTAGGAAAAAGTCAGAGGTCAGATTTAATCTATCTGCCTGTCTATCCATCCATCTGTCCTTCTTTTAGGTTTGTTGAGTCTCTTTCCTTCACCATTTTAACAGCAGTATTAGCAAGGGATTGCCATGGTAACACATACATCCATACGAGAGGTAAAGAGCGCGTGAGAGAGAGAGAAAGGCATGAAGACAACAGAGAAAAAGAAGGAAGGTGAGAGGTTCATTATTTCATAGATGAGGGTCTCCATCAATAAAAGGGTGTGGGTGGGCTGTGATGAAAACGAATCCTGAGTTGTGCTTCAATGCTGAGTGTTTTGGCTAATTAAAAGCTGTTGGTGATTTTTGCTAATGAGAAGCTGAGGGTTTTGAAGTGAGTCTGTTTTCTGTTTTGTTTTTTGTTTAAAGATACTTATTGTTAACACCTAAACGAAGGGTGATGGTTCGAGGCTCAGGCCACAGCTCTCGATGACAGCTCTCTTTGTAATAAAAAAAATCCTGTACCTTGAATTCGTAAGCCTGACAGTAATAGGGCTCTATCCAGAGCTAAAAACGCTAGAGTGAGACTGGCGAGAAACCTCAACACCAAAGATATGTGACAGGCTGTCAAAAACATCACTGGCGACAAAAGCAGGAGCGCCCACATCATGAGTGAGGCCACATTATCAGATCAGCTAAATGCATTTTATGCCCGCTTTGATCTCCTCAACAAAGAGTCACCTGTAAAGCCCACTCCACCTCCAGAGGACTGGCTATTGTCAGTATCCACAGCAGATCCTGCTGAAAGTTAATGTGAGTAACCAAATCAGCTAGTTGATGTTATTACTGACATTTCTAACATATTATTTTCACAGGAGAGGGTTCCAACCTGCTACAAGACAGCCACCAAGCAGTGTCGTTGAGAAAAACACAAACATAAAGAACAACATCCCAGCCAGCCTGGATCCTCACCATAGAACCAACAGATCCTCAGAGGATACCATCTCCACTGCCCTCCACTCAGCCCTCACACACCTTGAGAAAAACAACACCTACATCAGAATGCTGTTTGTGGATTTCAGCTCAGCATTCAACACAATCTCCCCCATGAAAGTGATCAGCAAACACAGCACTCTGGGTTTAAATACAACACTCTGTAACTGGATATTGGACTTCCTCTCAAACAGATTCCAGACAGTTCGGACATGGAGAGAACTCTAATGTGAAGTTTGCGGACGACAGCGCCATAATCGTCTGGATTACAAATAACGATGAAACTTTATATCGGGAGGAAATCAACAATCTGGCTGAATGGTGCACAGAGAACAACCTAATGCTTAACGTCAGCAAAACCAGCCAGGCATCAGTGATCTCGGTGAGGTGTCTGCACAGAGCCCAAAGGATACTAAAAAACAGTACCCACGCAAGCCAGAGCCATTTCACCCTGCTGCAGCTTCTGTCCCCAGGTTGTGAAATTCATCCTCTACACCATGCAAAATAGTTTTATTTTATTATTACTATTTATTTATCCCCCCATCTTCTGTATATCATTTTTTTAGTGTGTGGCATAAGGACAACTTCAACTTAATCTCGTTTTACATCCCTGTGTTGTAAATGATACAATGATACATTTACAACACATTTGTCCATTGAGATTTTATATATTAAGAGCCTCAAACATTCTAATTATCTTTATCTTTATTATCTACATCTTCATTGTGATCGCGTCCTGTATGAAACATTTTTTGGATGTCATCTTATTAATTTTGTCCATGTTTTCAATGTGAATATAATAGTACAATGTCTTCCGTAAAGCACTTTTTTGAATTACCTTGTTGTTGAAAGGTGCTGAACAAATAAACTTGCCAAAACAAGATTTATATGAATTTGGAATACTACCATCCTTTAAATGATTATTTCTAAGATAAAATATAATGGGTTTAATATAATCTTAAAAAAGGAAACCTTTAAATTTCCTTTCTAGCAAAGGCAATTCTATATGGAGCAGTCATGACAAATATGCTTTTAAAATTCCCACAATGACTTGAATCATTTCACAATTTCGTCAGATTCACCGTAGATTCAAACATGCTGGAAGTGGCACAATATTTCTGCCAAAAATCTACAATCTCAAACGTGAGCCACAGGGATTAATAAATCAGAGTGGAAGTTTACCCAGTAGAGAACGTCGGTCCAGCCCTCCATGGTGATACACTGGAATACAGTGAGCATGGCAAATAAAAAATTGTCGAAGTTGGTGATGCCATTGTTGGGGCCTTGCCAGCCCTCTCTGCAAACTGTACCATTGAGCAGGCAATGACGGCCATGCCCCGATACTGCACACGGCGTGGCCTCTTCTTCCGCGAGGGCACCTGGGGGCACAGATGACAGGTGAATCTACTAATCTTCAGTAAATAAACCACTGACACTATCTTCACAGCTTAAAAAACTTCACAAGTTAAATATAATTTTAAATTTAATTTTATGTAAGATGACTTGATCATATTATAGAGCGTTGTGTAGTCAACATGGAAACACTACTATGACATAAAAACAACAGCACACTACTTTATATGCACATACAAGCCTTTCAAATTTCTAAGCATTTGTTTTAGAATCTTTCTTATAGTATCTCTGTACATACAAGAAAATGACATGGTGTAGCCATTAATGGACATCTGACCCCCCACACTGTCTTCAGAGACTCTGGCTCTGAACCTTTGGCTGTCTGAGGCTCAGCGTACTTCTGCTGCACTGATGCCTCTGCTTTGTGACGCCTTTCTCTGTTTTCAAAGCTCATCTCAAAACCCTTTTGCTACTTACAGTACATGTTACAGCACCGCCATTTTAACTCGTACTGTTTGATCATCTCCTTTTACTGATTATTGACTGACTATTACACTCTTTTATTTTAAAAGACTGTGTATTTCATGTCAGAATTTTGCTTTTCTTTTCTCTTAATCCTTTCATCCTGTGTCCTGTATCTGTGTCCTGTGTCCTTGATTTCTGTGGAAAGTTTTTCTGAAATTATGATCATTATCATTATTATTATATAACTACTCTATAGGAAGATCATCATACACATGTCAACTGTAGACTTGCTCGGTCATCATGCAAGCATTATGTAACCTTTGCAGAAAATGATGATATACAGATACACCTGACAGATTGTAGCAGACAAGGGGAGAAGAAAGGAAAAGTACAGAGTAGCGCTTTTAAACCTGACTGGAAGGAAGGTGGGAGGTGGGGAGATAAATTAGACACATCTGTGACCTACGGGAAGGGGAAGCTAACTGAAGCAGCATGGAGGAGAACAGAGGCGTGAGAGTGACAAAAAGAGGCGATAACTAGCATGTAATTCACTTTCAAGGTATCTCTAAAATGATGGAGGAATATATATAAAAGTAACTGGAGCAGCAGTTGTTGCCAGAACTGGCTGGATTTCCTGAACTTTCCTGAGCAACCAGGTACTCCTGGAAAGTGTGCTCTTCCTCTTTAACCTGCTTCGATGCATCTTCTTGTCCTGTAAGTCCTGCAAAGTTAAGTCTTCTTTCCTGTAACTCTCCAGGCTCCTCTGATTGTCCTGCCTCAGCTTAAGGTATATATTCCCGCACCTCCTACCTTTCTTCTACCGCACCTACCATTAACTGAACTGCCTCATCTTGAGTTGAATGGAAATAACACAACAATGTTTCCCCTCAAACTTACACACAAACTTTCACACACTTTATTTAATGTATGCAATTAAGGGTAATTGATGTGTTTGGTTTCTGTTTATTTAATTTGGATTTTTATGTTTGAGTGATAACCATATGCATTGATATTTTTTATTTGCTTAATTTGATGATTTTTATTTGGTTTCAATACAACCAGCTTTATTTGAAGAAACTGAATTAATGCTTTGCGCTTTCTTTTTACTGGTTGTATGTATGTTTGTAGAGATGATAGCAAGCTATGCAGGCTATCTGGTATCCAAATTTGTTTACACTGATCATTTTCAAGTGACAAATTAGAATTAAGACTTAGCTGCTATCTGGTGCCCAACCTTCTTTTTGGATAATTAATAACCCTCTGCTACAAAATGAGCCTACAACATGTTCAACTTTCCAAAACACACACACACACACAAATTCACACATTTACCCTTGTTTTGCTGCCCACCCACCCCACCAAACCAGCACACACAAAAAACCCACAAGCTAAGTGTCTTTCTCATGGCCAACAGAACAGACATGAGTGAGGAGGGGGGAGGATTAAAGTGAGCTTCCATCTCACTCTGTCAAGTCTACAATGCTTCTCCTGGCGTCCACAAGCAAACAGATCAAAGCGAGAAAGAGAGGCAAACGGGAATATTAGGCGAAAGGTGTGTGAGAGAGAAACGAGTGACGCAGCAGTCCCTGTGACTTAAGCTTCTGTGCTCCTGACTGTCAGCCATTTTAGAAATATGACTGTGGTTTTATGCATGTGTGTATGTATATATATACATACAGTACTCGAGGTTTATGACTGACAACCATCCATCAGCGTCTCCTGACTTCTTTCATTTTGCCACGTTGGAAGCAATGCTAGAGTAAAGGTCAAGCCTGTTTACATAACAGCCACACATTAGTCATTTAATCACTGGATTTAATCTGCCATCTGTTGTTCTGTCCTGTTTTCAGTTGTTTGCCACCATTCACATACAAGCTATGTGTCCATTCATTCTCATGGATTAAATCCTATCTCTCTTACAATGAGATGTATAGGCCTAGTCATACTATAGATTTAATGTGGGACTACTGTGGGAATTCAAGAAGGGTTTAAAAAGTACAAATTACCTTTAGAATAAACTGCATGAAATCTTAGGCAAGTATCATGGCAAACAGTGGGGGGGGGGAATGAAACCATACCTGTTTGTATCACATAGCACGTGGCATGCATTTTGCCAATAAAGAGCTCCAGGCCGATGATGGCGTAGATGATAATGACGAAAAGGACCAGCAAAGCGATGTGAAGCAGAGGAACCATGGCTTTAATAATGGAGTTTAAAACCACCTGTAAACCTGCAAACACACACAGAAGTCCAGGTCAGTGGAGACACACACACACAAAGATATACATGTTATACACCCTGGATGTCCCAAATATAAGTTGCCACCCATATGAGGAAAAGCAACAGGATATTTGTGCCTTCTGAATTAATGAACACACCTTAAATGAAACTCAGTGTAAGTTCAACCAGGAAGACATCTTTATGTTTCACTCATTCACAACCGTCTCTCTTTCATACTCTCACTCCCTTAAGTTTAAATCTGTTCCCTCCTCTGCTGCCAGCTGTCCTTCAGTACAAATAGCTGCGGCCCTCCTTTACCACATTCGCTTCCTGCTCACCCCAGTTCAAGCTCAGCAGAAGTCCTCCTCATCATTCAGATCCTCAACATTCTCTTCGTCCCTTCATCACCACCACCACCACAAGTGTCTAGACATCAGGAGGGATTTCTATGCCTCTGCAGCTTCACCACCCCCATTAAATATCACTTCATCACAACAGGTTCTAATCGCCAAATTACTTTTCACATTCTCATATCATATCACACATTACATCAAAAAACTTTCAAACTAAAATACCACAATGGTTTACTAAATTACCTTGGGTTTTTTCGTTATTCAGTCAACAGCCTTGCAAGAATGTCTCCACTTTAACTTCAGAAAATTTGAGTCATTTCGATATAAAAATGAGGGCTGCAGCGAACAGTTATTTTCATTACAGATTAATCTTCCAATTATTTTTTCAATTAAATATTTTAGTCAATAAAATGTCAAATGCTTATTACAATTTCCTAAAGCCCATGGCGATGTCACTAAATAGCTTATTTTGTCTGACATTTTTTGCTTTAAAAATTACGCATTATTAGTCAATTATCAAAATAGTTGCAGATTTCTATTTTCTGACTAATCAATTAATCGTTTCAGCTCTAATAAAAGTAGCAGAACAGCCAGAGTTGAGTAGATGGTTATTTAGCTGCCGGCTGGCACTTGCTATACTATCAGTTGTCATAATTATCTATAGCTCTCAAAGCCTCATGATACCACCGAACAGGCATGGAAGCCAACGAATCTGCTTCTGTGGCATCAGCACACGAGCTGAAATACCACAGCTTAATTAAACTGCATACCATCCAACAAAGACAAATGTTAAACTCGTATAGAAGTCAAAATGTCGTTTCAGCTCAGTTCAACTCCATCTTTCTCACCGGTGAACGACACGTTGCTATGGCAACTCCTAGAATGCAGACACTAGGCAACTTCATAGAAGGTCAAATGTGTGCTGAAAACCGAAGCAGAGAAAGAAGCAGTATTTCCTGGGTGAATAGAACAGTACGGACTAAGCTGGTGCTTCCTTTGAAGGATAAGTAATATTTACAAATATAGATTTATTTAATATTTAGAATTTTAATCACTGCTTCTCACCTCTATTTTGGTAACAAATTTACTGTGGATGTTACAACATGTGTGACAAACAGACAGAACATTGAACTACAATCACGTTTCTTCAAATCAGACATTTCACCTGGAGTAGCAGAAAAATCACAGGTGTAACACAAATAACATTAATGATTAATGATAACAGTAATGTTGTAAGAGTTCCCAGCATGGGTAACAACAGGACTCACAACTGGTAACATTACCCCTTGATGAAATGCAGCCATTATTCATGTTTTTAGACAACACCTGTTGTTTTCCTATTCTCTCTTCTTTCTTCACACAGTCTATGGTTATGACACGTTAAAATATCTACCATGAACAGGACTTTTAGCAAAGGAAGACACTTTTAACTGTCAAGAATATCTCAAGTGTTGAGACTGTCCATTCGACTGCGGAAACCTATGCAACATGAGAACAAAGCGCAAAGCCTTTGTGAACAGCGTCTTTATTTTTAAACAGTCAACAAAGTACCAAAAGAAAACATATGATTCTCTTGCATGGCATCACTAACTCTTGTGTCTGTGACCAGTTGATGGAGCTCTAAAACATAACAACAATATAAATCATGAAGGGACGAATGCATACTGGAAGGGGAGGGATATTGAGATACTGTAGAAAGCTCAATACAAATATAATACAATGAGACATGTTTTGTGTCTTGCTGTGTGCTTTGTGGAAAGGATGAGATATGTTTTTCTTAACTGGAAAAATAACTTTCTTTTAATAATCACTTTTAATTTTGGAAACCCCACAGGTTGCATTCAGCAACCAGAGTGTGAGCCAAAATAATTCCAGTACATATGTTTTGCCTTTCTTGTCTGTCTGGAATTTGTGGAATAAAGCATTACAGACGAGGCAATGGTGACCATGCTGTGCGAGATTCCAGGTGTTGTATGTAAAAGGAATTCCAAGGTAGGTTAAAGGGCAATTGAATATTTGATAATAATAATAATTGAAGATGTTTAGCCTCTCATCCAAGAGGCTTCTTCAGTTCTGACTGACTAGCCATTTAACCTCTGTGGTGTAGTTATCAAGATGATGGATACCGCTTGGTTCGTTAGTGCTCCTGGCTGTTGACGTTGGACAGCATTGTAAATGCAGTGTAAGTGGTGTTTCAGCCCTCCTCCTGCACCCTCAGCTCTTTTAGCTCACGCCAACGAGTAAAAGCCAGTCCCATATTTACTCTCGTCAGGTCTCTTGCTTATCACACTCTCTTTTTCTCTTCCGTCTTCTTCTGTCTCTTCTCATCCTGTGCCATGAAATCCATACTGAGAAATACCGAGCTAGTTTCTTCCAAAGAACTTAAATTGTACATTATATACTTTTTGCTACTTTTTAAAGCTTGCTTGCTGAAGAGTGTTGTCGAAGTGTTGTGGTGCTGTAAAGCATTACGCTGCTCTTGCTATAGAAATCCAGCCCAGGATTAAGTATTACATAGTGCCACAGAAAGCTTCCACAGCCTGGAGCGGCAATGATAGTGACATCATTCACCAGAATTACAAGTCAGTGTACGATCAAAATGATTTTGAAGCTGTTGTTTTAAGACAATAATACTACATAACGTTGCTTTAAAGGGGTATTATGTAGTTTCCAGCGGCCCCTAGTGGTGCGGTTTTAAAATTGCTACCAGGCGTGTGCTCACTTGAACTCATGAGCGAGCATAATCCGAAACACAACCGCTTTGATACAGAAATCCTGCAATAAACGCAGGAACACCAGCATGCAGGCTGTGGCTTTTCACACAGACATGTTCGGGCTCTGTTACTTCAACGTTCCCATCTCAGAGGCAGATCAACACCGGCTCCATAACGTTACTTCATTCAGTGAAGCCAGCCGCATATCGGCACAATCCTCCCGGAAAAAAGGCAGAGTGAGAACGGCTATAGACAGGCAGACAGCTTCACGCAACATGCTGGAAACTCAGATAAACCCCTACTGCAACGTTACAGTAATAGTTTTATCAGCTGCAGGTTGAACTAATCCATGCTCGGTACAGTACATTTACTGCATTTAGCCGACGTGCTACAGTGTTAGCTCACCTGCTGCTTTCAGTAACTATCTTTACTATCTGTGGATCTTTCACCGGAGGCTCAGCAATGTGAGCACAGCGAAATGTATTGAATGAAAACGAAATGGGTAGTGAGCTGGACTGAATATTATAACGAGATTGTGTCACACTTTATAATAATAAGACCGCAGTAAGTAACTTTACTGTAGTGTCAGTGGATGGCTCTTCCTCTGAGTTGTATAGTATGTGGGTCACATTAGTTACAGCGACTAAGAGGTGGAGAAGCTGTGTACCTGAGTATCGGTAAAACCATAATAAACCTAAACTGACCGTTACGAAGCGGCAGGTCCGAGCTAATGTAGCGTTAGCTGGCTGCTCTTGGCTGCATCAATATAGGCTAACGTTAGTAAACAAATTGCTCCACATTTGCTCCACATTTGCTTTTTACTGTTGCACCCTTTCTTGCAGGCTAACAGAATAGTAACATGGGTCGCGTTATTTGGTAAAATAATGTGGAAAGTGATATAACTTTGCACCGGATAACATCAGCAACTGCTCGGCGTTAGCCGGCGAGCTAACGTGACTTTCTCTGTATTTCTCCAGCTTTACTAATGCTCACTTTGTTCTTACTCGACATCATCTGAACCTGTTTGGTCTGATGAGCTTTAGCACATAAACCTTTATTGTTGTTTTGTACCCTTACGTGGAGCCTGTGTTTTGCTGTGAGCCGGTTGTTTTATGGTGTTAGTAAACTGCTTATCGTTAGCTGCCGTGTTGTCGCTGGATTACGAGAGAGACTCGGGAGCGCTCACAGGGTTGAATCCAACCCAGAGTCCTCACATTAAAAGCAGAATAGTGGCTGATGCAAGCAACGGAGAAAACAGATATGTGCGTCATTTCTAAGTGAGTTTTGAGCCCATTGACAATAAGGCAATGATAATTTGATTAATTTAATTGAAAAACTTACATACAGTCCCTTTAAAAGACGGTGCTGGACGCACAGAACTACTTGACAAACTCCAACATTCTCTGTCAATAGCACACACTGAGGAATTTAAATCAACTGCATTTACTACCCACATAAAAAGGTGCCGAATTTTGTCTTTAACATACTTTAGAATAGCTTTTAGCTCATCACTAGCTCAGTAAGGTTAGTTGTGCGTTGGCTTAATTACTAACTTGAATTATTTGCTAAAAAGATCAGTTTTGTACAGTAGGCTAAACGAGTGTGGTGCAAATAAAGTTCAAAATCACTAGTAGAAGACAAAGTGGGAGAGCAGTAAGTTACAGTTACCTCCTTGGTTAACATTATGCTTACAACAGTTAAGCTAGCTGGTTAGCAGCAGTCATGGATGACTCGCATTGATGAAAGTTTTGCTCACCATTTGGGCAGACAGCACAGTACAGGCTAAACTAAAGTAGGCTAAACAACCATGATCACAGGTGCACAACCTCAGAAGGGCTACTTCAACACACCACTGATGTAGTTCTGACTGGGAGGAATTAAGTGTATGTGTCTTAGAGAGACGGATGTATTCATACCTTTTCAACATCTGGCTATGCGTCAAAGAATTTGAGCAATCAGATTTCAATCCGTCTTGAATGCTTCTTGGATGCATTTACACTTTGCTTCTTTGAGTAAGGTTACTCCCATCATCCATCCTGAGCGGACAATTGGACTAAGTGTACAGTGAATTGGGTAATCCCAGAACCATTTGAAATCCACAGATGATTGTGTTCATTGTTTTACTTAAACTGAACTTTTGTTATGAAACGTAAGCGATTATGTTAACATTCATACCTCTCCACCAATCACTTCCTGTAACCTGATTGCCCTGGAATATGCCCTGACCGTGTGAAACAAAACTCCAACTCCCCTTATTCTTCATCCGCTTCACACTCTTACTGGGTGAACCTTTCTTAACTAATGGCTCTCTGAACTCTGTGTAGTGTGCTCAGAGTAGACACATCAAACTCTTTTTCTTCTGGCAGCGACTCGAAAGCCTGCCCGAGATTCCTGTAAACAAGCATTGTTAGTGCCAGTAGCTATGACACAGCCTGCCAGCTAACTTTAGAAGCAACAGGAGAAACAAAGCAAGTTATGGTCGAGCTGCTAACTCTGTAAGGAGAAAAAAGGAGCGACACCCCGCACCATCAAAATAATGCACAGCAAAGACTGCACCATTCAACATAGGAACCATAACTCTTCAAAGCCTGTCTCATCCACAGCTAAAGCAGCACCAAAGCAACCCCTCTCCCTTCATGGACTAGTAATAACTTTTGTCAATGTACATGCATTGATTTCGTTTTTCACAGAGGTTTATTGTTGTGATGTCTTTTCATAGTTAGGTTATTAACTACTATGTCTTGCATGCAAACTAACTTTCTTCTTTTCTAACCTGGCACCATTATAGGTAGGTAAGCAGGTACATCTGTTTGTCACAATATAAAAATGGTAAACAGAAATAAACTTTAATCAACTATATTATCTTAGACAAATCACACAAGCATATACTTCAAATTGGCCTTAAAAATAACCATACACATGGAAAGGAAACTCTTAACTTCTCACTTCACATTCTTTCTTTTGTGTCTGACCTAACACGTGTCTTCATGCTTGTGCACACAGAGGCATGCGAACATATGGAGGCAGAACAAAGAAACATACATATTCTTTCTGCCACAACCCAAAATGCGCACACTCTCACACATGCCTCATCTCACATACACACGTGCACACACACTCCCTTTGTTTTTTTAGTTAAGTACATTTAGTTAGATTACCTATTGTATGTTTTGCTTTTATTTTCTTGTAAATAAATGCAATTGAATATACATGATGGTATATTTATTTAAACCTGATTAAAGGTCTAAATAGACAGTAATTGAAAACATTTGTATGGCTGTGCATGGTTTTAAAGTTAAAAAAATTTGGACAAATGACTCAACTTAGACTTGCTTATAACTGCTTAACACCTAAAAACAGCTCTATTTTAACTCACTGGGAACTCCTGAGACAAGGCGAAGGGGTCGTAGCACGCGAAAGGCTCGAAGGGCCTTGACGTCAAACCCCCCAGGTTTGCCTCCAGACTGGCCGCCAGAGTCAGCGTCTTTGGTTATCATCTCCAGGACCACACTGAACAACCTGGAAAGGAGAGAGGGTTGGTGCAAAAGAGAGAGAAGAAGTAAAAGGAGAGGGAGGCAGAGGTTTGAGACAAGGAGAAACAGCAGTACAGAGATGTCATGAAAAAGAGAGAAAAAAGATTTTAAAGAAAGTGAGACAGAAAGCAAAGAAGAAAGCCATCTGTCCTCTTTGTACTTGTCTCTGTGCACACGCACCTGTGTGTGCAAGTGTGCGCTTATATACAACCTTTATGTGTGTGTCCTTTATGTCTATGCATATTTACCTTTAGTTTTTCACACCCCATCACAGTTTACACTGAGGTTCTACTGGGGCCAGGTGGTCTACTGATAAACCATCACTCTCACTCACTCTGTGTGTGTGTGTGTGTGTGTGTGTGTGTGTGTGTGTGTGTGTGTGTGTGTGTGTGTGTGTGTGTGTGGGTGGGTGTGTGTGTGTTTGTACTTGCATTTGTGTATCTAAGTGTGCATGTGCAGAAACATCACTGTCATCTTGCCACTGGACATGATGAGAATGATAAGCTGGTGATCTATAGCAATATGTCAAGTTAAGACCCTTGTGCAATGCAAATATGTCTGTGTGTGAAAGTACATGAGGGACAGACTGAGAGATAGTGTGTATGGTTTAAACTTAAGTGTATGTATTTATGCCTTTGACTGTATGTGTTTGCACATCTATATTATGTACTCTTTGAACTCACCCCACAATGACGATGACGAAGTCCAGCATGTTCCAGCCATTTCTGACATAAGAGTTTTGGTGCATGACCAGACCATAGGCAATAATTTTTAGAAATGTCTCTATAGTGAAAATGATCAGGAAGGCATATTCTACTGTTTCCTGTATAGATAGAAAATAAGAAAGGAAGGAAGAACAGAGGGAAGGGAGAAATAAAAGAAAAGGAAAAAAGAAGAAAAGTTTATTCATCCAAGTCTAATTAAACTTTACCGAAGAAATTTACTGTGGGTTGAATTATGTGCATGGTGGTTGCCAGAATAAAAGGCAGTGAGGCAAACAGGTAAGAAAACATTTTCTCTGGCTACCACAACAGTTGGCATGGCAACTGGTTTCTGTGTTGTTAAAGCAAGTAAAGTATCTTTGACTTCACTTTGATTAGAACCACAGCCTCATCATGACTCCTGCTGACTTACCATGAAATCAGGTCTCCAACAAAGTGTCAAAAATCATCTAAGAATGCATTCCTGGTAAAATGGCACAATCACAGTGACCTTTACCACAATACCCACAGTTTCAATCTTTCAATCCTGGTGCAAAAAACCCTGCATGCTGAGGTTTGATTTGCACATCATATCTAGAAGACATGTTGACTGAAACACTGGGGAAAAAATAGTGGCCAGTAAAAAGTGACTGCAGCAGGAAAACAGTAGTCTACCATGTCTTTTAGTGAATCCCTCCTGGGTGCTGGGTGACAAATGAGAGCAAAAGCATATAATTGTTTTTCTTACAAAAACAACAAAGATGGCTGCTGGTGGGGGGGTAAAAAAAATCACACATTCAAATTGAATTTTCTACATTGACTGACCGACCAAATTGTCAGCTCAGTGATACTAATGTTATAATAAGGAATTATGTTCTAACATGTACTGTTCAGAGAGTTGACTGGTATTTGAGGTATATATTTGTAGTGTGCACAACCGGTGTTAAATACGTTCGTATGTATCTTTGTATGTGTGTAATAAAGCTCAGTGATGTAGCCAGAATAGCAGCAGCAATGCATGGCTAAATTAATTTACTAATGACATAGGCAGGAGAGGGAGCAAAAGGGAAGAGAGATAAATGATGAATTTATCAGATCGGAAATCTACATGCAGGGAAGGAAGTGAATCTCATGAGTGGGTTGAGTAAATGTCTGGCTTACTTGGACGTGAGTAAGAGCCCTAATAAGACATTTGGTTGGTCCAGATTTCTGAGACTTGAGATTGAACAACAATATCTATATGCAGCCATTTTATTTTTTAATGAAAAAATCACAAATCACTTATGAATAAGCTATTTTGGGCTACAAATCTTTTATTGGCGTTCATTCCACCATGTGTTTTTCCCTGCAGACTAATTTTTTAAAAAGTGGTTTTCTGGAGACATGGAGAAATTTTCTGGTTCAGTCCTGAGGGTAAAAAATATCTACATATATGCAACTGAACATAATTATGTTGTTATATACATGACATATTGTGCATGTCTTCCAGTTTAAGTTATGATCTGTGTAAAGTCTGAGAGTATCAATTCTCACTGATGCTGACAAAACACATTCATTTTAAAATGTGTTTTTGATATAAAACCATAGATGATTCTCAAGTTTCATGGACATTTACAGAAAAAAATCTATTCAAACTTCATACAAGAACTTCAAACAATCGCAGCTTTCATATTGTAGCAGCATTATGAGACATGTAACACTGGCCTTTTATGGAGGGACGTGGGCGGAGAAGACCTGTATGAAATTATAGCCCTTGTGCCTTGGACCACATTTTGATGCATTCCGGTGACTCTCATAAACACAGCACAGGAAGTGATGCATTTCACATTGTGATGGTCACAGTGGAGTGAACAGACAAAGGAACTCATGAGAACAAAATCCAAGGTAAAAGATGTCACAGCATTTACTGGCACCATTTGACTGACAGATGAGCAAAGCAATGACAACTTAAGTAACAAAGATGTTATAAATAAAAATACATTTCGGGGGGGGGAAAGTCGTCCCAAAGATGAAAACTCTTCAATCATACTGTATGTCCTGCTGTATCATCAGCATGTTTCCATGGCAACGATGTGACTGGGAATGGAAAAATGTCCCTGAATTTTTGCACACATCTATTTATTGTGCTTACATATTATTTCACTTTCTCACCTCCCACCTTTCTTTCTCTCTCAGACACACCTTTCACTCTCCTATGTACCTCCCTTACGCTTCTTTTCTTTCTGTCTCTCCCACACACAAACTCTCAAATTCAAATTCAAATTAGCTTTATTGGCATGAATGTATAGCAATAATATTGCCAAAGCTACTTATCTCTCTCTCCCTCTCTCTCACTCTCTCTCTCTCTCACAAACACACAAATTGCACACATGCACAAAGGCTCATACACACACATTCATGCACCCTGAAAGACACTGAGGACAACAATAATACACACACCAACAAGCGAGCAAAGAGACCTGCAGTATTACACACGCTTCTGAAAGACAGCAGGCCGACCAAACAGACAATTTCACACAGGGATTGTAGACAGTCCTGGCAATGGCGACTAAGCCACAGCCACACTAAGGAACTCTACTTGGCTGCTCCTCTACTTAAGGAGAAGCCATTATATAAACAGCTACCACCAGTTTGTTTTTTCAAGTTTTAGCTCCAGAACTGCATGGATATTATCATTGCATGCACTCTAATTTAATGTCTTCTTTTTTTCAAGTAGCCACTTGCATTGATTAAGTTTGAGAAAGTATAAAAATGTGTGCTCTCTTTAAACTTTGTTGTGTAATTCATCGTAATGCATACATGCATACATTTTTAACCATTCAAGCGGCATGGCTCTAGAGATGGCAATGTCAATCCACAACTTTGGTCCACTGTAACTAACTATTATAGGATGGCTCCTAACTGGCTTTGGTGATCCGCTGACTTTACATCTAGCAGCCCAATGAGGTTATAATTTGTGGGTTTTAAGGAAATGTCGCAACAACTATTGGATAAATTGGCATGAAATATGGCACACACATTCATGTCTATCTCAGAATGATCAATAATTACAGTAGCAGGAAAAATCATGTGAATCCTTTGGAATTACCTGCATAAATTGGTCATAAAATGTGATCAGATCTTCATACTTTTTCCAGTGTGTTAATAAAATCATATAGTTGTTTGTGTGGTATTAGTTTACACAGTTTGTCTATTGTTGTGACTTAGATGAAGATCCGATCACATCTTATGACCTATTTATGCTGAAATCCAGGTAATTCCAAACATTAACAAAATTTAAATTTTTCCAGTTCAAACTGATTAAAATGCAATAACACCAATTATAACTTAATTACATGCATTACACGATTCAAGCCCGCATCTGTCATTTGATTCTCCTACCGTACACACCATGCTTTGCAAGATATTCAGCAGTACTGATTTGTAATTAATGGGCCAGAAGACAAAACATCCAAAATCACTACTGTGGTCCTTTTATACTGCAGAATAGCCCAGATGCTTCAGATGAGCAACTCAGTCATGTAAATATTGACTTTTCTACAATGGTCATGTCTTTGTCTGGCTTCTAGCTGTTCACTGGTGTAAGTTGAGTGGTGTGCCATTACAGTAGCTGGGTGATGACCTGTTAAGGTCAACAAGTGCCATGACTCAGAGCTGTTTCACACTGATAAGAGCCTCAAACACACACCTGCCTCCATCCAATTTAACATTCTTGCTCCATCCTCCTGTTTACATAGGTCTGCAATGTCCACTCCTCTGCTTAGTGAACAGCTGACAAAGTGTTTGTGCGTATGTGTGTGTATCTGTCTGTTAAATTCAACTGCATTCAGGTTGTGACCCAGGAGTAAGGCTGATAATCAGTAGGGCTGTGTCTGAAGAATGGAGATTACTGCAGGACAATGGAGACAACAAATGATCTTACAAATTGAATAAATACACACGCACACAAAATATATATATATATATATATATATATATGTATATAAAACAATGCACATGGAAGAATAAGCAACATTGACACCTAAGAAAAATGTCCGATGTTTAAAAATAAAGAGAAAAAATTTATACATTTCTAAAATTCATTCATTTACATACTTTCATCATTACCTTGACACAAAGTGTTGGCCTGTCTATAAAATGTACTTGTCCGACTAGTATAGTTTTATCAAGTGATGCTTATTCTCTGTGTTTCAATAAATACTTTGTGATGAAGCTCTATATAAATTCAAGAGTTCCATTATACACACATTTACAAACAGTAATTTCTTTCCTAAATGCCCGAGTCCACTGTATTCCAGGATTTTGTCTGCCTACACAAATGCAGGATAACTCTTATTATTCAGAGGGAAGTTGCATGTGTGCAATGCTGTTAATGAAAGCACAACACTTCCTGCAGCTTCTTCCCATTAAAAGCGCTCCAGTGGAAGAACTGGATTGTGGATTTACTTCAGTTTTAACTAATACATTAAAACTCTAGTCTTAGCGGGTAAATAAAAACCAATACATAAACTAATTTTACTGATTTAGAAAGAACAGCTCAACTATTTTAAACTCTTTTCGAGTGCACTTTTCAAAATAACAAATATTGTTTCACCCTGGGACTCTAGACAGTTTCAGTCCTGCCATTTCTCTGATTCAGCAAACTAAATGAGGACCCATGAGAAACGCTTATTTTTTAAGCCCATAGTTTAGGAAACTAAAGAATAATATGAAGAGACGTGCTCTGCATGTAATCTCCTCTCCTTCCAGCAGGAACCAGGAGTGGATTTAATATTTATAGGCAGAAAAGTAATACAGTAGTCTTTGCACTCTGCCCTATTACATACCTCATGATAGCTAAAATGCATGATGTTACATAAAAAATATTAAATCACAGGGTTTCTGGATAGTAAGTGAGCGTAAGAGTGTGTGAGAGTAACACATGGCTCAGGCCTTACCCTGATTCTACAGAATGCGATGGAATTAGAGTGGGGTTGAGAGAGAGACGACAAGTGGCACCTGAACCGACAACCTTTTGTTCTGAACTGGGCAGTATTCTGGCAAATGCAATGCCCATGCTGTGCTGAAGAGCAAGAGAGCTGTTGAGTTTGTTTTTGTTTTGTTTAATTTAAACTGCTTCACA